AGGAGCCCACTTGCTGTCGTTGAGGAAGGGAGTCGTGGCTAGCACTGGAGGCACGATGCTAAATGCTGGCAGGGGGGGCTCAGCTGTAGAGGAAAGCGTAGCAATGATTCAGGTCAGCGGTCAACCAGGACTGACTGGCCGGTGACCACGAGTGCTGGCATAGGATGAACGCACAGCTGGTGGTGACCTCGAATCGGTGCAAGCCACCCGGGCCATCACGCGGATTACTGGCCCAGTACCCAGAGACTTGGTATTGCGAGGGCGCAGGCTGAGGGTCTTGGTTGCTTGGATGGCGCGGCTGCTTGGTTGGTACAGGGAGTAAAGGTACGGATAAGATGGCTGCATAAGCGCCACTTTAAAAAGCCCAGATTCTTCTCCCTGGAGTGGTGGCTGAGAGTGTGAGAGAAGAAGCCTAAGCCCAACAGGGCAGTGAGCTTTGCTGCCAGTAGCTCGACAATGGGCAAATAGCCACAAAGCCGGGCGGGTGATCAGTTGGCACGCCGATCCCGTCCCGACTGTCTGGATGCCACGGCCGGCCATTGGCCAGCAAATGGACGTTGCATTTTCCAAGGGCGGGTTTGCCGAAAACGGGCAACTGTCGCCCCATATCTACCCAATTGACGACACTTGTAACTTAATGAACGGCATCGTAGGAGGCATCGGTCGTCGGGCAACTGGGCTGCGTGATGGCGGAGCCTGGACAGGCAACGTCTCACGACAGACGCAAGCTCACAGCGGACCCGTGGGGGTACAATTCGGGAGTACAGCATTTGCATGCACTGGCATGTAGAGGAGAGCGCCGGTGTGTTGTCCTGCGTTGGTGCTAGCTCTATACCTTGGTGCTAACTAGTATGTAGAAGCAGACGAGTAAGTGCATGAGGATGTCTGCGGCATCCGGGACTATGAGCTGGCAGAGATGCGGGACAACGTCGTCTTGTTCTAGCCTGTGTTGGCGCGGGTAACGAAACGGCACGGCGCCACCAGCTGGATAACGGCGGAAACTGCCCGGTGCTAGCAGCAACGGGCAGCGTCCACATTGAAGCGGTTGTTGGTACCTGCTTTTTTTTGTGTTTCTGTGTGCTGTTAGTCAGGAGTCGAAGTCGAAGGGGGCGGGGCTCTGAGGAACCAGCAACGGCCATGGCGAGACTCGAGAGAAAATGATTGGTAGCAGAAGGGTTTTCTCTGCACGGAATGTTGGATATTTTCTTTGATGCTTTGGTTTGGGGCAGGGTAACGAAAGGGCCCTGTTCCGGTCTCCACGGATGCACGGTACAGTCCACATTTGAGCTGCATGAGGCTGGTTGTGCGGAGCGGGAGCGACTCGGAAGACGGTGGGAGAGTATCCGTACTCCGTAGTCGTAATAGTAATAATAATATGATATGCTTTTATCAAGGAAGTGGGCGTCAGCAACAAAGAGGAGAAGTATGTCAGAGAGGCTTCGTTACTTACTGGCACCACTAGTTAAACAGCAGAGCCCTGGACGGCCTTGCCCAGTAGAGTGCCAAGTGAGAGATCGGACGGGGCTATGGGCCTGATTCATGGGCTCGGACGCGGGACGCAGGACCAGCATGCAGGTCGGATTTTTGGGAAAATGTGACAGCTTTTTGGAGCTGGAGGGGCCAAAGGAGGTGACGGATGGTGCATTAGAGAATTAGAGTCTCCAGATTCAGCTGTGCCATCCCGTGCGGATCAAGGTAGCGGGCAGTGGCAATTGGCTCGGAACATTGGATAGAGGCAAGACAGTGTGCCAGCATATTGTCATTATTTGTGTGGTCTGTGGCTTGTCCTGTTTGCCGGCGAGGCTTGTTTGTGGGCGCGAGAAACGCGAGAAAGCGAGCTGGCAGGCGAATCGAGGAGGAGAGGGGCGGAGAAGGTGGGATTTGAGCATGTGTTGAAGATGAGATGCAGAGATGCCAGCGGGATGCTTCAACCGGGTGCTGGCATGGTACAGATGATGCGGTGTCATTTGTTGCAACTTGCAGCTATGCGGTGCCGCAGCAAGTGGTGATGGTGCAGCAGGCTTGAGATGGATGGGAGGAAGGAATGGAAGGCTACTTGTCAATGCGTGGGTAATGCGTAGGGCTAGGAGGTACCATGGGCGGGCTCCATGGTGTGGTGAGGGCTACTGACATGCTAAAACAGATAGCGCATGCACGCTGTGCAGAGTTACAGGGCAAGTTAGGTAGGTCCCTCAGCGCGCATAGTGACTCTTTTTAGCGACAGCCGTGTGCAAAAGAATTAGCACTGGGCACTCTTGTGCCAGTTTACCTGCCCGTCGATATGGAAAGGTACAACTTGAGCCGTGCCAACGCAGGGCGTCTCGCCAGCCCGGCGCCACTGTGGGAATATGGCTCAGCTGTACCTGGTATTTCGCCAAACCGGCCTATAAGAGAAAGCAACACGAATGTACGTACGAATTAATGACAGCGATAATAGACAATACTGGTAATAACATCACCCGCACAGCCTGTCCATTCACAGCCAAGGCCCAGGTCACGTCAACGACTCCCCATCTCCCCGTGTTATCAAGGTACTGGGGGTAGTTGCTGCCGCCCAAACAGGTAACCTGATCAGCACCCTCGCCTACCTAGTACAAAGCCATTTGGTGTTCCGTGTTCCCCTCACCGGCCGCAACCCCAACGCCAACAATTGCAATAGTGCAGATTACGCGTCTATTTTTTGCTACTATCCGATCCTCTGTGATTTTACCTCTCCCCTCATTATTTTCACCACCTAGGAAAAAAAAACTTGTCATCTGGGCCGAATGGCTGGTCCCACCATACACTCTCCTCTTCCCCTGCCAAAAATAAGCTGGCCCCGCATAGACCCTAGCCTTACTAAGCTCACTCCCCATCTCCTCCCTCTCTCTGGTGCGTCCCACGACAAGCTACGGATACAGTACGCACACCGTCCTGACCTGACCTTCTGCTTCCCATCACGGCTCAGCACGACTCCTCCCTTGTCCAGTACAGAGTAACCATTCGATTCGCTGTCGACCGTGGCTTCGACAGCTTCATTGAATCTCCTCTTTGCGGTTTGCCGTGGCTGGCACCCTATCTGCTATCGTCGTACCTCGGCCTCATGAATTGATCTTCTCGCCATCCTCAGCTGGTCTGGTATTCTGAAAGAGCCAGGTATTCAACAGCGTAAAATTAAGCTGTCATTGCCGTCGCTTATCGATTTCGCATCATCAAGTCATTTCCACCTCGCATCTTCGCATGACCGTACCGAGAGATTACCAGTAGCTGTCATTACTGAGAGAACCGTCCCAAGCTCAGCCCCGACCCGTCAAACCACTTATTTCGTGGCTGCGTGATATAGCCGTGAGGCTTTCCAACGTCTGTATGATCGGGTCCTCTGGCTCAAATCTTTTGCCCGCCGGAGCCAATTGCCCCGGGAGCTTGCTGGCCTGCTGGCCCGCCTGCCCGTAGCCAGCGCCCAGCCAGGAACGAGCCTCTTCAGACACTTTTTTTTCTCCCTTGGACCCTTTCTGGCCACGGCCTGTCCAGAACACGCCGCAGAAGCCCTCTTTTCGGTGGCCTCCCTCCTCCACCAGGTAGCGTGGCTGCGTGGCCACTGCCACCAAAATGGGACGAAGTGTCCAGCCAATGTCTTGGTCCGCCACCCATCACCCTGTCTTTCGGCGCCCGCCCGTCTCAAGAGGTACATACTGTATGTACATGGATGGCTCTGCGGATACGTACTCTACGCCGAAATCCCCAAGCTGTCTTCACGTCTTTGCGCCATCATATCCATGTCCCTCGTACTGGGCTGGGTAGGTGACAGGTCAAGTATGTTCATACATGGACTCTGCGGCTGTCTGTGGTCGCCGGTACCTTGCGGTCCCATCTTGGCCTTGACGGATGCTCCTCTAACTACCAGTTAGTACTTGCAACTCGGCCTCTCTTCCTCACGTCTCCCATCTTTCCGCCCTAAATAACAACAGCTAGCAGCCAATTGGTGGTGGCTCTTGATCCGTCTCCGACTATCCCGTGCCTCTTTGTGTGTTCACCTGAAAAGATTAGCTCAAGACTCACCCGCTCAGCTAACTCACTAGTTAGTTCGTCTGTCTGTCTGTCTTTCTGTCTGTCTACGAACATCTACCAGTACGAATACAGTCTACTCTGAACTAGCCAGCCAGCCTGGCTCGGCCGCCAACCTCGATCGCAAACTCGTCCCACCTTCTTATCCACACCTTGGTCACTCTCTGAAGCAATACGCCGTCCGTGCCCTCTCTCTTCTCGTCTCTTGTTATTCATACCCCAGTACGGGACAATCCATCCTTCATCCGTTCCACAGCCACCCCTCCCCCCTCAGCCCGCACTCCTCTCACCCCCCTCTCCCCTCTCTCACTCATCGGCGTCTCCTCTCCTCTCCTCCTACTCCTCCTCCCACACCAACCTCACACATCACACGCCCTCAACCCTCTCGCCTCAGATACCACCCTCAACAAAGCCCGCCATCAACCAACTATGGGGACACATCTCAAGCCTGCCCAGCCGCGATGGGACCTGACCCCGGTGGGCGACAAAAAGCCACTGCCTGCTTGCCTGCCTCTGGTCTAATGCAGGCCTACTCTGAGCCAAGATCTCCGACCCAGAATCCCGGTCCACTCCCTGGTCCTAAAACTTATTGTACACCTCTGCACCTCTCGTCTGTCTAACTCTGCACCTGGATGCTTGCTCTGCAGCCTCGCCGGATACTTAACCCCCTCGTCCACCACCTCAAGGACCCCAGCTCTACAAAGCATCTCGAACATATATACCCTCAGGCCCTCCGCCCTTCTTCACCACTTCTCTGTTCCATCGCTTCATCACCATAAGCAAAATTTCTTTGCATTCAATACGTATAACACCTGCATCCTTGAAATCGTCATCATCAAAATCATCAACTACTCTTCTGCATCTTGCTTGCTTTGCTTCGCTTTGCCTTTTGGCCTCTCCTGTATATCACCGGCGTCCGCCTTGCTCCTATGAGCAGAATAAACACATCTCACACAATGGCCCTCACTGCTCAACCTGCCGCCCACCCCAACTGGGGTCGCTGGCCGCAGAATATCCCCAGCGACTTCAGCATGATGGACGGCCACGGCTTCTTGCCCTACGACTCTCGCGGCCCTGCTCCGCAGATGCAACAGCCTCAACGCCAGATGGCACCCCAATATGTTGTTGGACCGGCTTACAACTCGCAACCTGCGCCGCCCACCTTCACTACCCCTCAATATCAGGGTTCTACTACTTTTCAATACGTGCCTTACCACAGCCCGTCGCCCACTTCGCCCGTTGGCTCGCCCTTTCGCAATGACTACCAGGAGCGCCAGCTGCCCCAGGTTGATCAGAGCCGCATGATCTTCCAGCGCGACTCTAGGCCTCTCCATGAAATGCAGGCTCCTTCTCCTTCTGCTCGCAGCCAGTCTCGAGGCTCTATCAGCCGCTCCTCTGTTTCTTCGCACCCTACCGCTAACGCCAAAACGATTACATACAACGAGACCATCAACCCCGTTGATAGGGTCAACTTCGACACCGATGTCGACGAGCTTATGAAAGCTATTCAGCGAAAGAAGTCCGAGGCCAACATTGAGGCCTCCCAGGGCCCTACACCCGCTCATACTCCACGTGCTGACCACACCGAACCAACGACCCCCTCCAGCGCCGCTACTCCTGCTGAGAGCAAACCCAAGAAGAAGTGGGTTTGCGATGGTCCCAACTGCAACAAGAGCTTTGTTCAAAAGACTCACTTGGACATTCACCGCCGCACGCATACTGGTGCCAAGCCTTATGTGTGCACTAAGGACAACTGCGGTCTCACCTTCTCTCAGCGCGGCAACCTCAAGACACACATGCGCCGCCACACTGGCGAGAAGCCCTTCTCTTGCCGCATTTGCGGAAAGACCTTTGCTCAGCGCGGCAATGTCCGCTCCCATGAGGAGACTCACAAGGGCATGAAGCCATATGTCTGCAAGCTCGACGACTGCAATAAGACATTCTCCCAGCTGGGCAACATGAAGACTCATCAGAACAACTTCCACAAGGAGAGCATCAAGACACTCACAGCTATGTTTGTCAGGTTTGCTGCTGATGGTGATATTCCCGAGGAGCATTTGGAGCTCTTCGAGTACTTCAATGAGCACTACAAGAACAGCAACAAGGGTGTCAAGGGCCGCGGCAAGGCGCGCACCGTTGCAGCCCGCAAGCCCAAGGGTCAGCCCCGATCTCAGAGTCTATCTGGTCCTGTGCCCCAGCAGCCTCTACCCCAAATTCCCCGACACCACAGCATGTCTGCCTATGATCTTTCCAGCCAGACCGCCGCTCCTGGAATTGCCAGCATCCCAAGGACACATAATCCCGAGTACACCATGTTTGACCAGCCCGAGGTCCTCTACGAGGAGGACCACAGTCACCACATGAGCTTTACCGACCGCCTGTACTAAATTACGACTACTGATGATTACGAAAGAAAAACACAACATTTAAAAGGAGCGATTTGGGTCCAGAGTCGGCTCTCGCGCCGGGAGCCGACACGACGTGACGAAATATACTTATGAACGCGCATGGCTGACCTGGGCCGGGACGCGAGAACTCTGTCCACAGTCAGATCCCGTCCAGAGTCTGGCAAGTTTCTTGTTTGGCGCCTGTAATTTTTCTGCTATTTTTTGCGATTTTGGAATTCGACTTGACTTGAGGGAAACAAAACCGGCGACTTGGGGGTGGATACATGGGAGTAGTGGCTGCTATCGCAACACCAACGATAGCAACCTCATCTCGGGAAAAAGTTGGGAGGTTACTCTGTCTTTTTTTTTTTGCTTTGTTTTGGTGTGGCTGTCTGAACTACCCAATGTTGTACTTGACACTCTTTTTCACAGCTGCTTGTCGATGGGTCTCTCTCAGGAGTAAACTCTACACATTCAGCACTGGCATATCTTATCTTACCACATATCACTTTTTTGGGTTCCATTGTCTATATACATCTCAGAGGCAAAAGAAGGGTCTTGTTGGAGGAGTGATTACTTATTGGGGCAACCGCATATACCAGCGAGGTTATACAGCACTTGGGAGGAAAGCTGAGCCCGCACTCTAAGGACGTAGTATGACAGCAAAAAAGCTACAATACATATTTTACCTAACCAATATTTGTGCAAATACAGAAACTTGGAGTGTTTGTTCTTTAGCCCGTGGTTTCACAGGATGTCATCGATGGACAGACTAAAACAAAGTGGCAGTGCCTTTTGTCTACCAATGTGTCGTTCCTGCCGCTTGGGGGCTAACTATACAAGCAAGCTCGCACAGTATACATGCCCGCCTTGTTTTTCTTTTTTCGGTCACGTATCAATTTATCTTGCAGATGGCGCCTACGCAAGCATGTTGTGTAACTCTGATACACGTAACAGCAGAATACAGAGCGACACCCGGGTCACACACATCCCCCTCCCTCACTTTGGTGGTGCAGCATCGGGCCGCACCTCGAACAATGCCGGCGAGATTCGACTTAGATTGAGGTACCGAATTTCGGTGAGGAGGTAGTGATTCTATACCGCGAGTATGTCTGCCTCACTTTCGAGACGGGGAGTGGTACGGTCCCCCCCCCCCAGAACGCATCATCATGGTGTACACGAATTACACAACATGTTTTGCGCCCCTGACCCCTACCTACGAAAAAGAGAGCTTTGCGACGACTTTTTTCGGTTCCAGCACTAAAAAAGGACATACACTAGTGGCAAAAAGAAAACAAGAAAATAGAGAGAAAGATACAACAACGCCTTCTTGGGAAAGTGCCGTCCCGTTTTTTGGAAAAAGCAACAAGGCGGGGAGGGGGGTTGACTTGGACGCCACCATCAAACCACCAACCACCACTCCCAACCAATCAACGAATGTTCGCCTCTTTCTGGCGTGAGTTTCCTCCCTTGCGTCGAGATGCTTCCCCCGAAAGAGGTTGCGAGAACTACCCAATCCGTCGACCTCGGTCGATTTCCACGAGGGGGTGGACAGAACTGGAACACGGCTGGTGATGAAGGCGAGGGGGGGATGATGTCAAAAAAGCAAAGCCCTTTGTTGGAAACGCCTTGTGGAAAAAAAAAACTGTCAAGGATTGGACCCCTGATAAAAGATTGAGCAAGGAAAGGACAAGACAGACAGAAACACCCCCCTACAGTATCTGCTTGGCCAGATCATGCTGCAGCATGCGCCTTTGCTGCAAGGCATGACCTACAGCTGGGTCGCATACTTTTTTGAGGCGTCAACCACAGCAAACTATGCGTTTGTTGTTCTGCAGGGGCCAACAGGCGACGAGCATTCTCGCCAGCCAGTCAGTGGCCAGGTGTACGCGCGCAGCAGCAAAATTGATCGAGAATGGGGAGTACACAAGATGCTGTGTAAGCCTACCTCAGCCGCCAAAAGCCACGTCGTCTTGCATCGACCGCACAGGGTAGGAAGTCGGTGACTGTCAGTGTCCCCGATGTCGCTTGGAAGAGACAAGCTGGGCCATTTGGTAGACGGCCATCGAAGAAATTGCTCATTAAGACGTGCTGTAGTCTTCGTCATTGGTGAAACCCGTCCGGCGACTAAAAGCAGAGACATTTGATTTCTTCCCACCACAAAAATTCGGCAATGTTGGGTGTGGGCATTGTATATTGCGACAATAAAGCTTGTCTTGGCTCCCCTGGCCCGACCGAAGAAGATAAAGTTGCTTCTGGGGCAGGAAGGGAGGAGATGAGAAGCTTTGACTCGGCCATCGGCCGCTGCCCGTCTGCAAGCCGATCTGAGCACACGGTCTGCAGCTACTCGCCCTACTTTTCACCTACCCGCCCCGGCAACGTAGGATCTCAAGCGGTGGGGAGGCAAGGAGGGGGGAGGGGTCGTTCAAAGGTAATCTACCATGGAGCGGTGCTCCGTGCGACCCGAGGAAGAAATGTCCCGGAACTGTCTGTGCCTTTGCGGAAGCCCGCCTCAACCCCAATTCCTGTTCCTTCCGTCGGAGGGTGTCACCATCACAGCGGAGAGGGGTAACACGATACCGGGCCGCAAATTAGAGACAAGACACGGGATTGGAAAAAAAGTTGGTGACAAGAGAGTATGCCTCATTGACATGACGCGCAGATATTCCAGTCAACCACAGACGAGGATTGCCCCTCCGAAACAGTCCCCGGGTGGCAGATTTATGCCGTTCAAATTATGCCGCTCGAGGCGTCCGATCTAATGTCGAAACAGAGCTCCGTGCTTGCCAAGTGCCCCCACCACTCCCGACAAAAGTCGTAGCCGTTTGAGACGTCTCGACGGGAAAAAAAAAGCTTGAAGGACCCGATGACGAGGCGCGAACAATCGCTAGATACACGCCCGAGGCGCCTTGGCGGACACAAACAACGACATGGAAGTGGTGAGGGCAGGGCGATGGAGAAAAATCCGAAAGTGATATGTCTATTTTTTTTCAACTGCACGTGGTGCGTGCTCTTCTGCATTCCAACAGACGAACCCAAAAAAGGTCGATTTTGCGGCCTCCTTTCAGCGGTGGTCGTTGCTAAAAACCGTGTGGCGTGCGGGGGAGCAGCCAACGACATGACAGCCAACGGAGAGAAAACATATCCGCCGAGTACAGTGGCTTGATTTTTTTTCTTCTTCGGCCGACTTTGGCCTTGACTGTGTGCTATGCCCCTGTACAGCTGAGTCGGGGCACACTTTTTTTTTCTCCTTGCGTGTGGATGGGATAAGATCTGAGACATGGCGACGTTGTTCGGCCACTTGCAGTTGTTCCCCTCGAGTCGAGAGTCGATACGAGACAAGCGTCCTCGAAGCCGTCTGATGTCGGGTTTTTTTTTTCCTCCTCCAGTCGTCGCACGCGGGTGGCCTTTCTCGAGTCAAAAAAAAATGCTCCTTTATCCACCGTGGAGCGTTGAGACAAACAGAATGTTGTCACCACTCTTTAGCTCATACGCCTCCTCGCCTTCGAGCTCCCAATCGGCATCGTTGATGAGGACCAAGATGCCTGGTCGTCTAGATCAGCGGAAAGAAAAGTTAGCCCCGAAGCTGAAAGAATAGGCAAGGTTGTATGTGCTGTGAGCGGCGGAGAGAACAAGACTACTGCGGCTCATCGACCAGCGAACTGCAGCAGGATGGGGTACGTTGCCGCCTTGCTTCCGTGGGGTCCGGCAGTGCTTGCGGCGGTTTTCGAGACATACAGGTGGTCTTCCAAGACGAAAAGCTCTTTTCTTGTGTCATTCATCACGTTTCGACAAAGATGGTCAATCAGAAATGCGAGAGTGGTAGGCTTCCCATCTTTGTCCTGAGCTGGTAGAGTCAAGGAATGCAGTCTTTGATCCGAGAATAGCATCTCTAGCCCGCCACTATGTTCAAGTTAACTGGAGTGCTCCTTTCCAATTCATTCTAAGCCAGTAAAATGCTCGGCTTGATGGCAGCAGCAAGAATAGCACCATCGAGGCTGCAGGTGGACATACGAAAATTCAACGGCCAGGGATATTTGCTCCGTAGCAGCAGCCATTTTGGAACTTTTGAATGATGTGGCAAATCTGATATCGGAAGGTGTTGAATGGCAATAATGCACCGTAGCCGTCAAAGGCAAAATTTATCTCTCTCAATATCCGAGTAATTGAAGATGATCTTGGACCGTTGACGTCGGGCAGCAAACGCTCGTGCCAATCAGATGATGACTAATCCATGGTCATCACCAAAACCACATCGAAACTCTCGCCCCTGCAGCCAATCAGAGTAAGAGGTGGACACAATTTTCAGACTCACACCAACAAGCAAAGCCCGGTGATACCTGATGATATGGGCAGCCAGCACGTCTCTGTAGAGTATTTGTCTGCCGGCGCCAACAGGCAAACCGCGGTCGCGGACTGGAGCCGGAGCGGCTTGCTGGCCTTTGGCGCAGACACCAATATCGCCCTGTGGGCACCAAAGGTAAGGATCCTTGGAGCCTGTGAATGAACCAAAGCTCATGCAAAAGTCACAGGAAGATAAACAACGGGGGATTTTAGTATTATTACGAGGGCATGGGGATGTTGTCAAGGCGGTAACATTTCTACCAGAAGAAGATGGCGACCAGGCAAGCTATCTCGTCAGTGGCGCCAACGACAAGTCTCTCATTATCTGGAAATCGACGCCAAATCAGACGAAATTTGGGATATTGCACACGTCACATGACCACGCCGGAGCCATAAACTGCATTGCGGCGATCCGCCTCGCGAGCGATCCAGCAAGGTGGCTCGTCGCAAGCGGTGCTGCCGACGCCACCATTCACATATGGAGTTTTGCGTCGGACAAGCTCGAGCTACTCCAAAGTGTCAAAACGACGCCCAAGTTCTTCCCCCTCGCCTTGTCTCTAAGCTGGCTCGGCGATGATCGCGACGCGCTTGTCCTGGCCGCGGCCGGCACCAAGGACACCATCCAGATCCTCACCGCGGAGACAGCCGCGGACCCCATCCAGTTCCAATCGCAGGCAAGCTTGCGGGGCCACGAGGGCTGGATCCGGTCGCTGAGTTTCGCCCGCGAGAGCAGCCGACCAGGGAGCGACCTGCTGCTCGCCTCCGCCAGCCAGGACAAGTACGTGCGCATTTGGCGGTTCCACCAGGGCCGAGAGCTGCCCGCGGCCACTGCAGACGGCGCCGACCCCTCGGGCGGCGCCTACATGCCCGGCAAGTCGCCCTCGAACAAGGCGCACTGGATCAAGGCGGCGGGGAGCAAGGACTTCTCCGTCACCTTTGAGGCGCTCCTCCTGGGCCACGAGGACTGGATCTACAGCGCGCGGTGGAACGCCAGCGCCGACGGGACGCTCCGGCTGCTGTCGACGTCGGCGGACAACTCGCTCGCCATCTGGGAGGCGGACTCGACGTCGGGCATCTGGGTGAGCACGGTGCGGCTGGGCGAGATCAGCCGCGAGAAGGGCGCGACGACGGCGACGGGCAGCACCGGCGGCTTCTGGACGGGCCTGTGGTCGCCCGACGGCCGCTCGGTCGCGTGCCTCGGCCGCACGGGTAGCTGGCGTCGCTGGGAGCGGAGCGACGACCCGGACGACGACGTGTGGCGGCCGTGCGTGGCCGTCTCGGGGCACACAAAGGCCGTCACGGGCATCGCGTGGTCCCGCGACGGCGCGTACCTGCTCTCGACCAGCCTGGACCAGACGACGAGGCTGCACGCCCGGTGGACTGCAGGTGGTGGTGCGGCCGGTACATGGCATGAGATGTCGAGGCCGCAGATCCACGGCTACGACCTCAACTGCATCGACTCCATCAGCGCGACGCAGTTCGTCTCCGGTGCCGACGAGAAGCTGATGCGCGTCTTCAGCGAGCCGCGCGCCGTCGCCGCGCTGCTGCATCGACTCGGCGGCATCGGTAGCGCCGAGGACGGAGCGGCCGCCATGCCAGACGCCGCCAGCATGCCCGTCCTCGGCCTCTCCAACAAGGCCGTCGACGCCGTGGATGACGCCGCTGAGGCCCAGCCCATCGACGACCGCGACCGCGAGGCCATGGACCCCGCATCCATTGTCAAGAAGTCGCAGCTCGACCCCGCCGCCGAGGAGGACGTCCGCCCGCCGACCGAGGACGTCCTCTCGCGCGGCACGCTGTGGCCCGAGGTCGAGAAGCTGTACGGCCACGGGTACGAGCTGTCCTGCCTGGCCGCCAGCCACGACCGGCGTCTCGTCGCGAGCGCCTGCCGCGCCAGCTCCGTCAACCACGCCGTCATCCGGCTCTTCGAGACGGCGCCGCGCTGGACGGAGGTGCGCCCCCCGCTCGCCGCGCACTCGCTCACCGCCACACGGCTGCGCTTCGCCCCGGACGATGCGCACCTCCTCAGCGTCGGCCGCGACCGCCAGTGGGCCGTCTTCCAACGGACGTCGGGCGAGACGCCCGGGTACGAGCTGCTGCAGGCGAACCCCAAGGGCCACGCCCGCATGATCCTCGACTGCGCCTGGGCGCCGCGTGGCACCGCGCCGCTGTTCGCGACCGCCGGCCGCGACAAGCAGATCCGCCTGTGGCGCGGTGAGGCCACCAACGCGGAGGGAAAGCCGCTTACGTTTGCGCAGGCGGCGGCGCTGTCGATCGGCGTGCCCGTCACGGCTGTCGACTTTTTGCCGCGCCGCGCCGCGGACGGGCGCTGCTTGCTCGCGTTCGGCACCGAGGACGGGCGCGTCGGCACGTATCTGGTGTCTGCGGACGGCGCCAAGGCGGAGGAGCGGCCGTTGCCGACGGACATGCACCTCCCCAAGGCGGTGGCGCAGCTCGCGTGGCGACCCTCGCAGGAGAAGGAGAGCGGCGGGACGGATGTTGCTGAGCTTGCTGTGGCGGGAGAGGACTCGTCGCTGCGAGTGTATGCGTTTAAGGATGGGTTTTGGAAAACCACGTAAAGAATATACATGCATGATGATGAATGAAAAAACATAGACAAGAGCATTCACAGTGCAATACAGGATGAACACGTAGTATATGTGGTATTATCATTAAGGTCTCGTTCGCTGAGAATATGTATAGTTATGCATATGTGCATCAGTGCTGGGTTTCCGTGGGCCATTGTATGTAGCAACGGCATGCCGCTAGGTCTCCTGTCCGGATGGCAACTTGCACCATCGCGTCTCGTATGTCTCATTCCCACCTGACGCCATTGCCGACTCCAGACAGCGCCCCTATGCTATTTCTGTTTTCCCGGACTCTCGGTTGTATGTTTGCCATCCCCGCCCGTGTCCCGCTCCACGTCATTCGAATGTCGCATGCCAACCTCGCGTCCCTCCCACCCTACCACGAGGATGCGCTTCACAGCTCCGCCTTGACGAGCGGCGTGGCGGCGGGGATGATGGGCATGGTGGCGTCGAGCACTCCCGACGTCAGGACCTCGCGGACGGCCTCGCGCGCCGAGGCAGCGACGTCGATGCTCTCGCCGTTGATGTAGTACCAGACGCGGCCGGCGAGGACGGTGACGTGGTGGGGGAGGTAGAGGATGGCGGCGATGAAGGTGAGGCTGAAGAGGAGGAAGACGATGGAGTCTGCCGCCAAGGTGAGCGTTAGTAGGGCGTATGCAGGTGGTGCGAGGAGGGACGTACAAAAGGCAAACTTCTCCCAGGGCGTAAACATGTAGACGGCAAAGGTGACTTCAATCTGGATCTGCTTCTTGCGCAGCCATTTGGTGAACTGGGCAAAGGTGGACATGGTTGCGGTGGTACGTGTTTCTTATTTAGGAAGAGAGCGTGATCGATGCTGCTGAAGGGCTCGGGGCACTGGTCGTGATGCGTCGTCGCAAAGATCCGGGGCTGTCGAGGGCAGGTTCGACGAAGGGGGGAGCGTCGACGGACGGTTATGTTGAAGCGCGACGTCAGGCTTGTTGCGTTGGCTGACAAGAGTTTGGCCACGGCTTCTGATCAATCGTTTACGGAGAATATCGCGGATACCGTCGGGTCGTTGGTCTCGTTGAAAAGGTTTCTTGCCGATGGTGTCACTTCGGAGTTGACGGGACGAGGTTGTCGAAAATTAAAGGGACTCCCCCACTATAAAATCGCCGCCAGGGGTTGCCGAGTTGGACGGGGTGTGATGCTAGCGCTGCCGACTCGACTCTCCGTCTTGCATAGATATGTAGGTTTTTTTTTTTTTTTTTTTTTTTTTTTCTTAAACTAATTATTCTTCAATAAATTATGAAGAAAGAATGGTGTGAGTGCAGGTCGGCATAGCCTGACAATTACGCTTGGATCACTTACACTAGCTACTCCCATCTACTGGTATTCGTTCAAAAGACTGAATAAAAGATATGAAAATAAGTAAAATAACTTCAATATTAGACGCATCTGTACATAGGCATTATATCACTTACATCATTCTATTTCAACGCTCTACACTTTGCTTACTTGTACCCCTACCTCGTGGCCGTCCCATATACAGCTGGTGGCTGAACACCATTTCAGCTCTCCTCCTCACCTATCATCATTAACGCCTCATACAAGCATAAACGAAGGCAAGCCACCGATCCAATCAATGAGCAGTTGAATACTTTCTCTCCCGCCCACCTAGAGCCAAGCTGATATTACAGCACCGTCTCCCCGTCGCCATGAAGACCTTCCGGCTCCTCAACACCACCGCCTGGGCCGTCGAGGTTTTCGAGGTCGGCCACGCGCCGCCGTATCTCGCCGTCTCTCACGCTTGGTCGGACCGCATCTTCCCCCGACAGCTGCCCCTCGCGCCCTCCTTTGGAGCCGACGCCATCCAGCAGACCATCCTCCAACCCAGCCTCCTCCCGCAGGAGGTGCGCCACTGCTGGGTCGACCTCTTCTGCATCCTGCAGGACTCCGAGGACGACATGTGCGAGCAGATCCCCCTCATGGGCCGCATCTACGGCGACGCCACCGCCGTCCTGATTGTCCTCACGGTCAAGCTGGATTTGACGCAGACGCACATCGACCACGGCGCCGCGGAGCTCGCCGGGGCGCTCCAGGTCTGGCGCGACGAGTCGTGGACCGAAGACGCCGCGCACCGGCGCTGGGCGCGCGGCCCCGGACGCGCAGCGCTGGTGCGCGCCATGCAGGCCCTCGCCAGGTTCACAAGCGCCGCCTGGGGCACGCGCGTGTGGACGCTGCAGGAGTACCTCCTCGCCGCCGATGTCCTCTGGATCGGCGCCGAACTGACGCCGCTGCGCGTCCCGGACGAGCTCTTCGCCGCGCTGCCCCGGCTCTGCGAGGAGCTAGACATTCGGGAGTGTATCCGTGTCGGTGAGGATGCGGACCGCGGACGGTACGAGCTGCTCTTCTCGCACTTTGCGGGCATGGCGGCGCGCCGCACCGGCGCGGTGGACCGCACGCGCGTCATGGAGATGCTGGGTAATCGCCGCGCGTTCCTCCCGGTCGACGAGGTCTACGGCGCCATGGCGGTATCCACGGTCGAGATCGCCGTGCGGCCGGCGGGGGAGTCGCGGGAAAGCGCGTGGAGGCGGTGGACGGAGGCGGCGCTCAGGGCCGGGCATCTCCGGTGGCTGCTGGTGCCGCCGGCGATGGCCACGGCCGACGACGACGACGACGACGACGACGGTGCGTCTGGTAGCCTCACGTGCGCGGAGGTCCTCTGCTCGAGGCGCCACGTGCTGTCGTCGGCCTCGGGGCTAGACACCGTCACGCCGTACGCGCCGGTCAGCGTCTCCGACCCCGAGGGCACGGTCTCGCTCACCGCGCGCCCGGTCGGACCGTGCACGATCCTCCGGCCGCTAGGCCCCGTCCACCGCAGCGACAAGGGCTGGGTGCACCGCGACCTGACGCTCATTCTCTACTCGGGGGGCGCCTGGTCCTCCGCCGTCGAGGTGGCGCTCGCGTTCGGCGCCGGGCGGTACTCCCGTAAGCAGCTGCTCATGATCGCGCAGACGCTGGTCAACAACTACGACCGGGCGCTGCGGTTCGTCGCCCGGCGGACCGAGGCCAGGTTCTACCCAGTCTTGCAGTCGGAGCGGTACGCGCGCGTCTGGGCAGACCTGATGCAGCTGCAGTCGCGGTGCGTCATGGACGCCCTCAACTTTGGGTTTGGGTTCTTGGTCCGCGTCGACGGTCTGGGGGTGCCGTTCTTGACGGTGCTGGTGACGAATGGACGTCGTTCGCGGGGAGAGCTCGTCGCGTTTGACTGCAACGCGCGCGGCACCGACGGGCGGCACAAGCTCCTAGTCGGCGAGAGAGTTGCCGCCGACGAACGGGGGCGGTCACCGGGGAAAGCAGCGGCTCCGTGGCACAAGGCCGGGGTCACGATATCTGTGGGTGAGGACTACGCGTGGGGATGGGATGCCATTCCACTCGTTGAGATTAGCATCGGCGGATCCGGTTGTCTGGTTTGCAAGGAAGCTCGTGCTCATGACAGCCGGACGCAGACGCACATCCGGACGCGACGCCCCGGGAGGGATGAGGTCAGGGCCATCCATCGGCGGTTGCAGAAGCGCCGCAGGGAGAATGATCGTCGGAGTAGAATTAATAAGTTCGTCAGATCAAGAGCGAAAAGACGGCACAGGATGCTATCTGGGTGGGGAGTGACGAAATAGACAAGTTTAAGAGCTGCAATATTTGCTGCATTATGGAGTACATGGAAGAAAAGTCACACAACGCCTCGAGCAAGCACGTATCCTTGACCACGCAATCTTGAGTATTGTATTGATAATAAATTGACACATGATAATAAATTGACACATGACATCCCATGAAATAGCAACCCAAGTTTCTTCCCGGATGTCGTAGGTCAAGTTGTCTAGATCTACGGTGTAACCCGTTCTATAAGCCCAGGGCTTCCGAGGCTTGGAGTAATCGATGAACAAGACGGATCAGCACTCTTATTTACTCCTTTTTGCAAAGTAGAAATTTACTCAACCAAAGATGAGAGGAGCTGGTCTACCACAAATGTAATATATTTTGTGTTGAATATCAACGTTCGGTTGACGTCCACAGTACAGCCCAGCGACCGACCCACCTCATATATCTACTACATACAACCCGTCCACTTCACTTCATCCGACCTCGATCCTGCATCTACCATCTCAGCAACTCACCCACCCGCAGAGTGTAGCACCGCCATCCTTTCTCAATTGCACTCTGTACACCAAGCACCGCCCCATCTACTCATCAGCCTCAGCCGGTTAAACAATCTCAACTCGCCACCCACCATGCTATGCCTCCTCCACCGCGGCGCGCGCATCGCCGCCACCTCATCCCCTCGTCTCTTCACCCACTCCGCCCTCGCCCTCCAAAAGCCCATGCCCTCCCGTCCCAAACCCCCTCCCGACTCCGAGCTCGAAGAGTCCTACCTCAAAGGCAGCGGCCCCGGCGGTCAAAAAATCGTAACCCCCCCCCCCTTCTCTCCACCCCGTTTCCCAGGCCCTCTCTAACACCCGCATAGAACAAAACCAACTCGGCGGTGCAGATCAAGCACATCCCCACCGGCATCGTGGTCAAGTCGCAGGCCACGCGCTCCCGCTCGCAGAACCGCAAGATTGCGCGCGAGATCCTGGCCGAGCGGCTGGACGACCTGCGCAACGGCGCGGAGAGCCGCGCGGGCGTGGTCGGCGCGGTCCGCAAAAGGAGGGCGGACAGCGCGGCAAAGAAGAGCAGGCGCAAGTATAGGAAGTTGGACGAGGATAGGGCGGCGGCGGCGGAGGAGGAGGAGGAGGGCGGGGGGCATGCAGTGCCACGGACAGAAGCAGAGACAAGGCGAGTTCCCGGGAACGGAAGTGACGGGTCGGGCCACAAGTCAGCAGAAGAGCCAGTCAACGGCAAAAGCGAATCGTCGCAAACAAGCCATGATGCATCATCAGGCCAGTCGCCAGTTGACTCAACAAGATAGTGGCGAGAGAGCATACATAGATCGACTATAACGCACAACGCCTACGCACCCAAGCACTGGCCGGAAATCACAACGCAGTTTTCACTAAGTATACAAACTTAACCGTCGCATTCTTCCTTTGGGCTACACCCTTTAGCAAAGATATAAAAAGAATTTTGGTGTGAAACTTCAGCGTCTAGTCCGTAAGCTTCATAAAATACCCAGCCGGCTACATCACACGACCATTACCCTCAAAGAACCAACACCCAGCCTCCTGCATCCTGTCAAAAGCATGCTGCAAATGTCATAGACGACGGTGGAACACACGGGGCTGACAATACTTTGCGCCGTTCGCCACCTTCGCAATCTTTGCCAGTATCTGAGGGCACGGGATCCTTCTTTCGTTACTCCTTCGCTACTGACGCGTCAGGCAAAAATTCAACCACGCCGTATTAGTAAAAACTCACCTTAGAAGCACTTGCGGTGGACGATGGAGGGGCCGCTCTCGTCGTACTCCTGCTTGGAGATCCACATTTGCTGGAAGGTGGACAGGGAGGCGAGAATGGAACCACCGATCCAGACGGAGTACTTGCGCTCGGGAGGAGCGATGATCTTGACCTTCATGGAAGAAGGAGCAAGAGTGGTGATCTCCTTCTGCATACGGTCGGCAAGACCAGGGTACATAGTAGTGCCACCAGACTACAAGAGTTAGCAACGAAGCGAGGGCAGATCATGTTTCCACACATACCATGACAATGTTGCCGTAGAGATCCTTGCGGACATCGACGTCGCACTTGATGATCGAGTTGAAGGTGGTGGAGTGGATACCGCCAGACTCGAGACCGAGGACGGAGGGCTGGAAGAGAGCCTCGGGGGTACGGAAACGCTCGTTGCCAATGGTGATGACCTGACCGTCGGGAAGCTCGTACGACTTCTCGAGGGACGAGCTCTGCGCAGCAGTCTGGATCTCCTGCTCAAAGTCAAGAGCGACGTAGCAAAGCTTCTCCTTGATATCACGGACGATTTCACGCTCGGCGGTCGTGGAGAAGGCGTAACCACGCTCAGCCAGGATCTTCATGAGGTAGTCGGTAAGATCACGGCCAGCCATATCAACACGGGCAATAGCGTGGGGAAGAGCGAAACCCTCGTAGATAGGGACAACGTGGGTGACACCATCACCGGAGTCGAGGACGATACCAGTGGTACGACCAGAGGCGTAGAGGGAGAGGACGGCCTGAATAGAGACGTAGAAGGCGGGGGCGTTGAAGGTCTCAAAGACAATCTGGGTCATCTTCTCACGGTTGGACTTGGGGTTGATAGGAGCCTCAGTCAGGAGGACGGGGTGCTCCTCAGGAGCGACACGGAGTTCGTTGTAGAAAGTGTGGTGCCAAATCTTCTCCATGTCGTCCCAGTTGGTGACGACACCGTGCTCAATAGGGTAGCGGAGGGTAAGAATACCACGCTTGGACTGAGCCTCGTCACCGACGTAGGAGTCCTTCTGACCCATACCGATCATGATACTGCGAAATGGCGTTAGATGTTGGCGTTGGCGTTGGCGTTGGAGCTGACGTTGGGAGTGGCGAATGGGCGCAAAGGCGCAAAATCTCCCAGCGCTTCTCGTTGTTTTCGGTCAAGACTTACCCATGATGACGCGGACGGCCGACGATGGAAGCTGGAGTCGCGACTTAGCAAGGACTCAAGTTTTGGGGGTAAAGCATCGCCATCCATTGGGTGGGCGTTTGGCCGTAGGGCCAAAGCGTGCAAGCTGGCGATAGGAGCTAAAGTGGGGTACTTACGGAAAACAGCTCGGGGCGCATCATCACCGGCGAAACCGGCCTTGCACATACCGGAACTGCAGCGCTGGTCAGTAGGTGATAAGGGAATTGAAAAAACCTCCATCGCTCTGCCGAGCCCGATGAGTATTCCCCAGCTGCGTCGGCCAAACGAAAGGGGCGCGTGGTGTCGGCGCGGGCGGACAGGGATAGCTTTGTCGACAAGCTGATCGGACCAGGAGGGGTAAGGGGGCTCAGGCTGGCGAACATGTCGGTGAGGCGGTGGGGGGATTGAGCTTACCCATTGTCAATGACGAGGGCAGCAACTTCTTCTATAAAAACGAAAAGACAAGTCAGCGATTGATTCGAGAGGTTCCAGAGTCAATGGCATCGCAGGTGGCGGGAGCAGCAGCAGCATGCACCGCAGGGAGGGGCGGGATTGCGTAAACGCGGCGGCGAGGTGACAAAGGCAGCGGCAACGTACCCTCCATGGTTGCGAGATTAGATTTGTGAGGAAAAAAAAGTCGGAGGGATTCGACAAGAAGAAGTGCTCAAGGGACAAGGAGGACCTCGAGAGCTAGATGTAACGGTTGAGGAGATGGAGATTGAGCCAAAGGGGACAAGACTCGGAAACGGGGGAGAAGGAGGATGGAGTGGGAATTGAATGTTTTTGTAGAGGGAACAAGAGCGAAAGGCAGAGGCAGGAAGGTGTGGAGGAAGAGGGGCCAAGGGAAAGGAGTCAAGTATCTCCGCTGCCTTGCTTGGGCGGGGCGGTACATGAAGCAACAAGCAACGAGCAAGAGAGAGGCCAGCCAGAAGCCAGCAGTACGAGCTGGGTGGGTGGTGGCGGGCAGCCAGTCCCAAAAACAAGCGCCAACGAAAAAATAGTTGTGGGCGGGGGTAACCCGACCGGCCACCATGTGCCCAAGGCCAAGGAGGGTTGCTGCCACTGACAGTACTACTTCTGCCGTTGGGGGTGCCTCAAATCACAAGAAAAAGTGAAAAATTCAGCCAGCTCTCTACACCCGTGCGACGCAGTTTAGCCAGTCAAACACCTACAACGCCCCATGGGTGAGGCTCTCTGGACTATCTTCAACATCCTCCTAAGTACAGCACTTCTTAGCCCCTAATTCGCTCAGAGCCTCTGTTTTGTGGAACCCAAGGCTACCCTGTGGCTTTGCCACTGCTGAGCCACGCCGCCCAGAGACGCCTAACTTGTCATCCTTCACGACCGTCTTACCCTCTCACCAGCGGCTGTAACGGGTTGTCGTCCACTAATGTCGTCATCAAGCAGGAGGCCATCAATCTCCATTCATATGCCTTGCAACTCTGTATCATCAAGTCTGCGGGAATCGTCAGAGAGTCCCTTGCATCCATGACCCCTCCAAAGACGCCGCCATGTCTCAACCTTCGCCCAGAATGTCGCCTAAAACGCTGCTAAAAATACACACCACCAACATCCAACCATCTTCACTTATGCAACATTAACATCTCACCCTCCGAGGCTCCGTGGCGTAACCTGACGTCGTCATCCCAACCCACTCCGGCCCAATTCCTCGCCTCTGACACGCAAGCCAACATGTTTCTACAAGGCGGGGTTCTTGGCCGAAGTGAAAGCCTATTAGCATTTCTCACGGATCTATCTATGTAACATCCCAGACCGCATTCCATCGAGCCTGTAACGCCACTTCTAGCTTTGTGAGCTCCGTTTCAAGTAGTGAAGTATAATTACTGATACTCTGAATTGCCAGCAGAACCAGCAAACACTGTCGGCCTGTCTGCTAGTTGATGCAGATGCAGGTATCCCAAATACTCGGCGCTCTTGACCCCAAACGTGAAGCTAATTGCTACAGCAAATAAGAAGGAAATAAAAGGAAATTTCTTTCTCTTCTTTATCTCTTTAAATATTTCCAACGTTTGTTTAGTAACTATGAAAGACGGCTTCGCCCTTCTTTCATGTACACCCAACAGACTAGCCCAAATTCAGCTAGCGTCTCATGAACATTCGAGAAGGTTGGCGGAGCTTCGACGACCTGGGGATGCACACACCAACTTTACGTCAAAACTTCCTTTTATGAGCCTCGCTCTGTCAATTTTTTCCCTACTTTCCATTTTACTATTCCTCCTGTTAATCTATTTGTTGAACTCATAATCCGCACCGGGAGCAATTTTCCACTTCATAACGAGCCGCAGACCGAAATCGCAACGACTCCGCCTCCGCACCTTCAATCAACCCCTCCAAGAAAAATCAATCTCCTATCGCAATGGGTGACAAGCGTCTCAACGACCTCCTCCGCTGGAGCATCGAAAACTCGCCAAACGGCGCCCCCGATGCTTCTGCCGCCACCAACGGCGCCGCGGCGCCAGCCTCGAACCTCACCCCCGACGTCATGGCGGCGCTCATGGGGGGCCCGTCCGAGGCGGACCTCATGAAGGCGTCGATGGAGATCATCACCGCCGCGGACGTGACGCTCGAGAACAAGCTGATCGCCTTTGACAACTTTGAGCAGCTGATCGAGTCGCTCGACAACGCCAACAACATGGCCAACCTGGGCCTGTGGACGCCGCTGCTCGCGCAGCTCGCCAGCGACGACGCCGAGGTGCGCACCATGGCCGCGTGGTGCGTCGGAACCGCCGTCCAGAACAACACGCGCACGCAGGAGCGCCTGCTCGCGGCCGGCGGCGTCGAGCCGCTGGTCGCGCTGGCGACGCGCGAGGGCGAGCCGGAGGGCGTGCGGCGCAAGGCCGTGTACGCGCTCAGCTCGGCGATCAGGAACTACCAGCCCGCGCTCGACGCTGCGGTCGCGGAGCTCGTGGCTGCGGGCCACGCGGCAGAGAAGGTGGACGCGACGGATATGGAGGCCGTGGATACCATCATCACACCGCTGCGTGAAAAGGCCAAGGCTTCTGCGTAGGGCAGCACAATGAGCAAGATGAAAGTTTTACGGCGGACACTAGCATGAAAATACGGTGTTGGGGCGTTGATTTTGATGATTATCTTATAGAATTCAATGCAGGGGCTCATTCACATGGTTTACAGATGCGGAATCACTTTTCAAAAATCTAGTTTTGTTGATACATACAAATGTTGGTACATGGGATATGTCTATGCCAGTGACAGAAAGCATTCGTCTTCGTCTTCTTCATCTTTTTGGAATACTCTTCACATAAAATTTAGTACGTAACCTTGCCGTAGAATGGGAACCCCAAAGCTTCCAGCAAAAGACGTCCTTGTCTGTCTGATGTACCGGTCGTCTGGATAATGATGTCGCAGCCTGGCATGAGATGCGGTGGGTACATCTAGAAAAAAGTCAGTATTCAATACAGTGCATGGACTGGGCACTAAACATACATCAAAGTTGTACTCGAGCTCGGGAAAGTAGGACATGTACTCGGGGCTCAGGCCTAAGCCCAGGTTGCCCGCGCGATCGCCCGAGCTGCCCTTGACGCCGGGCCATTCCTTGATCTTGGGCAGCACCAGCGTCACCAGCTTGTCCACAAACTCGTACGCGGCGCCGCCACGCAGCGTCACCTTGGCGCCCGTCTTCTGACCCTTGCGGACGCCCCAGTGGATGACGTTGGAGCGGGTGCGCGTGACCTCGGAGAACTCGCCGGTGATGGCCTGCACCACGGCGCGGGCAACGTCCAGGTACTCCTTGTTGTCAGCGGCCTCGGGCGCGTACGAGTTGACGGTGACGGCGACGATCTCGGGCAGGTTGTGCCAGCTCATCTCCTTCTCGACGAGGCCGAGGCGGCCCGACTGGCCACCGCGTGGGCCGCGTCGCGGACGGTTCTTGTGGTACGGCGACGAGCCGTCCCACTCACGCAGCTGGCCCTTGGTCGACTCGGGCGTCTCGTAGCCGAGCGGCTTGTGCGTGTAGGTGAGTGTCATCAGGTCCGGCGCGATCGTGCTGTCGTAGGTGTGCTTGAGGCGCGGCAGGTTGAACGGCCCGGGAACGAAGTCACGCGCCGTTGGGTCGGACGATGGCGGCGACTGTATCGGATGGAGAGGTCCTCGGTTGTACTTGGGGGGATGAAATTGATAGCTGCATGGCAATGTTAGAAACAGCGTGTCTGGAAAATAAGAGCGTCGCTGATGCCATGCAAAACGATCGGGGGTCTTTGCGTAAGCATCAGGTGAAAACATCTGACTCACCGACTGCCGGGCAATTGCTTGTCTCGCTTGTTATTAGCCTTGGTCTCTTTGAACGCCTTTACGGCGTCCTCGTCGGGCCCTGGCGTGGAAAACGATGTCGACTCTTCAATGCCTGCCAAGGGGTTCTGGGAAGTCGCCGAGGACGCAAAGCGGCGAGCGCAGGGCTGGGCGACCTGCCTACTCAATTGCCTGCCGCTTACAGCTCTAAGCGCGCGCATTCCTTCGCGGGCGCCAGCCATAGCGACAATCGATAAAGGTCGGTTTGTGAATAGGGCGTCGCAACGGAGATGTGCTGTCTCGTGTGCTTGTTCATCATGCCTGCAAATTTACGAGAATGCTAGATGTGGCTAGTGTATGTTCAGCCACATAAGTTGTGGCGGTGCAAAAGACCTGACCTTAGGAAGCTGGCCTTCCGTAGGTAGCCAAAGTGGTTTAGGTTTACCGAGAGGTGGTATTTTCGCTACTTTCATGTAAATTTGTTTATTTTACAAATTTGAACATGAGACGATAATTTTTCAAAGTCAGTATGCCACAACCTTCGCCAAGGGTGACGAGTCTAATGTAAGCTTGTGCTTGGCTACCTACTCAACTGCAGTAGCTCAACCAGTGGCTGAACAATATCTAGGAGTTACAAAAAATATTGTGCAGGAGGCTCCCAAATAAATCTGCCTGGATGCAGTTAACATGACTGCCTATTCGTCGGCGTAAGCTACTGACGCGGCCAAAGCTCACCGGTGCCAGTCAAGCCAGGCAACACTGCTTCAGCACCACCGCACTCGTCCGACTATTGAACTGTATGACAACACGGCTTCTGCATATCTAAATGCAGGTGACTATTCTGCAACTCACTACCGCCCTCTCTGGCGATCAGGTGAGAGTGCCATAGGGTAAAAAGCCGACAGCCGGAGGTATCAGGTTAAATGTTAGGCTGTGGCGGCGGCCTGCTAACACTGTATTATTAGCCACACTGGCTCTTATTGTACGTATGTACATAGGTAGGTAGTAGGCAAATCGATGGACAATGAACAAGGTCAGGTGCCCGACCCAGCCATTTTTTGTTACACCGTCCAAGCACAAAATATAAATTTAATTGATAATCATTGCCTTGGCCAAACAACTCCCTGAAAAAGATCGACCCCGCCACCTACTATAAATAATAACGTGGGTGAACCTGTTGCAACACCCAGCCCACAAACCCATCAGCGCAACCCCACCTGCTACTTGCCTCACCTTGCCCAGGCTTGGCTCCATACTATGTTGGCAGGTCCCTTGAAACCTCGCGATGACAACAAGCTCGCTCCCATTCTATACCCGGCCAACATTGCTTCCTGTCCGGCTCGCCTCGAACTTCGCTGTATCTTTCTCTCACTATTCAAACTCTAATCTCGCTAGGCCGAACTCATCCCCAGCCAGTTGTCCTAAAAGCGCGCGCGAACCTTAGCCAGCAAGTGCTCCTCTACCACCGAACCGTCCCGCATCGAATCGCGCCGTCGACGGCTTTGCTCACCTAGGCCCATGTCAACAAGTCGTACTGGTTCGCGTCTCTAGTATCATGACTATTGATCATCTCTGGCTGCCTCGCTAAAACCTGCGAGGCATTGCACATCGCGACCACCCGCTTCCTGCTCCTCGACAACTCCACAAGTCGAGTCCATACCGAGCATGAAGGAGTTTCCGCGCAAGTTCTTGAGCCTTCGGGACAAGAATCACTCACACAACAGGAGCAAGTCGGCGCCGCCTTCAAAAGTACGCTCGCTATCCCTTTTTTTTTTCGCCCTAATCGGCTTGCCTTCATACTAAGCCTCTCTCTTTCCCAGAGCCGACCTCGCTCGACCGAGGCTTTCTTTGCTTTATTCGGCCGCGACGCCAAGTCCAAGGATACAGCCGACAAGGATGAAGAAGATTTCAAGGTAAACACCTGCAATATCTTTCCTAAAAGCCTCTAGAAACGCACCCCTCTAACCTGCTCTAGGTTGAGGAGATACGCCGCCACCTCGACGAGCTCAATATTACCAACGTCAGCAATGAACATATCAAAGATATCCTGGGTACCGCATTCGTCAATGGCGGTGCGAAGCAGACGGCCGAATTTATAAGCATCGAACAGAAGTCTGTTGCCGGTACCATTGTTCCATACAATCGTCATGTGCAGATGCTCGGCGCCGAGAATCGGGGCGGCGTTACTTGCTATCTCGACGCTCTCCTCTTCTCCATGTTTTGCAAGATGGACGCTTTTGAGTGTATGCTCAAAACAGAATTCCCGGCCGGTGATACAAAGGCCAAGCTTGTCAACCTGTTGCGCGTATGGGTGAATTTGCTTCGTTCTGGAAAACTCGTCAAAGTTGATCTGGTATGCAGTCACGTACATGATGCATTAACCTAGGCGCACAAAATCATGCTAATAATCAAGCAGACACGTTTAATTCAAGAAGCGATGGGCGACAGTGGCTGGCCAGACGCCCGTCTACTGGAACAACAAGACACATCCGAAGCATTCGCTTTTCTCACAGAGACTCTCCAGCTTCCACTATTATCCCTTCAAGTCGACCTTTTCCATCAAGGGAGAAAGGATAAAGAAGACCACAAGGTCGTCTACGAACGATTGCTGAACCTAGCTGTCCCCCCAAATCAAGATGGGAAAAGCATCAGGCTTGAAGACTGCCTTGAAGAATACTTCAACGCGCAAGTCGACGTGTTGCGGGACAGCGAAGAGGCCAAAAAATCTTCTTCGAATGACAAAGAACCCCACACCCCTACTCTTTTACACCAAAAGACGCTGCGGCTTGTTCGAGGTGAGGAGTACAATGATGACTCGACAACCTTCAGTGCCTCTCCTTTAGACATGTCGCCTCTACACCCGTTCTCTAGCCAATCGTCAGTGGCAAGCGACTTTCCCGCTCTTGAGCGGCCGGCTACCTCCACGGGTGTATCTCTTGATGCAACACCTAAATTTGAGGCGCCCGCAATACCAAAGCGGCTCTCTTTGAGAAATAGATCCGGAAGCCTCATTCGAAGGGTTGTTATCGATGAGGAGGGAAGGCCGACAGACACAAATGTGGAAGAGGCTCGTAAGATCAGTCGAAAAGGCTCTATGGTAGTGAAGGCTGTAACGATACCTGCCTGGCAATTCTTTCGACTTATCCGTAAGTTCCCAGCATCACCAATAAGTATAGTCCGAACAAGGCTAATCTTTACAGCTTGGCATGCGGTTCGAGCAAATGAACCTCGCAGTAACTCTGAAGTTGTGCTCAATTTCGAACAGCGGCCTGTTGTTGGCATATGTCTAAAACGTTATGCCATGACATCCACTGGGCAGCCACAAAGACACAACACCTACATCGACATTCCCGACAGCCTCCGTCTGCCACACTTCATGCTCGCCGACGGCCCCAATACGAACCCTGATGATTCCCTATTGACATCGGACTTCAAGCTTGTGCTGCAATCAGTCATCTGCCATCGCGGTGATACCCTGCAAAGCGGACACTACATTGCCTTTGCGAGAGCCGCGCCGAAACTTCTGACCTCGAATAGACGCCATAGCTTCGATCCGCCCCCGGATTATGAAGAGGCTCAATGGGTCAAATTTGATGATCTCGAAGAGCCTCGTGTCACAGTTGTCGACAACATCAAGAAGTCCCTCGCTGAGGAGATGCCGTACCTTCTTTTCTACCAGATTGTGCCCATGGTGGAAGTAGCTTGCCCTTCAACAGACGGCACTGCCACCGGCCCGCCATCCTACCAAGAATCTAAGACGAGCCTTGAAATACAGACTTCTCGGGCCACCGATGGCGGCCCATCCATTCCGAGCAAGCCTCCCAGCATCCGCCTATCAATGGACGACGAGAGGCCTACGGGAACAGTTAGGTCAGCGCGACCGTCGGTTTCTGGCTCGGTGCCTACAGATTCTCGCCGCGATAGCGCCAACTTCACCCTATCCTCCATCACTACGCCTATCATTACGCCGACTCGTACGCCAGAGGCTAATTCTCCAATAATTTCACCAAGCGATATCAAGACGCCCCGTCTCTCGCGAGCCGCGTCACGTTTCACTCTAGGTCGCCAGAGCCGGCCTAGTAGCCAGTCTGGCGAGGGACGCATTAGTTTGTCGATTACTCGTCTTGGTGGTCTCATAAAGCAGAATAGGGAAGTTTTGCCTAATGCTGAAAACGGTGAGGAAAGAGGGTCGACTCCTTTAGGATCCCCGTCGCCAAGAAATGCCAGCTTCGAAGTCTTCCGCAGCGCCGAGGGCCAACAACCACCCTCCACTGCCAACACTTCCACGGCCGCCACTGCCACGACGGCCGTGGAGCCGGAATCAAAGCGCAGCAAGCAGAGGCGCAAGAGCAAGTCGCGAGAAAAGACTCCCAAGCCTAGCAAGCAAAAGGACAGCTCTCAGCCGGATCGAGAATGCCTTTTGATGTAGCTTTCGGGAAGATGATGAGGAACGATGAACCACGATGCGATTTGGTGGTATTTTGCATGGCAAGGTTCATCTTTATAGAGGAGGTTTTCTGCTTTTCTTTCCAGATATATACCACGCAGACGTAAGGGCTTGGGTTTTCTTAGAGCATTGCCGCCTTTTTTTTTGTTTCTCTTCCTAGCCACACCATTCCTACATCATTTGGATACAACAAAACCTTGCCTAAGGCAACACGATAACCTATTGGATTTATATCTTATTCCATCCTCTGGTCAAGTCACACTGCCACTTCATCTACATCCCTAGCATCCGTATACTTTATTGCAATTTTTCAGCTACACGCCTCCTATACATATACTGTTTTCCGCATAAATTAGGACGTAGCGAAGGCCCTAACTTTACCATCGTTTTGCTGCCTTCTCTAGCTCTTCGAAATGTCTATACGTTGTCGGGCGTCCTTGGCTCACCGCGTCGAGGCTTGACAAGTGTCTAATTTTGGGGGAATATCCGACAGGCTCGTCCGAAGAGGTCAAGAAGTCTTGGTTATTAACATATTCATTGAATCTTTCTATGATTTTTTTTCTTGCGTTTTGTGGCACTTTCCTCTTCAACCAGCAGCCTTTGTCACGTTCTTCCACTCCACATGTGCTCCGTCCATGTGTTTTTTCTTGTACACTACTCGATGCCAGCTCCTATCAGTACATCGAATCATATATCTTTCCATATCGAAAAGAAACAGCCCAAAATATATGCCAACAAAAATGCCATTCTCTTCCACCACTCGGACCTTTTTGGTTCTTCCACAGCCGAGGAAGAACAATGGGAACAAAAAGAAATAAAAGAAAAGAGGAGTTTAATGTACAGAGGCTGGGCAGGGAATTTGCCGAGCCTGGCCATGTAACAGATGGAGATCCCCGCGCCGCCCAAGTCTATTTTAAAGATGATGAAACGTCCATGTGCAGGTGCCTGAAGCATTAGAAAAAGGCGAGCCATAATTCGTTACTGAAAGCACATTGCGATGGGAGAGGGTAGTAAGACAACGGGTGGAGGATGGGCAGGCCTCGCCTCTCTCACGGCTTTTTCGAATTTGTAGGTTCGTCGTCTCGTGTTCTTTAGAGTCGAGGGATCGTTGCGCTAGGGAGGACTACCATGGGAGACAACATCCGTTTAAAAAGGAATGTTAGGAGCATTCTGAGTGAGAGCCTCCTGCTGGTCCTGGAGCTCCTCGGGAGCGGCCTCGATGGACACAGCGAGGCCGAGTTTGGCTTGTTGCGTGAAGTGGTCAATGTCGGCAGCAAAGGTCATCATGACAGGAGGGGCAACGCGCTTCTCGAGCAGGCAGCTCAGCTTGCCGTTGGAGTCGGCCTGCGCGCGGAAAGTAGACATGCGGAAGTCGTACTTGAGACCAACAGAGGTCACGCCCTCCTTCTGAAGACCACCGCCCATCATGCCGGCTGAAGGCACGAGACCAAGTGTCAGATCAACACCAGCCTGGACGCGCTCGGAGATCTTCTTCCAGAAAGAGGTGTTGAGAGTACCCATAGCAGCCTGGAGCTGAGCAGTCGCAACCCAATCCTCAGCCTTGTATCTGGCGCAGTAAGAGACGGCGGTTTCGGGACCTTGGCTCAGGGAGGGGCGCTGCCAAACGGTCTCGAGACCGAGAGCGAGCTTGGGGGTAACAGACTGTAGGTAGCTGCCAATGAAGATGCCAGTCATGCCGCCCTGGAGGAAAGAAGGGTTGAGCATCTTGAGGTTGGCGCTAAAGTCGTTGCCCATATATTCGTGCTCAAACTGGGCCATGTCCTGGTTATCGGGAGACATCGAGGCCTGGACCTTGGAGATGAGCTTGTCCGTCCATCGGAGGTTAAAGCGACCAGAAACGGAACCCTCGTTGTCGACGTTGGCTTGACAGAAGACCTAGGTATAGGCGTGAGTATTAAGGCGCAAGGTAGGGGAGCGATCAGTGTCAACTGTCAACATACATTGGAGGTACCGTACATGGCGGCGAAAGTGTAGGGATTGAGCTTCTCGCCCATGGCGAACCCATGCGACACCTGGAACAGCGGGGACATGCTGAAGGCCTTGGTGAGGTCGGCGCGGATGCCGGTGAACATGTGGTTGGTGAGGAAGACATCGCGCTGGACCTCCTTGCTCAGGTGCTCTATCGTGCCGGGGTTGGCTAGGCCAAGCTTGGCGCGGCGCTCTGAGAAGGAGTTGAGGGCATCGCCAATGGTGAGCGCGATGGGGTTGGCGAAGAGAATTGAGCGCAGCGATTCGACTGCGGCGGCCATTGTGACTGGTGGGTTGGTGTTGCGGCGACGCGGGAGCGACGATGACTGACAAGGGGAATACGGGAGTAGAGGCGACGGAGAACCAGTAGGATAAATCAATGCACGCTAGCGAAGAGTAAAAATACAGTCCACAAGCCTAGGTCGCGAGAATGTTAATCAGAAAGATAGACCTTTTGGTTGCCGTAAACGCCGGATGGTCGAAGGGGCGGATGGGCGAAGCTCGGATGAGTTAGGGATGGCAGGAGCGAGCAGGAGAATAATTTTCAGAGGCTCCAATAGGCACGCAGTCGGTCCCCTTTGGTGGTTGCGAGTAAGGTGGCGCTAGAGCTGATGACGGCCAGCCACACTGTGGATGAGTAGTTTGAGGCCCGGAATCCAGAATGTTCCGCTCCGGGCGTTGGCCTTGTGGCTGGGCACGTGCTGCTGATGGAAAGTGACTCTAAAGACTCGGAACTCGGGAGAAAGAAACAAGATAGAAGCTTTATTACCTAAGTAGTAAATTCTGGTTTTGTATGGCATGCCATTATCTCCAGCACCAATTGGCTCTGCCAGGCTCCCACCGCGACTGTCAATGCAACAGCTTGTTCTTGCCAAGTCGCTTACCTAATGATCTGCCCCGCCAAAATCTACCCAAGCCGAGATCCTGGCTGCACGCCATGCAGCAGAGCAATTACCCTGGATAGCCGAGCAAACAGCGGTCTTTGGTCCTGTGACGTTGTCAACTCCCCGTTGGTCAGGAAAGTCCAAACTCTCGTGTTCCGTCATTTCTCAAGGCAGATATTTCAAGTCTCTGGTGCCCGTACCTCGCGTCTTCCGGCCAAGACGGGACTACTGCATGTGCCGATAAGCTGTTGTCATCACACCCCACCAACGTGACAACTCAAAGCCGTTGCGTTTTGGCGGTGCGACAGTGGCGGTAAACCAAGCCTACCATTGTTAGGGCAACAATCCGCCATTGAAACCAGCAGGAGCAGCTCCTATCAACAATGGATACATTGCTGTAAGTCTGAACGATTTACAAGCAGCTAGCTAGGCGGCCACATCCCTACCCCGCGGCGTCACAGCTGTCGGAGCAACTCGCGTGTCGGGTGCCGCAGCCCGGAAACCACAACGAACGCAAGCTAACAGCACCAGAACGGCCGAAATTGCGGCAAATGCGCCTCGGTACCGTCGAAAGAGCTCAACTTTCATTGACGGCATCCACGATGTGACCGAAGACTCTAGCATGGCTCCGGCCCAGCTTTACAGCACCATGTCCGGTCGACTGTTCCACTCGGGCCGGATAGCCATTGTCATGGTTGGGCCTCCTGCGAGGGGAAAGACGTAAGTAATCCGCTACCGGGTCACCTTTCATTACTGACCATCACAGCCACGTCTGTGTGTCGCTAGCTAGATATCTTGGGTGGCTAGGTGTCAAGACGCGTATCTTCCACTTGGGCGACTATCGACGAGCTACCATCGGCCCTGAAAGCGCAGTTCCGAAAGACTACTTTTTCCCCGACGCCTCTCCAGAGTCGGTCATCCTCCGCCAAAAAATATTGAAAAAGTGTCGCGAGGATATCTACGGCTGGCTCAACCACGAAAACGGGCAGGTTGCCATATACGATGCTGTGAACCCGACGGCAAGCGGTCGCCGCTCCTTGGCAAAAGAACTGGCCAAGCATGATGTTCAAGTAAGCCAGGAGTGATAAATGAGAGAAGGGTAAAGTTGCTAACAACCCTAGACCCTCTTCATCGAATCCTATGTTGATGACGAGCGAATCCTCCGGGAGAACGCCAGAAACGTCAAGATTTCCTCGCCAGATGTAGGTGCCGTTATCATGTAATTTGGCTAGACTGACATGTTAAAGTTTGCTGGAATGGACCCCGACGAAGCTGCCAAGCTCTATCTGAAGCGAATCGAAGTTCGCATTCCCGTGTTTGAAACCATGGCTGAGGAAGAACTTAACTACATTAAAATGATCAACGCCGGCGAAAAGTTCTTTTACAACAACGTCAACTTCAGCTACCTCTCCCACAGAATCGTTTTCTATCTGACAAACCTCCACATCAAGGCTCGTAAGACATTCTTTGTCCGCGCAGGCACTACCACGGACGAAGACTCACTCCGGGTAGATGGTCCCCTGTCAGATGCCGGCCGGGCCTACGCAAAGAGGATGACGGAGACCATACTCAAGCACCGCGAACAGGAACATGCCGAGACGGGTGAGAGTGCAGCATCGCTGCCGCCATTGACAGTGTGGACTTCAACCCGCCTACGCACCATTCAGACCGCAGACCCTCTGAGGGAGATGAATTACAAAGTTCGGCAAAGGTCACAGATGAGCCAGCTCAACCCTGGCATTTGCGAGAAACTGTCGGAGCGCGTCATTCGGCAACTATACCCCGAAGAAGTCGAGAAACATGAAGTAGATCCATATCATCATCGGTATCCCCGCGCAGAGGCAAGTCCCCTACCTATACCACTCCAGTTACAACAAGCGCTAACAGGCTGCTTCGCCAGTCATATCACGACCTCGCTGTGCGTCTTGAGCCCATTATCCTCGAGCTGGAGAGGGAGCAAAACGATCTGCTCATCATCGCCCACGAGTCCGTCCTGCGTGTGCTCTACGCCTACCTGATGCACTGCTCGACCGTCGAGATCCCCGCGCTGCGCTTCCCGCGCGACGAGATAATCGAGATCATCCCCGCAGCGTACCAGAACGAGGCTCGTCGTATCCACATCCCCGGCCTCGACCCGGAGGCGATCCTGGGCTCGCCCAGCGGCTTGGGCCTGCTCGCCGCCGGTAGCAGCGTGCCCCCCAGCGGTCCGGCCAGTCGCCCAGCCAGCCAGCCGGCGAGCGGCCAGATGACGCCCCTGGCGGGAGCGGCGATGGGGACGATCTTGGGCTCTGCTGAGTCGACAGCGCCCTTGGAGAGACCCCCGGAGAGGGTTATCAACAAGTCCAAGGATACGGTCGCAGACAAGCTCAATGACGAAGACTAACCAGAGAGCCGCCGATGCGAAGACAGGAGAAGGAGAGGAGATTTATTGGTCATGGATTATGCCGTCATGTGAATAGGAAGAGAATTCCCTCCTTCCTTTTCTTGTTTTTGGCGGCAAGAATGCTGTAGTACGCATTACAGAGACACACATGACGGTCACGCTTTTACGACTCCTTTCTTGTTTTTAGGTCAAACTTTGTTCTACGAATTTATGTCATAGCCCTTTTGCTGTCGGCAGTTAGCCTTTCGATAGAAATTCCTTCTTTTGTCCGACACTGCATACGTTCAACAACAAGCCCCTCCTTTTCGTTCCCCTTTGTTCTCAACCTCTTTTCGGGTTTTACCATCTAACCGCTGTTTTTTTTTGGTCCCGAGTCACACCCGAGAAACGCCACTTCCTGTGACACGTACATAGATACCCTTCGCTCGGGCGCTCGTGTGATGTTTTTCCTCTTTCAAACGGTCAGAGCAATCGGCGGAAATGGAGTCAAAAATAAAAGCTAAAGAAAAAAAAAACGTCAAAGGGAGATGGGTCCGCTTGATTACACATGTAAAATATTTGAATTCGGTTAGACGTGTATGTAAGGCGGCGGCTGTGCAGGTTGAACACGGTGTGAGCTGCAGCAGCGGAGAGGCAAAAAGAGGCCATGTGAGCACGGTGCAAAAAGGCTGCTGCTTTTTTTTTCTTCGTCACACGGGACGCATGTGGACCATTGTTTTGAGGCTCTAAAGATTAAAAAAGCCATTGGTTACACAGAGTAGGGGGGGGGGGGGTTTGATGGGATGGGCTCTGTGAGGCTTGATGGCTGTGGATAGAACCCACGTTCGAGAGGTGAGCTGGCAAGCGTAATGTCAGGAGCAGGGGTGTAAGAGAATCAGAGCTAAGATTAGTTCCCAGTTGAACCAATGCTGGTAATTATGGCGTAGTTGCTGGGTATTCTAGAGCGTGCTCGATGATGCCCAGCTTGCATGAAGGCAGGCAAGCCCGAAAGCTGCTCGTGATTCGGAAAATTGACGCTTTCGAACTTATAATGACGGTAGCGTCTGTATGGTGCTTCCAATTGACCATATTGCAATGACAGGACGGCGGAACTCTCGACTTGAATACGTGTAGCGGTAGAGTGAGGTCGGCAAAGAGCGATAGTTGGGGCTCTCGGTCAACATGCAGACAGGGAGGCTTGCCGGCAACCCGTGTCTCCGCTCATACCTCCGGTTTATTGTACGTATCTCATATCCGTAGTCGGCTCACGAAACCTTCGCAAATAACGGATCCAAGATAGGTTAGGAAAAGTGGTCCAAGGCTGTGCGCAACTATGCATCGAATCAAGGCTTGCTCCGTTTAATAAAAGCCTTGAGGCATCACAAGATCAGGAACGGCGGCAGGGGTCATGGGTGTGTCATGGGTTAGGGTGGTGCGTTGTCGTCCTCGCTGAGTGGATGGTCAAGGGGCCCAAAGGCGCTTCGCCTCATCGTAAAAGCATGCGCTTTATTGATTGCATGGTCTGCGCTTTATGCTTCATCAGCTGCTTTGTTGGTGGCGCCGCCGCAACGGCATGGTCGGACGTCCGGCTGGCACTGCAATGATGTACAGAGTAACCACAAACTTATGTACATACATACCAGTAGAGTGGCAAAGCGATTGGTTGGTCGGCGTGAGGCAGAGCAAAACGATAGAGGTGATGATTGGAGTGTAGCTTGATCAATCGTCATTTACCAATGCAACTATTGGTGGGGACTGTAGGTATTTCAGCTTGATGAAATGAGACGGTTAGCAACAGAAGCTCAGGCATCATATTCGTATGTACCAGTCGGTACACCATCGTTCACATGGTCAAACTGCATTTCGGCCAGTCGGCCCACCTTTTATCACAGAGAGTTGACAAATGGAGTCGGCTGGAGCGGGTGTATCACGATGTAGGCCGCTCTCCGGCCGCATGACACATGGACCTCTGCAGGGTATATTCCCAGGGGGCGGGCCATAGATGAGGCTCTCTGCATTACCCCTTTTGTGATAGCCTCTGTCTGGGTCATTCTTGCTGCTGGGTGTACCTGCACCGAGGCTCCTTGCTCGGGATTGGTACCGTTGCATTGCAGTCGTGGAGGCAATTCATGATTAGAGAATAAGAGAAATAATGTCAATGGCGCATTTCATCATAACGCGTCACTAACATGGTCTGGACGGCATGACATTGTGTTAGCATGATATGCAGGGAGCATCTAGCCTTACTTTCCCTCTTGATGCTCCTTCTTTCAAGATGCATCCCAAATACCAGGGTCGTAGCGTATCAGACCAACCATTTGCGTATAAGCCGAGAGCTCATATCAAGCACGCTATTTCGGTAACTCACCAACGCCACTCAGGCTCCAAGACCTCCAAGATAGGTGCTCTTTGCAACACACAATAGCTCATGGCCAATCGAGATTGAGCAACTCGGAAGCTTAGTGTTGTACATAGGTTCGTTTTTAGTGCGTTCTCTGCATCCCCCTACCTCGCTCTCGCTGCTGCACGATGCTGCGTCTGTTGAGGCATTTGTTGGCAGCTGCCTCACTTTCCTCAGCCGCGAGTGATTTAATTGTAGTAGGCCGGTGTTTGCCATTGGCACGAAGCTGCTACGATCAGCATAAGCCATGTCGTCAATTTTCAGACCACAAGGAACCAGTTCTGGCTGGCTGTCTGTCGTCAAACATGTGGAGGAGGAAATAAACAACACATGGTAGGTTGGTAGTACCATGGCGGGCCCATTATTAGTCGCCGCTAGGCTGGCCGACTTGGACAACTCCAGGCGAGCCTAAAAAGATGCGTTCACGTCTCGACCAAGGAAGAAGCATCAATTGAAATGGTGGTGGCAACTCGCAGGCCGGCAGAAACCCGACAGAAGTTTTCATTGCGTCACTGGCTCCAGATTGGACACAATTGCAGGCTCGTTGGAGGAGGTGGCAACCATCAATGGCCGGTCATGGTTTATTAACTGGTGAGGTTGACGGTGATGTCGACGGACGCTGACCTCGGTCGGTCCACCGGTATGGGACGCTAGTTAGCTGGCTACCGTGAAGCGAATCTGGGACGGTTCTAGCGAATGGCGACCAGGGACGACAGGTTCGGCTTTGATCGTATAACTAGAAGCTCTGCTTTCTTCCCTTCCTCAGTGCAACCTCTTTTGATCAGATGGTGATGGGTTCAGTGGTCCTAGGTAGTTCTTCGTAGTTAGCTCCAGAGTCAAATCCAGGCCTTAGCGCTGCATGGGCCTGGTCATGAGACCACCTCCCATTCCACCTTTATCCTCCCCGATATTCAATGTGAGTGGTGCAGCGACATCTAGTCCGGAATTGCAGCGAGAATTTCTGTCTGGCTTTGTTTTAGTGTTTCCGGTGCCGCCAGCCACACTGCCTCAACCAAGAATCTCCATATTCCACGAACAGAGTAACTGGCGAGGCGCGTGTATGGCAATTCCGTCTTGCGCCAGAGTGCCGGACTCTTAGAAACTACCCGCCCATGTACCTGGCGCTTTCGAGTCACCCGCTGGCCCCGTCTACCTCTAGGGTGACGTACGGATACAAGAGCTCTGTTTTGGACCTGGGAAGCATCCAAATTGCCCCTCCACTCCCAGACAGAACGGAAAGCGCTGGCTGTGGCAGAGGCGGAGCATGACGTCGAGCCCCAGTGTGACCAGAGGGCAGGGGTTGAGGGGCTGCAGACTCTGGTGTCCACGCAACCACACAGCACTACCGGTGCGGCGCCCGTTGTGCCCACCACCAGCCGGACGCCATGCAAGGTCGCGAGAATCCTCAAGACCTGGTGTGCCAATTGGTCTCGGTCTGCACAGCTATGCGTCGGGGGGTTCTTCAGCTATTGAGGGTGGCAATCGTATCGCGCATTGACAAGCGCAGCGTCCGTTCCAGCCAAAAATGAGGGCAGAATCCCGAACAGCACGGCGGATAGCGAGTGCGTGTGTCGACGTGTTTTAAATGCACTCAGTGTGTCTCGTGATGCGCAGACGTCTTGCAGGCATGGTGGGTGCAAAGTACATGAGCCGTCGCACACGCTCAATTGCAGCACACTAGACTCGCACACAAGGTTCTGGACATCCCTGAAGCGAAGCCATGCACACAACCAGACATGTCGCTCGCTCCACCAGCCCGTGGGCGGTGGCAAGATGGATCATGGCAGTGGAGACGGGATTAGGGCACGAGGCCTTATGCCTCCGGCAGACGGCGTAGCCAAGTCCCAATGTGGTGGTTTCGCAATAAAAGGCCACCCAATCACCCAGCTGAAGCATAGGTCAACCGGACGGAGCCAACGGAAGAGCAGCAGGCCTTGTAAATAGCATCTCATCAGCTCCACCACATGTATCCACGCCCCGCCGATGCATCTTCTGCGGGCGACAACTCTCTCCACTGGCTTTTCACCTGCGAGGTGAGGACAACCGAGTGACATAACTAGAGAGCATCGCTCGTACAATTGCTGAAGAGAAGAATATTGCGGCCTGTAGATTATGAATTACCAATGCTGGTGAGAGTAGTTAGAAAACCCTAGGCCTTGTCGACGCATCTTGATGTCACGACAGGCACAGAGACAGATCCCGTTTTAGCTTGTTGCCTTGTTGTTGGTGGGAGGGGGCGGCAGCCAAAAGGTGCAGAATGCTGGGTTGTCGACTGTCGACTGCAGAGAGCGACGAGGGAACTTGCATAGTTACTGCAGCCATTCCCGCCGTGTGCGAGGTGAACGGGTGCATCCAAGGCCGGTCGTCCATCCTTTTGAGGCCCGTGTTCCAGATGTGGTTGGTGAGCTAGCAGTAGTGCTTGACGAAACTGCCTGGCAATGGAATGGTCAGGTCGTACGGAGTACAATGTCGAGTGTTATAACAGACCAGAGAGCCGGGCCAGAGACAACGCAGACAAACATGGCGTTGACGCCGGCGCCGATGGCCAGGGACCAGGTTCAGCCTTCAGAGAAACGCCTGGGCTGGTTCAACTGGTTAGCGGTATTTTTACGCTGTTAGTGTAACAGCGTATGGGAGACTCCAAGTTGTCAGCGCCGCAAATCTCTTGATCAGCGCAAAGGCTAGTGCCATTATTGGAGGCGCCACGGGTGAGGCCCCCACCCAGGGAGCTGAAGGCCTTGTGATGTGCCTGTTTTTCGCGGCGGCGTCGGGGTGTAGCAGGATGTCAAGGATCGAGCGGGCAACAATGCAGGGCGTGATCCCTAGATGCAAACGGTGGTCAATAAATGCTGGTCTTGAGTAGGGGTGGCAGGGGCCTGTAAGTACTGAGAAACATGGACAGTTGGGATGTGAGAATGGCAAGATGTAGGTAAACTGGCCGGCCAGTGTCTGGACAGTGTTCTTTGGTTGGAGAGGTGGGCCAGTCGAACAAGCGCGATAGGAACGGTGCCATGGGGAGTGAGTAGATGGCACATTGTCCGATGGAGATGGGGAGTTGAAGTTGAAGAAAAAGAAGAAGCGAGGACTGACGACTTTGCATGGGCAGCTGACAGTTGGCGCTTGTAAACGAGCAAACGAGGAACTGGTCGAAGCCATCACAGGCGCTGGGCCGGTGGTTCTTCCAGGGAGCGCTGGCGCTAGAAACATGGGTTACAGCGCCAATTTCAAATGTTGTTGGAGGCCATGGCGCTGTAATGTGAACGGTTGCCCCACCATACATGTCTCGAGAAAAGATACATCGAGTAGTTAGGTTCAGCAAGCATGACACTGTACATGCCAAGTACGGTTAATCTGTATATTCTATGAAATGCACGACTTAATGCAGATTAATTTGTCGGATCATGTCTTTCGGGTTACTGATCCCTGCAAACCTGGAATTTGTCTGTACTTCGTACCTAGGTTGATCCATTGCGCTGGGAAGTCAAGGGTCGACGGAGACAGGGGCGGAGGGTCAGCAAACGCCTCATTGGAAGAAGATGGTGGGTGGGTAAAGAGAGACAAGGTCGACATTTGGGTGGTGAGCGATAAATGATGAAGTATAAACGAAGAGAGTTATCATCTATGATGAGAAGACGAAGGAGAAGAGGTAGAATATGTGACCTTAAGTCCAAGTAGTCGTTGAAGAAGCATTCGAAGATAGGAGCAAAGTTAGAAGTAGAACTGGAGGCGGAGGTTACCAGTGAATGTAGAGAGAGGAAATACAGAAATAGCATGCATATATATAAGAAAAAGCAAAAAGAGAACGTGTGGCCAATTAGATCCTGTTTACTTGCACATCTCAGTCAATGTCTTGATACCGGAAAATGGGAAACGAAGTGACGGACTTCCATGGGCACGAATTCCTTTCAAGTTTCTTTTCGGGAGCAGGATAAGGCCGACTCGCGGCGCTTGTCAAGGTGGGCTTGTTTTGACTTGGGCCTGCCGAGCTTTTGCGCGGGCCGGGCAAGTCTCGTCTCAAAGATGGCCACATGAGCACCACGGAGCAGCTAAACTAACATCCGAAGCTCAAGAAGCTGCCCCTGTCCCAGTCATTCAGTCATTCATTCGCATTCAACAGTCGTCCAGCTGCCAGCCCAGCATTACATATACCTACGTAGAAGCAATCGAAAGCCCACTCTCGCTGCCAGCGTCCCCGCTGTACGGATACCGACCTGAGCACCTGAGGTTAGTCGGGTTAGGTGGTAGTTACACTTGGTCAACTCGGCCTTGTCTCTTGTAGGCCTGGTACTCGGAGACTGGCCCAGACTGTCAGCAAGGCCCCATGTACCCCCTCGACAAGCACATCACCTGGTTCATTTGTATCCATCAAGCGCATGCACATACGTACTTGCTGGGTACCAGCATCTCTCCCTGGGTCCAGTAACAGACATGGGCAGCTGTACAGTGGGCGTCGCTGTATGCAGCCCAGTGGATGAGCAGCCCAACTTAGTGCCTCATTCGCTTCTCCCAGCACTGTCAGGCCTCTGCCCAAGCCTGCCAGGCCAGGCTGCCCAGGCCAGGGGGGCACTGGAAGCCAGCCGCGCTAACCAGGTAGGTACCTAGTACCAGGTAATGCCTCGCTGTAAGAACCTCCCCTGGTACCTCCCAGCTGACTTGCCTTGTCTAGAGGTGCATGTATCTTGGCTCACTGTTACCTAGCTTCGGTACCGCCGACCCTAGGCTTCCTCCTCCCGCTCCCAGGTACCACTCTAGCATGCCTACCCAAAGGACCAAGGTACCACCAAAGCTCGACCAAGGCCCCCTCCCCCCGTTTCCCAGTTCCCAGCTTAATATTCCCTCCCCCTCCAACTCCAACGAAAAAATACCACCCTCTCTCGTGAGCGCATCTACTTCTCGCATCTTCCTCTGACTTACGCCTCGTCCAAGCAACCAACGCCCCCCCGTTGCCCACCGTTTATTCAGTGTGCATCGTCTCTCGATCTCGTCGACTTCAACATAGCCGCCGCACTCGATCGACGCAAAGAAGAAAAAAAGCCCAGAGCTTCGAGCTGCGCAGAAACTCTGACGACATTCTCGCCGTCGTTTCCTCTGTCCTGAGCTGGTCGAGCCAACCTCTGCTGCAACTGCTGCTGGCTTGTCGTCCAGTCGTGCATATCTTTCTGGTCACCTGCGTCCTCGCTAAGGTCCAGTTTCTCTTCATACACGCCGTTGTCGTCCATTCCTGCCTCGTCCACCTTCGCCGTCGCCGTCGCTGCCTCTCGCGCGCCGATTCTGTGCCCTTGTGCTGCTGGTAAGTTGGTTCTCATCACCGCCCTCCCGTGCTGCCGCGCTTGCTCTTCCTTCACCACCCCTGTCCTGCGCTCAAACACCCTCACACGTACTCATTACTCGTCTTTTTTTCGCTCCAATCTTGCTGTTTGAATCCCAATGGACTGTTGTGCTTGCGACGCATAGCTTCTGCATGCAGACGAGCTCCAATCCCACGTCCCATACATTACGCTGCAATGCCCCGCATCGCACTCGCGCCCCTCCCAGCCCCAGCCAGCGAGCGTCCCTTACCAACCTTACCAACCATCATCATTCCACAATCGCCTTTCCATACCACGCTTAATTTCCCGCCTATCTGAACCTCTCAATCACCTCTCTATCCATCTCTTGTACGCGCTTGCCGCTCCGTCTGATTGCCCCTATATTCATTCTGTTCAAATTGTCGCATCTTAGCGCCGTCGGCGCTACGCCTTGCCCTACTCATCCTTCTGCTTCTCGCCTTTCCGCCTCTTACTCCGATTGTTCTGCCGAGCCGACTCGCTAACAGACGCTTGCTCGAAGTGACTCGGTTTTTCATCGCATATACTACTCACGCCTCCCAAGTTTTGGAGGTATACGTTGCAACGCAGCGTATTTTTTTTGTCACGGGTCTCCCACGACCCCTGCTGCCCAACACGGCTCTCTTCAAAGTCGCCCAACCCCTTGACATACTGCACTCTCGGTCTTGCACCTGCGTCCAATAGTATTCGAATCGTCAATTGGTCTAGATAGCTGCAGCATGTCATCGCAGCGACCGGGAGCGTTCAACAGCTTACGGATGGGGGGTAAGTAATCCGCGAGGCGCCTTTATCGCCACGCGCCAGCGTCCTGCGTGCATCTGCTGACCTTCCCGCAGAAGTTATCCGTGAGCGCGTTCAAGATGGAGTGACCGGCGAAACCAGGGAGCTCCAGTATACTCAGTGCAAGATTGTCGGCAACGGTTCTTTCGGTGTGGTCTTCCAGACCAAGCTCTCCCCCTCTGGCGAGGATGCAGCTATCAAGCGTGTCCTCCAAGACAAACGCTTCAAGGTATGCCTCTAATTGGTCCTACACTTCTCACAATGAAAAAGTACACAGTGCCTGACAATCTTGGCAGAATCGCGAACTCCAAATTATGCGCATTGTTCGTCATCCCAACATTGTTCAACTCAAGGCCTTCTACTACTCTAATGGCGAACGAGTAAGCCACCTCGCGTTCCTATACTCTCTCACAAGCTAACGAACTACGTACAGAAGGATGAGGTCTATCTGAACTTGGTTCAGGAATTCGTCCCCGAGACTGTTTACCGAGCCTCGCGATTCTTCAACAAGATGAAGACCACCATGCCCATTCTCGAGGTAAAGCTTTATATTTACCAGCTTTTCCGCGCCTTGGCCTACATTCATTCTCAAGGCATTTGTCATCGTGACATCAAGCCTCAAAACCTCCTCCTTGACCCTACCAGCGGCATCCTCAAGCTCTGCGACTTTGGCAGCGCCAAGATTCTCGTCGAGAATGAACCCAACGTCTCGTATATCTGCTCTAGATATTACCGCGCCCCAGAGCTCATCTTTGGCGCCACCAACTATACTACCAAGATTGGTAAGCCTGATAAGACATTCTCTTGATTATTGCGAGGTACTGATTTTTCCTTCTAGATGTGTGGTCAACGGGCTGTGTCATGGCCGAGCTGATGCTTGGCCAGCCCCTTTTCCCTGGCGAATCTGGTATCGACCAATTGGTCGAAATTATCAAAGTCTTAGGTACTCCAACCAGAGAACAGATTCGCACTATGAACCCCAACTACATGGAGCACAAGTTCCCACAGATCAAGCCTCACCCTTTCAACAAGGTATTCCGCAAGGCTGATGCCAATGCCATCGACCTCATCACCAAGCTGCTGGAATACACGCCTACCGAGAGAGAGGCTGCCATCAACGCAATGGTGCATCCTTTCTTCGACGAGCTACGCGACCCCGAGACAAAACTACCCGACTCTAGACACGGAACTGGCCAGCTCCGCGATCTTCCCGAGCTTTTCAACTTTACTCGTCATGGTAAGTGCTCCATCGCACTTGGCTCACTCCTTATTAGCAAACGCTGATTGTTCCCTGTCTACAGAGCTGTCTATCGCCCCCGACTTGAACAGCCAATTAGTGCCTACTCACCAGCGTTCTGTTCTCGCCGCACGCGGTCTCGACATTGACAACTTCACCCCGATGGCGAAGCAGGAGATGATGGCCAAGCTTGATTGAGTGCCCCGAGCGTTCATGGTGCTGATGTTCTCTTTTTTTTCTTGCCAAAACGCCGGGCTAGCCAGCTTGGATCGAAGCTTAGCACGACAACGGGGAAAGGGGGTTGGCCCCGTATACCAGCTTTGTTTTCGACAATGTTGACGAAACCCGCTCCTGATCTGCTCAGCCTAGTAATTGAGCGGCTCGACCAAACTTTGCGGGATGGTGGGATTCGTGTCCGATGCTGTGCCTTGAGCCTGGCCGCGGCAGCAAATCAGCATACAGCGCCGATGTGAGAGATGTTCTCTGGTGTGCTGGCTAGGCTGTGATGAGACACCTGGTGAACAGTTACAGCAGATGGAGCTCTCGCAAATCCCAAAGTTGGGTGATGAAGTTGCGTGTTTCAAACGACGGTTACTCTGTTTCATTATTTACATGCCCGGTGGTCTTGGTATCCTCACTGCGTGGGGATTCAGCGGCTCGAACGAACCAGTCTGTTTTCGGATGGAATCTTGCGCCATGGCAGTTTGACCCCCGCCTATGGATTTTGCGAGGCATTGCCAGACCGGGAGCAGTCCTCATGTCCCCCCTCTTCCTTTGTTTATGAGCTGCATCAAGTTTGGATGGCCACGATTGTGATGAACCCGCAGCAGCATTAACCGTCTGAGATCTTTTTGGTGACACCACTTCTTCTGCTTCATGTGCTGGCTATGGATGATGAATTACGCACGGTGGATTTTATTTCAGACGGAGAGCAATTATACCGATAAGCATTTCTAACGACAAAGTGGCGCGAGCCTGCCGCTTGTATACCATAATGCCAGTGCAAGTCGGAATTTGGCTGCATACTCGATATACCAAAATGAATTCAGGTTGTGTTTCCAGTCTAGTTTGCGATATGTTTTTGATACCAGTGACATGCCTCTACGTCTACGCGCTGGTTGTCGGTGCCGAGGGCGTCGATGTAGAAATTATACCCGCAGAAGCTCCTGAGCAACATAGCAATAGCCAAAATGAAGGATCAACTATACGTCTCGACTTGATCATGTTTTGATATCTCTACGACACCCTGCTCATTGCTAAATGCACTGTATGTATGTTGGGTTTCCTGTGGATGGTTGGTGCCTGAGGCAGCACGCGCACTTCGCCTTAGTAAGTATAATCTCATGCAGCACGATCCACCGCGTAGCGCAGCTGTTTGCAGGCTGGTTCAAGATTGCTTTCTTGGTGCGCGATCAACGAACCGGCCTTTTCTGAAATTTCAATTTGCAGACCTGCACCATGGCTGACTATGATAGGAGACAATCTGGAGGATACAGTCGCAAGAGACGCTATAGAGGTACGCTGCTCGAATTGGAAGCTTCCACCGAGCTCTTTGCCCTCTGCTGCGTGAAAGCCAAACAGAAACTGACCAGGGCGAAACACAATGAACAGATGACGACGATCAGTATGACCGACGCCAGAAGCGGCGCCAGGACTACGCGCCGCTACCAGTCCGATTCAGAAAACAGCTCGTGGCCATTGCTGAGTCGCCGCTCCGCCGATGGGCCGACGAGGTGCTTTCACTCGCGCAGATGATTACCGACAACTACGACGACGAAAACCTACGCAGCCTCTACGTCAACCTGGTCCTGCAAATGGTGATTGAACAGCCTCTCAAGACGCCGTTTGTTGCCGCCGTGGTGCTCGTCGCCAATGCGCTCAAGCCCGAGGCCATGGAGATTGTCCTCGAGCGTGTCGCCAAGGACCTCGAAGGAGCCATTGCTAGCGGCCAGTGGACAGAGGTGAAGCTGTATCTCAAGTTCATGGCCTGTTTGCAGAGTAATTTGGAGGGCGATGGTGTGTTTCCCCTGCTGGAGGAGCTCTTCAACCGCGCGGCCGATCTGCAGACAGCTAGCTCTGATGATGTATGTAGCTGGAAGGAACACCTCTTGCGCCGTGAATGTTGCTGACCGACTGACCGCAGACGATCGGAACTGAAATTGTTAAAATCATTCTCCTCACGATCCCATATGTCATGGTCGCTGCACCGGGCGAATTTAAGCAAAAGGCCGCGGAGCTCATGGACAAGACCGACATCATCGCTTCCGAACCCCATGCGCTGCATGCGCTTGTCGACCCCTACTATACCACAGACGACGGAGCAGACTCGAATGCTTCTGCCAGCATGCTGGTGCTTCTACAAAAGCAGCTGCAGACAGAAGCTGCCAACGACTGGAAGCTGCAATGCCTCCCAAGACCTTGGCAGATGTCGCTCGCGGACGTGGAGACGCAGGACAAGCTGGCGGGTGCTCGCAAGCATGCTATTCCCGCCATCTCTATCCCGGCCAATATGGTCGCCGGCCCGCGCGCCCTCTTCCCAGAAGTGTATTTGTCCGTGTACTCGAATCAGGAGGTCGAGTCTGTGCCTGGCACGCAGCACGTTGCCTCATCACTCATCCGCGATGTGCTTGTCGACACCGTCAATGGTCTCAACTTCAACCGAAATGCCACGGCTCGCTTCCTCATGGACATTGACTGCTATTTTGCTGACGGCACCTTCGTGAAACGCGCGACACCATTCGACGAGCTGCGCAACCTCGCTCTCAATAACCGGTCCACCTGGAAGCCGGAGGACGTCGCTGTCGACACCGTCTTCTCGCAGCTCTTGCAGCTGCCGACGCCCGACTGCAAGCTTGTCTACTACCACTCGGTCCTTACGGAAGCCTGCAAGCTGGCACCAGCTGCCATTGCCCCCAGCTTGGGCCGCGCCATTCGCTACCTGTACCGCAACAACCCGCGCATGGACCTCGAGCTATCGTATCGCTGCGTCAACTGGTTCTCGCACCACCTGAGCAACTTCGGCTTCACGTGGAAGTGGGCAGAGTGGTCGGATGATGCTGCGTTGTCGGACCTGCACCCGGCCAAGTGGTTCCTCAACGGGGCGCTGGATAAGGAGATTCGACTGAGCTTCGCTCAGAGAATCCAAAAGACGCTCCCCGAAGCATATCAGCACCTCATTGGCCCAGCAAAGGAGCAGGATGTACCGGAATTCAAATACAAGAACCCGGACACTCCGTTCTCCGCCGAAGGCCAGCAGATTGGCGCATTGCTGCGCCGCAAGGCCACGGATGAAGAGATCCAGCCCACCATTGACGCCATCCAGGCGCAAGCCCAGGAGCGCGCTCTGGACCCCGTCGTCGCCAGCACGGACGTGTTTGTGACGGCCATGTGCTGGGTCGGCTCCAAGTCGCTGAGCCACGTCCTCGCCTGCATCGACAGAAGCAAGGGCCGGCTCATCGACGCCGGGGCCGCGTCACCGGCGGCGCGCGCACAGATCATCTCCTCGGTCATGGCCTACTGGCACGCGCACCCGGGCGTGGCGCTGTCCATCATCGAGAAGCTCCTCAACTACTCGATCCTGACGCCCTTCTCCGTCGCCGACTGGGCGATCCTCGCGGATAGCGCTTCGCACAAGGGATCGCCGGGCGCGGCGCTGGCGCAGCCCCACATCTACGAGGTCATCTTCAACACCGTGTCCAAGGTGACGGGCCGCGTGCGGCAGGTCGTGTCCGCGATCGGCGGCGACTCCATCGACGAGGAGGAGGTAGCGGCGCGCGCCAAGGAGGTGGCGGACATGACGGAGCTGTTCCGCACCGTCAACGATGCGCTCGAGTCGTGGGCGGGCGGCAGCAAGGACGAGCTGATGGAGCACGACGGGGCGGGCGGCGAGACGGACGAGACGCTGATCCGCCGCTGGGGACAGCGTTGGCTGCGCGTGTTCAGGCGGCGCGCGGCTGTCGAGGCGGCGTTTGTAGCCGAGGCGACCAAGGACAAGATGGTGGTGGATGGCGAGAACGGCAGCGCTGCTTAGATGCAGAAGCATGAATGGGCCGATGAGGATACACGGGCTGTATAGTAGTAGGTTTTGTTCCTTTTAGTCGTTTGTTAGGCTACGACGAGAAAAAAAATCTGGATAGGGAGTATGGGACATGGCTTTCAAATATTTATCTATACATTTTATACATCTTTGTGTATTGGGAGAGCTTGGCCTGGTGTCTTGCTGCTAGTGCTGCGACCATCTTACATGAGAGGGGATTCTACTATACAGTGCCGCCTCCTTTTGGCATTTCTGTTCCTTCCAACTCCATCCAGTACGAGGCAGACAAGGTGAGTCGATATCAGTCCAAGTTCCTGCAGCAATAAGCGAGCCACTGGTGCCCCGCAGCAGTGCCTGGGCCGATTTCCGCGCCGCCGGGTTGATGGTCAGCACGGCCCTGACGAAGTCGATGAACGCGCCGACCTCGGCCCTCGACATGTCCGACGGCCTGACGAACAGGCCCTCCCGGCCGTTCAGTATCTGCTCCAGGCTTCGGGCACGCCAAGCTGGGGCCTCGAACCAGCGTCCCTATAGAGACTTCACTGAGCCAAAAAAAAAAAAAAAAAAAAAAAAAAAAAAAAAAAAAAAAACCCGGCCCCAGGTGTCTTGTCAGCGCGGGTAGCAAGCTTACCTTGTTCGTCGACGAATTCGGCTGAGCGTCGTCCCTTTTGAAGCAGGCTCGGCGGGAATGGACCGCACAGGCCAGCCATCTTTGCCAGGTGCTGCTCCTCATCGCTCCACGGCGCGCCGTCCGGCGCCACCTCGATAGAAGGGGACGATGCCCTGTACAAACCCGACCACCTGTTTCGAACAATGGTTAGGCATCGGCCCCGGGGAGCCGTGTGGTTTGGATGAAACACACGTACAAGACCCCCGAGGCTCCATATGTCGGCGCCCGTGTCCCAGGGGAGCACCGACGATGACTTCGGGCGCCCTCAGCGCCACGGGCTGGATTACATCCGTGCGGTGTTTATGCCGCCAGCAGGCTAAAAGGGCGGGTCAGTATATTCCCTCTTGCAAAAAGGTAGGTTTCGTACAAGGCCCAAAGTCGATGAGACTGATGCGCGGCGATGCCATTTCGGGGGTGAGCGGCCACGTCACGACCTCCTAGAGCGGGATTGCATCCTCGCACTTGGTTATCCGCGGAGCCCAAGACTCCAGATACTCCCATATAGTCTTTTCCGGTGTTGTTTCCAACGCCAACAGCACGTTCGCTGGCTTGAGCTCTGCTTGCCGTCTACGTTAGTCAGCTGAGCCAACTCGTTGTCCCCCCCGTGAACATCAGACCCGCGTGGATCACGCCGCACTCTCTGTGAAGAAGGTCCAGCGCCTGGAGGAGCTTGCCGCGTGATCTCCTCGACTACCTTCACCGGCAGCCTCCAGTCTTCGTGCTGGATGGCTTGGAAGCACAGGTGCGGCCCGAGCACGTCAAACACGAGGCCAGACGTGGTCCCCGTTCGGCCCCGCGTGGGGTGAACTCGTCGACTCGAGCAGGCGCGGCGTGCGGCCGCGGCCCGGATGGGCGCTGCCCCGAGACACCGCCGATATCTTGGACAGGATCTCGCGCTCAAAGACGTCGAGGATCTTGAGCGCCGCGTATCGCCGGCGTCTTTTCTGTCGTTGGTTAGCAAGCAAGGAAGTGGCCTTCACCGGGGAGTTGTGGCCTCACTTTGCGTCCCTCGCTAGCCAGGCGGTGGAGAGCTTGCCCTAATCCCAGTTTCCTCAGGACGGTGTTAGCGGTTAGAGTGGAACGTGTCGCCGAGCGAGACGCGATGAAAGCCGCCGAGCCGGTAATTGTCCGTCTCCTCTTCGAGGTATTCTCGTTCGAGGAATTGTTGTCGGGGCGGCTGAACAGGCGTCGTGGACAGGCGCCCCAATGATGGCGCAGAGAACCTCGAGGCTCTCCCGCAGACGTGTGAAAACCACGTTCTTATCAGGTTCATCGTGCTATTAGATCGTTGGAAGGTGATTGGAGTTCACGTTGTCGTGCCGTTGGTTGGACCTCGTTGTACTCACACGTGACGAGGACAAGGCAGGGGGGAATTGCTGTTGCTGCAAACATTTCTGTGCGAGGTGGCGCACATCTCTCAGGCATCTTTGTTTATTGTGTAGGAGGTTCGATGACGACTGCAGACAAGATGCAAGTTGGAGCGTGGTTGCTAGGCTGCTGCCGAGAAGAGCAATGCATATCTTCTGGCGCCCATTGGCCCTCTGAGTAGATCTCGATTGTCTGTCCCCTTCTAGCTTACCTATGAGCTTAAACCCAGGGAAATTGACTACTACGGGGTCAAATTTAACCACGGAGTGGCCTCAGACGACGCGGACCCTGCGTTTTTTCAGATCAACATCCTTGAGATGGAGGACGACGAGGGCGTGTACGCAAACGCCGTACGCTCCGGTGTCTGACAAGAACTTGCTGCACGAGGGTCAGACTATACAAGTGCAAGCAGATGGTGTGGATGATCTCGTACTGCGTAAGATCTCGAACGGCTGAAGAAGAGATGCAGGCGGACGCCATTGTGCGTGCGTGACAACAGACGCTACTTGTGCGAGGGAAAAGTGTATGGGGAATTTGCCTAGCTCTTGTATATATTCCTTACATTTCGTATCTGCTCCATGTATACTATGTTTTACATGTCTTTTATTATTTTTCTTTCATCTTTTTGCCAGTTTTTATAATTGTTTGTTGCAATTCCTGGAATTCGGGGATGCCACAGTTCTTCCGCCACACGGTTAAGTTGCCTACTGCAAACAACCAGTTCCCCTCCTCACAGTCCCAGATATCCCGCTCACAACCCCCAACCAACACCCCAATGCCGTCTAATAAAGATCGCCTCTATGTTGCCCTCTTCGCCAGAGCCGGAAAGAAGCTAAAGATGCCAGGTGGCGAGGACAAGTACGTAGTTTCCTCCCCCACACCAACAACACCCCCCCCCCCTTCTCGCATTCTTTTGCTCACACCCACCACCCAAGGTACCACTGGGCCCTCATCCTCGCGCCCAAGCACGACCCCTCCTCCTCCCAGGCCGGTCTCCAGATCGACGTCAAGAACACCCTCCGCCTCGTCGGCCAGCCCCCCCTCGCCGACACCTCCTGGCGCCTCGAAGTCGTCGACCTCGCCGCGCACCCGACCACGCGGCTGCTCGCGCGCGTGCTGTTCGCCAAGGTGCGCGACCGCGAGCGGCTCCTCACCCTACTCACCGGTGACGTACCGGTGCGGGCGGAGCGGGAGGGGTGGAACTGCGTGGCGTGGGTGCGCGAGGCGTTCGAGGTGGTGGTCGGAGGAGGAGGAGGGGAGGATGACGGGGGCGTGCTGGGGAGGCGCTTCGAGGGGGGCTGGGAGGAGGTGCGCGAGGTGGCGATGGGGTATGTGCGGAGAAAGCAGGCGGAGGGAAGGTTTGACGCGTCGTTTGACCAGGTGAGGGTGCCGACGTGGGATGCGCTTCGTGGCGTCGAGTTGGTGCCTTGAAGTTAAGAGTTCCATGTATGTAAACAGCACAGCATCTGACGACAAGGTGCGAGTAATACTAAGTGTATCAAGGGGACTGTACTCCGTACGGATAGTCTAATCATATCCAACCCCAAAGCTGTGGCCAAAGTGGCCCCTTCCGATTCCTTTTTCTGCTGTTCCTCTCTTCATAATACATGCGGGCGTCAAGTCTCTGGAGAGAAGCCATGTCACCCATCCTACATAGTTCAATAACAGAGCCTCGTTGGGTATCGTTATAAGCCAAATCCTCATCCCCAGGCCGACCAAAGCAAAAGAAAAAAGAATTGTCAGGAGCAAGTCCAAGAGCAACTCCGAAGTTAACGTCAGTTGTCGATTTATCATTTATTCGTTCGCTGCCTAAACGAACAGCTGCCGCTTAATAGGCTGAGCCACCTCGTTGCCTTGGCTGTCAGTCGGTCCTTGGGCGCCTTCTCCCACTTGCTTGAGCTTTTCCAACAGATGACTAGGCTCTGTTAGTAAACGAAACTTGGTCTTGTTGCATATAGCGATGTGGCCTACCTGATCGGCAGCAGTCCTCGGCTCTCGCTGACAGCCAATTGCATCCTGTCAACGAGCTGCTCGTGCTCTCGCAAATGCGCAGAGATGCGGTCGTCCAGCTCGTCCTCGCCACCGCCTCGCGCGATGAAGTCGCAGTCTAGCTGATCACATGCCCATGTGCCTTGATACCCCGTCGGCATGGGATCTGGCATCTTTTCTGCGAGGATAGTGAGGTTGACAAACCTATCTTCGTCATCGATAGCCTCGTGCTCGCTCGACGAATCAAGCGAGTCGCCGACCTGAAGCGCGCCATCAACTTCCTCATCGCCAGACTCGAAGCCCTCGACATCGCCCATGGTCTCGTCGCCGTCCTGGTCGGACCGGAAGTTGAGCTTCTTTGCCACTGGTTCGGTGTCCGTCTCGTCATCAAAAATCGCACGAGACCTCCTCTTGTTTGATTGGACGGGGCGGAGGCTTGATTTGCTGCCCACAGGTCGACCGGGTCGCTTGCCTATTCTGGGCGTACTTGGACTTTGCGACCGCGCAATTGACCGCGCAATTGGCCGCGCCGGCTCAAGCGTCGCGTCGCTCTTTCGGGTGCGGTATGGGCGCTGTTCTCTGGGCACAATGCGAAAAGGCAGGCTATCTGCGCTCAGCGCATAATGTGCAAACTTCTTCTTTGAGAGATCCACAAGCCAGTCATATACCTCTCCATTTTTATACTTGTCATGGTCGATGGCTTGGAGAAGAGCAGCGGCGTTGTAGTGCAGAACTTCCTCAACGGGGCGTTTGTGGGAGCCTGGTGTGCTGTCTTTGTAGGTCGGGAATCGGTATTGAAAGTACAACTTGTTTAGAATGCCGGATACTTTAACTCCGCCTTTGGGGTTACTCGAGTCGAAACAGTTCTCAAGCGCGGTTAGGACGGTCTGGAATGGCGAGTCTGAATCGGCAGCTACAGGCGTAGGAGCTGGTGGTGCAGGTGGGTGTACACTTTGTCTGGGGTGTATTGGGATAACCGTCTGCGGCTGTTGGGCAGCACTAGCAGAGCGACGCGTCGTCCGAGTCGTGAATGCACGTTCATCGATCTCTTCAATGCTCTCACTTTTCCTCGACAGGCTCGTAGTTGCTCGAGGCGGCGGCTCAATAAAGGATGGAGATCTCGTACGCTGACGTGGGTTCTTTTTTGCGTTGTCGACTTTCTCAAAAAGAGCCTGTGATATTGTTAGTTAATGAGCGTGGTTCGACGCCATCACAAGAGACGTACCCCGTTTTTAGACTTGATCCATTTATAGAATGCAGAGGCTTTCCAGTCTACTACGCTATCGTCTTGCATGAACTGGGAGATGAGAAAAATGGCGTGTTTATTGCATCGCGCAACAACGTCTTCATGTGTTGAGCCATCACCCACGGCAGCGGCATACTGTTTTTTGAAAGTTAGACGGAAGCGAAGAGGAGCGTGGATCATACCTGGTGGAACATTGACGCTAGAACGTCCTTCTGTGACGATGGCGACTTGGACTTTTTCCCGCGTGCCGGCTTCTCGTTCAAGGCCTCAGTGGCATCCATGATACTGTAGTAAAGGGTCGTTGCCTGGCACATGGTGTCGTAGGTCGCCTGGTAGGCCGCACAGGGCTGAATCTCAAACCAGCCGGCGCGGCCTGATACCCAAATTTGAATCGCTCCGTCGTTCGTTTCTCCCACAGAGTATAGTAGACAGTGTCTGATTTCAACTGGGATCGGGGATCTTCCGCGCACAAGGACTAGGGATGGCGCATGTTAGCAGGGCTGTAGACGGTCGACAGAATACAGGAAGCAAACGAACGGAATCGTTTCTCATCGCCTGAGAAGTGGAGGTATCCGCGCACTATGAACGGGCCATTCGGGACAATGTTCAGCGCATTCTCGACCGTGGTGCCATCGCGGTTCAGGACAATTGCGTCGCGCAGCTGGAAGATGGGCCAGCTATCGCTAGGCTCAGCCTTGGCCACGGAGCGCAAGATTGACGCTTCCTGACGCCATTGGACATGCCCATCATCGAGGCTTTCGACGCTCGAGGTCGATGCGCGGCGAGTGCGCCCAGTCATGATGGCGGCAGCGATAGCAGCATGGGCCGAGGAAGGAGAGCGTGCGTCGTGGTCTGGTTGGTTGTTGGCCAGCGGGCGGGGGAGACTGTCGCGTTTGTGCACACGTCGCGTCTGGAGGCTGCTGTCGGCGTACTATGGAGGCTAGAATATAGGGAGTAAAGAGATACTTGACGACGTCGTCTAGGCAGCGTAGGCGAGCAATGGTACACTGGTTGAGGGGAGTGAATGATGGGGGTAGGCGAACGTGGCAACATGACGATTTTCGGCAACAACGCCAGCGTTTGCCTCTCTACGCGTTTTGGTGTAAAGTGGTGGGGCAACAAGATATGTAGGCAAAGCAGGTTCGCAACTTTTGGTTGAACGTGACGAAGCTACCGTAGGTACCGGGGCTTGCTGATTTTCGGACTTATTTTAGTCAAGTACATACATATACGCTTTCATATGAAGGAACATGTTTCCAACATAATCTCAGCCCTTGTCATGGACGACAAAGGTGTAACAACCGTGGGGGCGGCTTCTCCAATGCGATCACAGTGCGAACAACGGTGCGCATCACAGTGCAGTCACCCGTTCCTTCCACCAGCGCTGGCGTTTTCCTGAGCCTACCAACTTTACGAATGCCATCGCAATGGTATCCGGGAAGATTGCTTAGACGCGGATTCAATATCAAAGGTCATTCGGTGGCTGCATTCTCGGTCAACAGCCCGTTGGCTCGTGCCTTGCGGAATCTTGACACCCCAAGATCAAACGAAGCAACCTCACGCGCGGATGCAGCTACGGTAATTGTATTGTATACCCCCTTTCCATCCGGTAAAGATGCTCGGCCGGCCAAAGCAAGGCCCGATTCTTCCCTCCTCATCCACGGCCGCCTTGCTCTCGATCTAGCGCTGGACCACTGTTTCCTTCCCCGGCCGAAGTCACTGCGTGCCACTGCAATCACCAACTGGCCGAGATCCTTTGAGCAAGCGGGCGGCTATTCCTACCCAGCCCGTTGGAAGCTGGAAAAGAGGTCCTGCGCCGTTCAACTCTTGTCTAGGTAGCAAACGCCCTGCACTACCTCATCGCTGCTTAATTGGGTTCCGCAGCATCGGCCCTCGAAGCGTCATCGTCATGTCTAGTACTGCGTAGAAGTCTCTGGGCAACTCATCGCCATGAGAATCAACCCTCGCACCTTGACCACTCACAATGCGCTGTTGTCGCATCATCTCTGTCCCGTGCCCTCCCCCCTGGCCGTCACGATGAATTGCTACGGCCAATTACCGAATGGCATGCTGCCAGGAATCCGACTATGTTACCTGGGTGCCTGTAATGCAATACCACCTTGCAAGATCGTTTTGAGGGGGGGGTAAGAAGACAGCCTTTTGTGGTTCGTGCGGCTCTTCTTGGTCTTTTCTCTGCTTGAGCGCCATATGCCCGGTTCTTTTACATCTCAGAAAGCCTGGACCAAGTGCTCGAGGAGACAAGAGTCTTGGTAGAGGAACCGTGCTAACTTGGACCCGTGAGTGTATGCAGTGGCTGCAAAGGCAGACAGGCCGTGGCGTCAAGGAAAAGGCCAATGAACTCACTCAGTATTTTATGTAAAGAAGAGGCGGTCTATATCTGCAAGCTGACGGTAATTTGGATGTACGTGCACGGGATAGTTGCAAGGTCGTGGCTTTTTTTGTCCGTGGGATTCTAGGATGTCCTTCTGGTGCCTCTTACATGCCACTGCCTTTGAAACTGACTGACAACTGACGGCAAAGAGCTCATCACATTGCGCCGGCTATTGAGCCGTCTTCCGCGCCGCGTTGCATGTTGCATGCATTTCGAAGAATATAGAGAAAAGCCTGCATCACTGCATGTGATACATGCAGTCTCTTTGCATCCCCTGAGCAGGCCTGCAAGGCGCTGGCGAGTAGGGAAAGCCGGGGCGGATGGACTGATGGTTCACCCACTCCCGCGATTCGCGCAACCAAGAGGTTGAAGGAATATGGGTTGAAATTGATCTACTCATGGCTCAATATTTTTTATTCCTTTTTTTTCACATTCCTTCCGCATCCGTGTTTAATGACCGAGGCTTTCGCAACGGCACCGTGACCATGTTGCTCGGTCGTATGCATGGGATGACGTCCGCTTACGTTGAAATCATAAACACGAATTATGAGACTAGACGCATGTGAAGCTTGAAGTTGAAGAGCCAGCGTCTGCGCGCGGCATTGTCTTATTATTATTTCGGTGCCTTTGGTCAACAAGACAGAGCAAACCAAGCTCGGCGACTACCCAAATTGCCAGGCATCAGGTAGCCGTCATGCTCGTCACCGCCAAGTTATCAATCGTCGTCGGTGGGCGCAAATCCTACCTTTAGAAGTATGAGAAGCGAGGGGGCTAAATAACTAGCTAATCCATTGAGTTTACCCAGTTGGAAGTTGGATAGTACATACATACATACCTATACCCCTGTGTCTGTGTACCAACTAGTTATGTACGTATGCACCAGGGTCTCTTTCCGCAACGTAAAAATCACGGAACCCTGTTTCAGAGACAACTTGGGGTCCATATTGGAGACAACCTACCCGAGGGTGGCGCCTTGTTTCGGCCGTCGTCCGATCGAGCACGGGTTTGGTTGCTGCTTGCGCCTTCTGGCCCATTGCCCCGTGACGTGAATACTGCAACTGTCTGCATTCACCCGCCTTTGAACTGAACCTTGTCCAGAGAGGTTAGTTAGTTTGATTAGTTGAAATTGTAAGCAGCGGAAGGATCCTCCGTCAACTCTTTTGGTGGAGTGAATCCGTGGAGCCCGAACATTGTATCGGGGACGCCCGTACTCTGGTCTCTCGTTCCTTTCCGCTTCGACAGGGGGGGCCTTGTCGAGTTGGGCATACTAATAGCAACAGCTACAATTTACATAAACTCCGTCGATCGCGGACATGTCGGAGTCTTGGACAGCTCTATTGGAGTTGACTTTTTTTTTTCTTTTTTTTTAATAGCCCCCGCCGTCCAAAGATAGAGAGCACATACGGAGTACATGCCCCGTAAATGTCCAGCGACGCATGAGAATGGTCCACGGCCCCCATGCATATACCGAACATTATACGGGCAAGTATAGTGACCTGACCTCCATGTTCGATGAGTCGAAGAGCGGCGCCCACCATAGACTGGTGCTAGCGGATGCATCGTCAACTAAATTAGCTTCCAAGCCAGCCAATTGCATAGCCCAGGCAACTCCTCAAAAGACGGGATAACCCCGAGAGAGAACGGGAGGGAAGGGAAAGAGGTCTGATATTCGTAAGCAAATGGACTGGTGTCCGAGTTCCACTACCGAGACAACGAGAGATCTCGAAACTTGTTTCTACTAATATTAGCTTGCTGGTACGGATACACGCCGATCCTCGCCACAACCCTGGTCTCCGGGGGATGGACGTGCAGCGTAACTCTCGCAGGGATTTGCTTTTCCAGGATCCCTAATAATAACTCTGGGTTTTCTTTGTCCGTCTGTTGCGTAACCTCGGGAAGCCAGAGTAAAAAGGTCAACCCTATCTCTCCCAACAACCCGGTGTGTGCAACCAACTTGACTTCAGTCGGAGATGGGCAAGGATTTACCCCGTCTGTCCGTCCACTACTTTCGCCTTTGCTAACATGATTAATTAAAGCCGACACCGTCCTTTGCGTCAACTGGGGTCAACTGGGGTCAAGCCAATACCAGTGGTCTGGTCACATCGCGCTACCACACACTACTAATACGTTATGGACGTTACCATTTGGGGAACCCCCCTCTCTTTTGGAAGAACAGACAGAAGAAGCTCGACTTCTTGTCTCCGTCCTTTGCCTGCCCCGGTAATCCGCCGCCGCCGCCACCGCCACCGGCCGACGCTGCTGCCCGTCGTCACAAATGCAAATACCCGCCCACCACCGTGACGCACCGTGATGAAGCCAAAGCCCAGGTTGGTGGTACCGGTGGGAAGTTGTCATGCAGAGAGGACCGTGACAAGTGCATACCCCGTATGTATCCATCCCAGAGCCACTGCACCGCTGTGGCCTCGATCCAGCAGCTGCAGCCTCGACCTGCTACTCGCTCCCCTCAGCATGATCCCTACGCGATGCTACCTCCCATCACCATCGTCCCTCCTGACTCCCTGCACGCCACAAGCTTGGGAAAGCCTGCGAGTGATCCCGTCCCTCACCACCAACTTCACCCCTCCCCCCCCCCCCCTCTTCCCAGCTCCCGTCATATTATCCCACTAGCCCTGGCGCTTACTCCATAACGAAAGTGGCTACCCGGTGAACTTCCATTCTCACTCACTCACTGCCCTTCTCAGCCCCGACAATCTGGGCCACCGGCATTTTCTTATTAGTGTCGCCCTTGACTCCATACTCGCTCGTCTCACCTCCGGTTCACCCTTTCGTCTCTCTGTTCCTCATTACCCAATGGGTCCCCGTAGCCAAGTTGCTGTACTCTTATGAGGCACAGACTCACTCACAGCTCACTCGACGCACAACACAACTCGAGTCTTGTCCCTGCAATAGTAGACAGTCTATATAGTCAGCCTCAACAACACACACACACACACACCTTCTCAGCTCCTCGACAAACCCATTAAACAGGCTTCCCAACGTCAGACTGCACGGCCCTTTCTTTTCCTACTCCACTTTTAGCCATTTCACGAGTCAATCTCACTTACTCGGAGACCGTTTTTGAGGCTTGAAGAAATTCGTAATTCCTTCCAAATCTCAAACCTGTACACACCTCTCCGTCGCATCATGGCCGCCCTCCAGCGGCTCGAGGGCGAGCTCCCGCCGCCGCAGGACCTCAGCCACCACTTCTCCAAAATCACCAAGAGACGGACACCCAGCTCCATCAAGGAGTTTTATAGGTTCTTCGCCATCCCAAACATCGGAAACCTCGGTGGAGGTACGAGCAGTCCCGTCCCTTGTCTTCTCTTCTCGTCGTCGTCGAGTATGAGGCGAACGATCCATAGTCACTGACCCGAGGCCTTTTTTTCCTTTTCCAGGGCTGCCGAATGACGAGCTCTTCCCCTTTGACACGCTCGAGGCGCAGACAGCCAACCCGGACCGCTACCAGTGCACGCCGAACCACCCCGTGTCCGCGCGACAGGACCACCGTCCGATGCCGACTCACCCGTCTCGCACCGCCGGCAAGAAAGCGCCGCCGCCGGAGAGCGACATCAACGCGACCTCGTGGCGCATCAAGGTGCCCAAGTCGACGCCGCAGGCCGACCCCGTCAAGCGCGTCGACCTGTCCACCGCGCTGCAGTACGGCACCGCCGGCGGCTACCCGCCGCTGCTCTCGCTGCTGCGCCAGTTTTCGTGCGAGCTGCTGCACCCGAGCGTGCCCTACCGCGGCGGGCCCGAGGTCATCATCACCTGCGGCTCGACCGACGGGTTCTCCAAGACGGTGCAGCTGGTCAGCGACGCCTGGGACCCGGACCACGAGCCCGTTGAGGCCCGCCCCGGCATGCTCTGCGAGCGCTACGTCTACAATAACGCTCTTGCCTGCGTCGAGCCCCGGGGTGTCCAGGTCGTGCCGATCGACACTGACGCGGACGGCATGCTGGCGGCGGGGCCCGGCGGTTTGGAGGAGGTCCTGGCGAATTGGGATCCGCGACGGGGGAGGCGCCCCCATTTCATGTACTCGGTGACCATGGGCCACAACCCGACGGGTACGGTCATCCCGGTGAGTCGGCGACGGGAGATTTACGCCATCTGCCAGCGCTTTGATGTTATTATCGTCGAGGACGACCCGTACTGGTATCTGCAGTTCGCGTCCGCCCCGGAGCGCGAGGCCGAGTCCAGGGGCCATGCGGCCAAGCCGGCCGTGCCGTACACGCCGGCAAAGTCGACGGGGTACGACTTTCTCGATTCCCTGGTCCCTTCGTACCTGAGCATGGACGTGGACGGTCGGGTCATCAGGCTCGACACGTTTTCCAAGACGGTGGCGCCCGGCTGCCGGTTGGGCTGGATCACCACGCAGCCTGCCTTTATCGAGCGTCTGGAAAGGTAAGCGTAGACCCTTGCCGTCCTTCATCATCGCCAAGCGCCGGCAACGCTAACAGTCTGCTTCAGGATCACCGAGACGACCACCCAGCAACCGTCCGGCTTCGTGCAGGCCATGGTCGTCGAGATGCTGATGGGCCCGACCCAGAAGCACAAGATCCAGTCGTTCCAGCAGCTGAGCGCCGCGGACAAGGCGTGCTACCGCGGCTGGGAGCTGGACGGCTGGGTGCGGTGGCTCGAGGGCCTGCGCGGTGTCTACGAGCGGCGCATGCTGCGCATGTGCTCGCTGCTCGACGAGAGCCTGTTCCAGCTGAAGCAGTCGACGCCCGTCAGCGCGCTCGAGTCGGACTGGGGCGTCATCACCAAGACGCGCATCACGTCCTACGACTGGCCCCGCGGCGGCATGTTCGTCTGGGTGCGCGTGCACCTCGAGAACCACCCGCTGTGGCAAGCTTCAGGGATCTCCGTCCCGGTGCTGGACGGCCCGGCGCTCGCGCAGGCGCTGATGATCTTCCTGACGCACAAGCCGCAGCTCGTCATCGCGGCGCCGGGGACCATGTTCGCGGCGACGCCAAAGGTCGCGGAGGAGACGGCGTGGGCGTACCTAAGGCTGTGCTTCGGTACGGAGACGGAGGACAACATCGAGCCCTGCTCGCGGAGGTTCGCGGCGGGGTTGCAGCGGTTCTGGCGGATCAAGAGCGTGCGCGAGATGGAGCGGCTGGTGGCGGAGCTGAGGTCGTCGTCGGCGAGCGAGTCGGAGTTTGAAGACCTGGCGAATCTGGGCTTTGATGGGGATGATGAGTGAGGGAGAGGGGGAGGGACGAGGCTGCGGGCGCAAGGCAAACAAAGTACATACATGCAGCCAGCCGGTTTGGGGGGGCCACCACATTTCGATACCACCCAACGTCAAGTACATAGATAGATAGATGGGATGAAAGCCGCTACGAACCGGTTACGAGGAATGATTAGATATAGCGCATTTGAAAAGTTGCACAGTTAATTAGGTGGAAGAATTAGAGTAGAGAGGCATCAGAGGCACAACGCAAGTCAGAAATAGTGAAAAGAGACAAGTCTGTTTTTATCATGAATCACTCTAGTTCCACATGAATTATTTAGTTAATCCGGTTCAAGAATAAGGTAAGGTATTGGTGGCACAATGCAAGTCGGCAAATATTAAAAGACAAGTCTTCTAATGTTCAACTCTTCACTCTCGTGCAAGATGAATTGAGCAGCTCAAGTACAGAGCCGCATGCAAATAGCAAAATGTAACAAGTCAAGAAATTCCATTCCTTTTTTCATGCCTGCACTACGACTATAAACAAATCATCATGCATGTCCACACTGCACACCCAGTATGACCAAATCTTAGTTCTGCTTCTTCTGGGACTCCTGGGCAAAGACCTTGGCGTAGGGGTTGAGGCGGAGCATGACCTGCTTGTTGCGCAGCGGGTTCTTCTTCTGGACGCCCGTGCGCTTGGTGGTGGCCTCGCCCTTGGGGGCGTTGAGGGAGCTCTGGATCTCGGACGAGTTGATGAGGCGGGCGAGGTCGGCCTGGGACACGACGTTGGAGGGGAGGAGGAAGTCGCGCTTGTGGGCCGAGGCCTCGGTGGTGGAGCCGTAGATGTCGTCGAGCGCGCGGAACGCGGCCGAGGTCCAGACGATCAAGCGGCCGAGGTGGCCGCCGGGCGCGAGCTGCAGCAGGTTGAGCGCGTTGACGGGGCACGTCTCCACGCCGGGCACGTTGCGGAAGCCCTTGACCAGGTCCTTGCCGTCGGCCTCGGGGTGGAAGACGACGAGCGGGCCGCGGCGCTGGCGGTGGCGGCGACCGCGAAGCTTGCCCTTGCCGGCGCGCAGCTTCTTGGAGCCGCGCACCTTGTCCAGGTCGGGGCCGGCGCCGACGGCGCGGAGGAGCGCGGTAGCGGCAGCGGTCTTGACGACGGCGTCGGCGCCAACGACCTCGGAGTCAACGACGAGGGGCACCTCGGCGACGGTCATGATCTGGTGGCCGCGGGCCATCAGGAGAGGGGCGACGGCGGAGGCGGCGAGCGCGGAGCAGGTGGCGTAGCGCTTCTGGCCCTGGTTGATCTTGACGTGCCACTTGCGCCAGATCTTGGTGGGAGCGAACATGCGGCCGGAGCGGCACATGTTACCGAAAGCGGCCTGACCGGCACGGTGAGTACCAGAGCCAGAGACACGGGGGATACGGGCAACAGCACGACCTGTGAGAGGTATGTTAGTCGTTGGTTCTCGTTGGCTCTCGGTGGTTGTTTGACGGCGGTGGAAAAGCTGCTTCGATTCCGCCACAGGTTTCAGTCGGAGGCTTGTCACCTGCAGAAAGATTTCGTCGTGGCTATCCTCCTTTCGAGACTCTTTCTCGCGGCGGTACTCGTTGCAGCATCTCAACCCCGCCTCTCAACAGGCGCATCACTAACCAGTTCCCCAGGACTCAGCAGAGGTCTGGTGACCGGCCTTCTCGCTCACGGAGTAGGGCTGGCGCTTGTTCTTGGCCATGCCGGTGTGCACCTTCTGGACAATATCGGGACGGATAGGGCTCGAGAAGACGGCGGGAATGGCGTGGGTAGCTCCGGTGGGAGCACCATCTTTGCCGATGATAGAGACGGTAGGTCGCGAAGCCATTGCGAATGATTTGGGGGACTAGGACCTGGACGAGGAAGAGATTGTCAGTATCGAAGGGATGTGATGGTGCTTCTATGCGCAAGGGCCGTGTCTGGGTGCGCGTACCTCGATCGTCGACGGCTTAAAATTTGGTGATGCAGAGGGCGGAACCTGCGATACTGCGGCGCGCACGATAAATTTCACCCACAAATTTTTGCCCTGCACTGCTCAATTTTTGCAGTGTTTGGTGGGCCACGACCCTAACAGTGGGGTGTTGGTGTGAAAGTCACGTGTAGGCCTTCGCTTGGCTGGTTCGTCTCGAAATGGTCAAGTCCCACTTTCTGCCGTTTTGGGCGGACGTGTAAGTGATCGAAGGTTGAAGGTTGAAGGTTGAAGGTTGAAGGTTGAAGTTATCATGTTAGGCATTGATTTTGCTATTTTTTTGGGATATCCTCTAATTTTCTGGGACTTCGCTGAGTCAGTGCCTGGAGTTGCCTCGAAAATTTAGTTGCTCCCTGTTGTGAGGCCTATAGATCTGTGAGATTTGTCTCCAGGAAAGTCCTCGCAATGGGTGCGATACGCGCAGACCATGCCATCCGATATTCTACAGCAAGATATTAATATTCTTGAAAACCTCAAGAATAAAGGTATGACGTGAAACGCATATGTTTCGATGTTGTTTTACCTCCACTTCTTTTTGACCCCGTTTTCTGAACACTCTATGGTCTTCTCATGGGACAGTATTCGGGTAATGTGGCTAGGCGCCTCCCATGGCGGTGCCAAGGCAGATGTCCAGCTTTTTCACATACCCCGTGCCATTTGTTCTTGGCGACTCCGATGTACATAATCCGAGCACTTAATAAAGATATGCGACTTCCAAGAAGCTAAGAGGCTGATCAAGCCCAATGAAAGGTTGCGAGGAAGATTGGGCAGGGCGAGCACTCGATAAAAATATGCAAGCTCAAGAAGCCAATAGGCCGATCAAGCTCAACGAAAATTTTCCGAAGAAGATTGGACAGGTTAAGTACCTGCTGTCTCCCACTATACTTCTCACCAGATGCAAAGACACCATCTGTGTCTGCTTGCTCAAGCGGAGTCGCGCACTTGTGATAGTTGCTCTGCCTCATCTTGTCGCATCAGCGATTCTCTGTAGGCTTTCAAGATACACATTGCGTAATTCCAGCCGCAATTCTACTAAAGTATAACAAACTGGACACCTACCGCTGGGTGCTCGAGGCAGAACGGGGAAGATTCGGTGTCACAAGGGGGGGCATGGCTGCGGACAAGCCGAGCGCATCTCGGCATCGAGCCTTCTCGACAATATCGAGGTAAATAGTACATATAGTAACATGGTGTCTCAAGAGACCGCCACGATCCTATAGGCTCCAATGACAAAAATGCTTACCGGCCATCTCTGTCCCGGCCTCGACGGGCAGCCACGCATGTTGGCATGATTTCACCACTCGTTACCAACTCATGGCCGCATTTTGGGCCTCACAGTAATGTAAATAACGCAACACACCATACTACTTCCACCCACCGGGACTAGGCTGCGAAGAAGGTGGTATGATGGCACAAGTCCGAGGGACGGAGACCAAGAGGACACACCACGGGGCCAGTTGGCGAAAATGAATCAATGCATAGACAAATCCTATTAAGTATGGTACTTTTTGTATTTCTACCATATTTCAAAGCGACATTTTGGTTCAGAAATGTAGACTTGGCAGGGTACCATGCGCCTCCAGGAGAGTAGCGAGGGAAACCCTGCATACAACCCAAAAGTTGTGGAGGTTCTGGAGTACATTCTCGCCATTTACTACTGCTCCTTGCTTATTTATTTCTCATAATAATCTTTATTCTCAATGCTAAAGAACACTGGCCATATCCAGCTTCCATAGGTCCCGCGGATTTGCACGGGAATCTTCATCATCATTCAGGCTTGAGGGCTGGCTGCAAGTCTTGCTCCGACAACGGCTCCACGATCGCTGTCAATAGCATTGTTCACGGTTTATTTCCAATCCATAGTACAAAAATACCTCATTTTGTAGAAAGGAAGATCTTAGTCAATTTTCTAGGCCAGGTGTGCCTTCCCCCACGACATTGTCATAGGGGTGCAGGTAGGTGTGTACACCATGAGCTGACTTGTTTGTGGAAGATAGAACATTAAGAGCAAATTGTCATTCGCTACCATGGCTACAATTATGTTGCGTAAGATGTGCAATACTTGAAATGGTGGCCACCATTTTATAGTCACCGGACAACTGGTACATCAGCATCGGGCTGGGACGGCTGCTGCCACCACTCACACAGCCAAAGCGGTAAGGCAGCCAACCTTGCTTCTACGGAACTTCCTGATACATGCTTATCTTTCAACCCTCCATCCAAGCGCTGAGAGCACTATCGAGTCCCTACTACGGTAGGTCACGTGTGCCTACTCTCGTCCGCGCCTAGGAAGAGCCAACATTCGACACGGCCATCCCCAGTCGCCTCTAGGATTGCGGAAATTTTTAACGGACGCAAATCATTCCGCCACAGATATGTATTTGCTTTTTCCTTTTTCCTTTCCCTTCCTCCCTCCGCAACAGCTAGTCAACGGAGCGCTGACAAGAAGATGGCCAACCTCAGCGGCGCGTTTTCACCTTCACCAAATCCACAGCGCCGAAGAGGCGAAGCCCTTCATGACTGCTCTGACGACCGCCGGCCTAGGGGATGTTCTCTCCGTGAGCAACGGTGAGTTTCTACTTCTTTGTATATCGCCCGCACGATACACGGCAGTGAACTGACGGAGCAAACAATAAAGAGCAACTCGACGTAAAGTGGCGAGAATTTGGCCGCGACGGGGCCAAACTCGAACAATGGGCAAGTCCAACACCCCACCTCCTTCCATACTGAGAGACTTCCACTGACTGATTTTCCCCCCTTCGTGACAGCTCCTTGACCTCGTCATGTCCTCGCAGATTCCTACACGAAATGCTATGTAGTTTTCCTTTCTTCCTTTCCAAAAGTGAACTCTTGGCTTCCTCGAATGGCTAGGAGAAAGGTTCGACTGCTCCCTATACAAGACGTTGTGTAGTTTTTGCTTTCTTTCGGGACGTGGACAGATGACTCCCAGCCCCGCGCATCTTTCCCCGTCTCAATTGTTTGGCAAGGTAGTGGCGATCCGCTCTTAGCATAAAAGTTTTTTTCTTCTACAAAATACATTCTTTATATACAAGACAAATTCTATACATTTTAATTGTGCGCCTCATCGTGCTTCCGTGGAACGGTACATGTATACATGAGCTTGAACCCTTGGATGTCCAGGATCGTTACCAGTCACTATTCAGTTTCTACGCTAAATACATTTTGAATAATTCATTCAATTGAATCAGCTTGGTGCGTTTTTTACAGAATTCTTTCAAATCAACTTCTTCAACTACGTACAAGACAGCATGTGGATGGCTACCTGCTAGTTATGTAAAGTAAGAGAACGGGGAAGCTCGCTGGCCCGCAGTCAGCTTCTCATAATAACTTTTTAAATGAATTAAAAATAAATCAATATAATATTCATTTCTCTCTTCCGGTGCTTTATTCATACCCCATGATACCCATTGCTCATACTATTCTGTAATGCTCACTTCCAACTTACTGCTTAGGTAATCTCCAAGATCCCACTCGTCCTGCAAACCTTTTCTGTTCGTCACAGGGTCCTCTTCACTTTTCCCTTCTCCAACATCACGACAGACGACACGGCAATGCCCGTCTCACACCCCAAACCCTCTCAACACGTCGCCTTCTTGCAATTCTGACCATATCGCTGTCCGCTGGGAGTCATTTGTGCCCCGACAGCCCTGGTCTTTCTGCGAGAACGCAACCCCACATAACACACACAAAATGCTGTAGATTTCCTTTTATCCGGACTATAATTGGGCTGTTTTGACCTCACTCTCCGTGGTATTCAGCTCTCATTCCATCCGAAGACAAACCTTTGCCACTGATCTTCTGCACCCTTCGCTTCGCGAGGGGGGCCTGGTGAACTCGACGCTGCGTTTTCAAGCGGGAGTTCATAGCACAGCAGAGCGTCAGACATTTATTCTTCCCTCTTTTTAGTCACGTTCCAAATTAGAGAGGCAATTGTGTGCGAGAAGGGGAGGGAGGGCGGCTGCCCTCCTTCATTATATTGTCTAGTTATTCCAAGTCCCGTACTCGCCGCTGGGCCAATCCCACCATGGACAAAATGCCCCTGGGATACAGTCCCCAAGTACTCGCGGACAAAACCATTGCCACCTCTCTGATTTTTTGTCTTTTTTATAATTGTCATCCACGGACTCCTCGCTTCTTCCGCTTGGGTATATCGCCTTCATATTCCCTCCTTAGCAATCAGCAACAGGTAACCACCTTGTTAGCCCATTGTCCTTCGTTTCTTGAATACCTTTGTAAAACTTTGGCGCTTCGCTCGACAGCCCATCCGCTTGCCAATCCTTCATTGTCCATCCGTTAAACATGAGTGATATCATCAAAAAAAGGTACCATGCCGACAGCCCCCCGCGCTTGGCAGCTCACAGCCGCGATAAACCAATACCTGCCCCAATATAAAGTGTCAAAAAGCGCATAGCGAATGCGCATAGAGTCGGTTGAAAGAGACCACCAACACCAAAAGTCTTCAACTTTTCTTCTTGGCATAGCCATGCATAAAAGCTCATCCAAGCCTCTAGCAAACGGCAATTCTGCTTGCTGCCGTCCAATGCGTGGTTCTTCTCTCATCGTGTAGCAGCCCAAGGTGCTACCGAAAATCGCCCGTCCAAGCGGACTCGTGCAAAAAACGCGCGCGACGTCTATGCAACTGCGCCGATATTAAAGGCGCAGTCTTTGTGCATTCCCTTGCACTCAGGCAAATTGCCCCGATTAGGCTGTAATCAGTCGTAGGTTCATAAGCAATGCAGCCCAGTTCGCCGTTCCGTCCATTCGCCAAAGAATTCGTGCCAATATTGTACAATCCAACATGGCTGTATAGTTCCCTTCCCCATTCCAAAAGAAAAACAAGTAAAACATGAAGAAATGGAGCAAAATTCGCAAACAACTGCTTGCCCATGCTCCAAATATGCAGTTTGAAAAGAAAACTCCCTCTCCCATCACCCATCACCAATCGCGTTGGTGTGGTTGGAGATTAATTTTGAAGTTGGGCAGGGCCGCGACCACGGCCACCGCCACCACTGCCACCGCCACGACCACGGTAGCCCCCGCGGCCACGGCCACGTCCACGGTTACTGTAGTTGCCATTGTGTTGCCCCTGGGTCTGCCAGTTACCCTGTTGCTGCTGCTGGGGTTGCTGGGTCGCGAGAAGCTGGCTCGGTTGCTGAGGTGCGGCTTTGGGGAGGTTTGAGATGGGGCGAGGAATATTCTCCGGGTTATCGTACACGTAAAGGCTCTTGTCAATGTTCGCAGGAATAGGCTGGATTTCAGTGCCAAGATCACGTTCGATGTTGTAAAGGTTGAAGCGGTCTTCCCAGTTGATGAGGTTGATAGCCAGACCAAGATGGCCATATCGACCGGAGCGACCAATTCTGTGAAGGTAGGTTTCGGCATTCTTTGGGAAATCAAAGTTGATGACAACATTGACAGCTTGGATATCAATACCGCGGGTCAACAGGTCGGAGCAGACAAGATTGCGGCAAACGCCGTTGCGGAAGTCGTGGAAAACTCGGTTACGGGCGTGTTGCTGCATGCGCGCGTGGCTGTAAAAGCACGAGTAGCCAAGTTCGGTAATTTTCTTGGCAAGCAGCTCGACGCGGTTCGTGGAATTGCAGAAAATGATGGACTGGTTGATCTGCAGCTTGGAGAAGAGGGTGTTTAAGCAGTGCACCTTTTGCTTCTCCTCCACAAACGCGTAGTATTGGGTGATACCACGGAGTGTGAGCTCGTCCATCAGATTGATCTCATACGGGCTGGTCATGTTGCGGTCGGAGAAGTCCTTGACGGACAGAGGGAAGGTGGCGGAGAAGAGCATGACCTGGCGGTCCTTGGGGTGGAACTGGAGAAGCTGCTCAATTGTGGGCGTGAACTCGGCCGACAGAAGCTTGTCGGCCTCATCCATGATGAACATGGGGCACTCGCTCAGATCAGCAACATTCTTTCCTGCCAAATCGAGGATACGGCCTGGTGTTCCGACCACAACATGGACAGGCTCCTGAAGACGAATAATGTCATCGCGGAGGCCCGTACCACCGGTGGTGACCATGACATTGACACCAAGGTGTTTGCCGAGCGTCTTGCAGACCTGCGAGGTCTGCATGGCGAGTTCTCTGGTGGGGACGAGGATGAGACATTGAATCTTATTCACTTTCGGGTTGATGCGTTCGAGGGCGGGGATAACGAAGGCGGCCGTCTTGCCGGTACCGTTTTTGGCTCGGGCGAGGACATCGCGTCCAGTCAGCGCAACAGGGATAGCTTCTTCTTGAATGGGGGACGGTTTTTCAAAGCCGGCTTCAAAGATGCCCATAAGGAGGTCTCTCTTGAGCGCAAAGTTTTCGAAATCAAGGCCCTTCGTTTTCGTGACATCCTGCAAGCGAGGGCGGTTAGTTGATGGTTGTTAATAGCTGGCGAGTAGCAGATAGCACGAACTTCCGTTTGTTGCCTGTTGTCCTTGGCGGGAATCTTCAGGTTCTTCTTCCAGTCATCACCAGCAGCAGGTGAGGAGCTATCGCTGCTATAGAGGGAGAAGACGCATGTTAGCCGGAGCTGTAAAGCGATCAGGTTGCATGGGTCAGGCAGGATCGGACCTGATTTGAGCGCTTCTGAGCTTATCCACTAGTTGATCTGTCATGATGCCGTGAGCCGCCGGCGGGCAGTATATAATGTATCAATGGTTGTGGGGGACGAAATCGTGCGAGGATAACGATAAGCCAGTGCAAAAGAAGCTGGCTCTCGTAGCGCGGATGTGGTTTGTTGGCCGTAAAAGCAGCGTTTGAAGGGATTCGCTGCCGGCAAGGTTTTTTTCGCCTCGGCAGGAAAGACAAAGCGCAAGGGTTTCAGGAGAGAAATGTGCGGAAAGTGCAAAGAAAGATCGCTTTCTTGATAATTTAGTTGCGCTGGTACTGGTGAAGCCCTGAATTCGTGCGGAAAGGTGTAAGGTGTAGATTGTTGGAGAGGAGGTTTCGGTGAGATGTTGCTTGGGAGGAAGGTTCTAGTTAGGCGGGCTTCTGTACGGTTAGCTGGGAACTAGTTGGAGTTTGAGCCTGACAATCGGGTGAGATCGGTCACGTGAACGCGGGGTTGCCGGTCACTGGAGCTGGAACAAACAAGTTGCAAGGGCAAGCGAGATGAAGCGAGATGAGGTGGAATATAGGCGATGAATGCCAGTGATGGATGTGTCTGTTATTGAATTTTCGGAATGGCGGGTCGATGCTCATTTATAAGGAAGACGAGGGACGGGTGCTGGTGCTGGTGCTGCATCGCCAGTCACACTCTGTCAGACACCACCCCCCAGCCACCACCTTACACGACATGCAGCAAACAATGCAAAACCCAGTATTTTGTATTTCATTTTGTATTTCATATGCCTGTAATTTTTGCGCATTTTATAGCTAGATATTTTTATGATCTAATTCAAGCCAAGTGACACGACAGACAATATTGATACTTGATCAGTTTCCAGTCATCTTACACGACATACCACAACCCGCATTCGAGCAGCACTTAAATCATTTAATATGTATTCTCTATGCAAAGTGTCTATCGATGCAATATGATATAAGTGTCACAAAAGAGACAATTGAAATTGGGGACTAAACTCACTCCCCAAGTAAATACACAACGTTACTCATACAGACTTATTGGTAAGTCGTCCTGTACGCCCTAGACTTTTAAACACACACACAAAAAAAATTTCGCCTTTGTCATCAATTACAGCTTCATGCCCATGGCCTTGGCCACGCGCATGCTCTGTCTCATGCTGAGGTCCAGCATAATCTCCTCGCTGCCGCCGGGGATGGCGTAGGCGCGGACGTCGCGGTACAGGCGCTCGACCTTGGCACCCTGCCCGCCACGAGAGTAGGCGAGGCCGCCGAAGATCTGGCTGGCCTCGCGGGCGCAAAACTCAAAGGTGAGCGTGGACTGGGCCTTGAGGCCGGCGATGGGCCCACCAAGCCGCAGCATGGCCTCGGTGTCGGGCATGCGCTCGCACTGGTAGACGACGTTCTCGAGCCAGTTGTACGAGGCCTCGACCTGGCGCGCCATGTGGGCGAGCTTCATGCGGATGACCGGGTGGTCGATGAGCTTCTTGCCAAACGTGCGGCGCTTGTTGGCGTACTTGACCGACTCCTCGAAGAGCACGCGGGAGAAGCGCAGCGACTGGATGATGATGCCGATGCGTTCGTGGTTGAAGTTGGACATGATGACGCGGAAGCCCTGGTTCTGCTTGCCGAGCAGGTTCTCGACGGGCACCTTGACGTCCTCAAAGGTAACGTAGGTGGTGCCCGAGGACCAGACGCCCTGGCAGTCCATGCGGCGCGTGCTGACGCCCTCGGAGCGCTCGATGAGCAGCAGGGAGACGCCGTTCATGCCGGGCCCGCCGGTGCGCACGGCCGTGGTGAAGTAGTCGGCCCAGATGCCGTTGGTGATCCACTTCTTCTCGCCGTTGACGATGAAGTGCTTGCCATCCTCGGTCAGCTTGGCCTCGCAGGTCAGGTTGGCCACGTCGGAGCCGGCGTCCGGCTCGGTAATGGCCAGGCAGATGCGCTTGTCGCCGCTCAGCAGGCCCGGCAGCACGCGGTCCTTGAGCGCCTGCTGGCCGAACTTGATGACGGGCGGCGCGCCGATGCCGTAGCCGCCGATCAGGTTCCAGATGAAGCCGCCGGAGCCGGTGCGGCACAGCTCGTCCGTCAGCAGCATCTCGTGGAAGAGGTCCCACTTCTCGGGCGCGACCGACTTGACGCCGCTCGCGTACTCGGTCGGGTACTTGACGCCCAGCAGACCCGCCAGGTACCCGCGGCGTCCCATCTCCTTGTAGACCTCCTCGGGCACGCGCTTGGCCTCGTCCCACTCGGTCACATTGGGCTCCAGCTCGGTATCGACCCATTCGCGGACCTCGGCGCGCAGCGCGGCGTGCGTCTCGTTGAAGTACGGCGAGTGCTGGCCCTGGTACCAGCCGGGGTCGCCAAAGGGGATCTGGGCGCCGAAGGGCTCGAGCGCGTCGGCGCTCTCCTCCTCGGAGCTGGCGCGCGACACCTCCTTCTGGGCCGCGGCGACGGTCTTGGGCGAGGGCTCCGGCACGGGCTCCGGCGCGGGGGCGGGCTTGGGCTTGGTGTCGAGGGAGCCGACGTGCAGGCGGCTGTGCCACTTCTTCAGGATGCCCTCATTGTGGTACTTCCAGAACTGCTTCGAGGCGTCCTTGCCGCCGACGCGCTGCAGGATCTTCTTGCCGCCGGGGTGGTCGTCCTGGAACTTGGTGACATCGTAGACGTCACCGTCGACGATGATGTAGAGATTGTCGGCCTTGTTATGCGTGGCGACGTCGCTGACAGTAAACGTCTTGGACATGGTGTCTGCGTTGTGAGTGTAGTAGACAGACTACGTGTTGGTCGGGGAGGGGGTATAAGGGTATAAAGGGGAAGGAAATGCGATGATGAAGAGAAAGAGGAAGAGAGCAGATGGCTTTTAAGAGGCGAGGAAAGTGGAGGGAGGGGGCCGGCAAGGTTTTGTAGAGAATGATCAGGTGTAAAAGGTGGCTTGTGAAAGAACAATGCGGAGGCTTCTGATTTGATGAAACCTGGAGTATGGGAACTGGAAGAACGGGGTTCAGCTTATTAGAGAAGTGGGATAATCAAGAACTCGGCATGGAGAGGTTTGCTTTTAGCTCAAGGGTCGGTCAATCACATGCGACAATGACGGAACCAGCGGGCGGGTGTCTAGAGTAGCAGTGCCTTGGGGAGTCGGGAAGCGCCTCTCGCTCAGTATAGGTAGGGTTTTGCGAGCACTGCTTGCTACGTATTATACACTTGACTTGCGCTGGAAAAAGTCGACAAGTCTTGACGTCTTTCTAATCTCGGCTAGGATGAACAAGATATCTATCTCATAGCCCAGCTATAAGCTGTCACAGGTTTCACTGAATTCATCACGGGCGCATTCCTGGGGCAATACTCGGTCAAAAGCACCCATTCAGTCATTCCTTGGCCTAACTTACTGGGTTGCGGTACAAAAACCACGTAGTAACCCGGCTGCTGTGAGTGGTCCGGCGCATGACCTGCCACAGCCGGCGCCCCGGAAGCAGCCTGGGGAGGCTAGAGGGAGGCTCTGCTGGCATGTGAAAGCAGACACCACAGCGCTTCGGTATTGGCAATTCCACTGGGCCAGTTTGTCGCGCCATGCTGTCCCCATGGGCTCTGCAGTGGAGTGGATTTTTTGAGCGTCACTTGCCGAGGCTGAGGCTCTGCAGACAGCGATTATGGCCAACGCACATGTATGTGCACGGGACCATATGTATCGGTGAGACACTTGTTATTGGACATGCAGTTTTACTTACGCGCGAAAGATGACTGGCTAGTTTTGTTTCATTTTATTTCATTTTCTTTTCTTTTCTTTTCTTTTCCCCTTCATCTCACCCTAACTACCAGACAGCGCATACATGCTGGACACCAGCTGACCGAACCTGACAATCCCTTTTGGGAAACCATGTCCGGGGGAGCCCACCCGAAAACTCCGGGGTGAGGCAACCGAGCCGCCGGCACCGGCCCGCCCATGCAACGGAAATTGGGCCTGGGGCCATAGAAGGCACAAGCAAAGACTGCTTGTCGGTGATTCCTTCAGTGACATATGACTAGCTGCAAAAAAAATATAGGAGTATTCTACATCCTCCTAAGTCCTGCCCATCACAATAGCTGCAGGCCGCTCACAGTACCCAGCTTGCATCATGCCACTTCCGCCGCTGGAAACCTCATGCATAGGAAGACAACGACAATGACCTGTCCGTGCAGTGCTAATCAAGAAAAAGAATTATTCGTTTCCGCAATGGGACCTACAGACTATGCTCTCAGTCATTCCTCTGATCCCGAACCGTTGTTACGCCGTGTGTTATCCGAACAACAAAATGCCAAAAGATGAAACCCTCATGAAAGCAATAATCGTTTACATTTTTACCTCAGTCCACCAGCCATCGTCTCTCCCCCTCCCCTCTCAAGCCCCTCGCGGCTTCCCCTTGCTCGCCGCCTTGTCCTTCTTCTCCTGCTTCAGCTTCTTCTTCTTCTCCTCGTTCTTCTCCTCCAGCTTGCGCTTGTGCGCCGCCCGCTCCGCCTCCGTCTTGGGCACCACCTTGAAGAAGCCCTCCAGCCGCGCCTGCTGCGAGCTCTTCAGGTTCTTCTCCAGCCGCGCCCCGCCGCTGCGCACCCGGTCCTCCGAGAAGCCCTTCTCCGTCACCAGGAACTGCACCAGCCCCTCCATGTCCGGCTTCTCCCACCGCACGTCGCACAGCGGGTCGTCCGCCGGCCGCACGTCCGGCGAGAAGAAGAGGTCCCGCGCGTCCTCGAACGGCCAGTCCTCGGGGATCGTGTACTTTTTCTTGGAGTCGTTGTTCATCGCCTCGACCACCTTTTCCAGGCTGCCGTGCTCGCGAATGAGCTTGAGGGCCGTCGTGGGGCCGACTTTCGGGATAGGGTCGAGGTAATCGCAGCCGAGGAGGATACAGAGGTCGACAAACTGAGGCACCATGTTAGCAACGGTTAAGTATTGTAGAGCCTCGTTTGGCATGCAGCCCGGCCAGCAGAATCCGACTGTAGATTGAGCCTACCTGTTTTCTCTCCATGTTCAGCCCCTCGAGAACCTTGTCCAGGTGAATCTCCTGGATGGGCTCCTTGCGCTGCTCGCTAAACGTCAGGTGTCTCAGCAGGATCGGCGAATCAAAGCACAGCGTGTCCATGTCCTCGCTTGCCGCCGCGTACACCTTGTCGGCCTTGGCCAGCACCGCGCACTGCGCCTCGGCCTCGGTCGGCGCGACAATGTACGGGATTCCCATCAGCTTGAGCAGCCGCTGGCACTCTGCGTTGTGCTCGCGCGTGACCCGAACAGTGCGCCGCGAGAACTTCTCCACATCCTCAGCCGTGCCCGTCTCCTTGGCCTCCTCCAGGCCCTCCTGCGCCGTCTGCTTGCGCTGGAAGCGCTTGGCCAGCTCGCCCGACTTGAGCTTAGGCGGCGCCCCGTCGAACACGTACAGCGGCTTGATTCCGTTGTCCACCATCCGCAGCGTCCGGTAGAACATGCCCATCAGGTGCGATGTCGTCTCGCCCGTGTCGTTCATGAGTTGCTGCCCGTCGGACCGAACAGCGATGAGGAAGCTGTAGATGCTCATCGACGCATCCTATTTTCTCGGAAAAATAATCTAGTAGTTAGCTGCAAATTCACATGGTACTTGTACGTCTGCAGTGAGGAGCACGCACGATGGCAACTTTGCGACCGAAATGTTGCTTGATTTCGCCTTCCTTGATGGCATCGGGAGCTTCCTCCTTGATGATCTGGAAAAGCTGTTTGATACCCATGATGTCAGTCGGGAATTTGGAGCTTCCTCCGCCGGTCAATGCACAAGATCAATTCGATTCGCGATGGAAAGAATAAACGGCCACGGAAAAGGTGAAGATTGTCTCTGCAAACGACAAGTTAGAACGCGCGCGTCGCGTGTCGTGGGAACCAGCTTTAAGTGGTTCCACTTTTCTCGCGACGTCGTCAATGGCCACTTTGGGAGCACCTCACGAAGCTATAAGACGTCTAAGTAAACCGTGTTTAATTTCTTCCTTTTTATTTTATGAATATTTGCAGCTACGAGAAAATGTATCACCGGAGCATCGCCAATGCCGACATGAAGAGATAGGCCCTGCTACTCCAAAGCTCCGCCAGTGGGAGACGGCTTCATAGCTTGGAGAGCAAGTTGTACCAGGTCAGGCTGATGGCATATAAAACGAGCTTCTACTTTCCACTGCCTCATCCCGCCACGTAGAAAGCCCGTGCTCCAGTGATTTAATGAAATTGATATACCGCTCGGAATACAGAGTCGTCAAGGATTGATCTCGCCTTGCGCTCCACCTTGCCGTGCGGAACAAGAAAGCAATCTACAGCATGGGCAAGCCATTCACGTAATGGTGGACGCATCAGCGTCTCATTTGTGCTTTTTATACAAGTCCTGGGGAGCGAGGGTATCGTACAGTTGTCCTTTGACTAAGCCACCGGAAAACACTCCAATCTCTTTCTGTCTTCGCACGCCTAGCCTGGCCGTTGTCTCGTTAGCAGCGCCCATTCCATTACTCGTCAAAAAAAACCCTCTTTCGGCTCTTGGTCGGGGTTCCATTCATGGAATCCAGTGCTTGATCTATCTCCATGATCCCCAACATCTCAGCCTCGACGTCGCGGGAAATGTCCGCCGACTCATCCGCCGCAGCGCTGAGGGTATTGGCAAAGTCGAAGCCGACGCGCGGCCGTGATGCACCATTGAATGACACGTCATCCATATCGTGATCTTGATCGATGGGAGCCGTCGACTTGAGACGCAGCGACCCGGCCTTGGCTGTGCTGAGGTTAAAGGACAGGTTTGGCCGGGCTCTGTTGGTCTCGCCGTGCACGATGATGGCGCTCGGGTGCTCCTTGGAGAACAGGCGTCTGGGTCTGTACAGCGATAGCTTCTTGCTGCCGCTCTCGTCGCCGTCTTGGGCAATGACGAGTCGAGTCTCGCCACGGATGACCACCTCCACAGACATGCCGCCCTCGGCCACCGAGCCAGTGCTCCTTGCTGGGATGAGGTCGACGCCGCGGCACGGCTCGCCAAGCAAGCCGGTGCTTAGATCAGCAAGCTTTATCATCCGCGTGGGCAGTCCACCGCTGAAGAGATTCACGCCAGCGGTAGATCCCTTGTTCAGCTGCGACTCCCAGAAGCGCGAGACGGCGGGTACCACGCAGACATGCTCCAGGCCACCAAGCCAGAGGACCAGAGCCTCCTCCTGCGAGGACTTTTTGGGCGACGGAATCACCGTCGTGCGCACACCGCCGTGCACGCTGGAGAGTCTATCCAACGTGTTGGTCGAGCTCAGCGAAGCAGTCGCTTGCTTGCGAGTATGCGGCGTCATGGGCGCAAACTCCCCCTGCTGCGCCTCCTTTTGTTGGTTGGCGATGCTGCGCAGGGAGCCCGTGCCTTCGATGTAGCCCGATATGCTAAACGCCGTCAGCGCCGCACCGCGAACGCCAGATTTGAGTTTTGTCGACATGTTCGCGCTGGCAGACAGCGGGCTCACGCCGTCAATATCCCAGATCCCCCACATGCCATCGGCGAGCAGGACAAAGACTGCTTGGCCCTTCGATATCCAGGCAGCGTCGAGGATCGGCTTCCTCGCCGACGACGGTTTCGCAAAGGGCTGGTATAGAGAGAGGAGCCACGAGCCCTGGCTAGGAAATGGGCCAGTGGAGTCCGGGTCATTGAGTATAGACGGAGCGGCGTAGTCGTAGATCCGGACGGCGTCGGTGGCGGACACGGTGAGGAGCTGTGTGCTGTGGGTTGGGTTGAAGGATATCCTCTTCAGTGGGCTGGGCAGGTACTCGGTCTGAAAAGGCTCCAGCGATCGGTCCGACTTCAAATCCAGCGCAACGTCCCAGAGCCGCAGGACACCAGACGCCTGCTTGGAGTGCGCGGCGACGATGAGGCGGGGTGGCTTGGACAGCTGCGTCGACTCGGACGTTTGCGCGAGCGCGATGGCGAGACCGTCGCTCGGTCTTGTCTGGCCGCCCAGCGCAATCAGCAACTCGCCCCACGCGCCCGAGCCAGCCTGGCCCGCCAGCAGGTCAACGCGAAGCTCCGGGCGCGCCTTGCTCTCTGGTGACGGCGGCGTACTCGGGAGCGTGATCACGTAGGCGTCGTTGCCAGCGCATGACACCGCAAAGACGAGCTTATCACCACCAAGGCTGTCGGGCGGGACGGCCACGTGAAGCACCGACGCGCCAAGCGTGAGGTCGAGGGTCTGGATGATCTCGGGGTACGGCCCTTCTTCGATCGCGGCTTCGAACTCGGGCTTGTCCACGAAGGCGCCGGTGGCGCTCGCCGTCGTCTTGCTGGCTGGCGGCTCTTCATCGTCCGAGTCAATAACCATGACACCAGCGTCGGCGGCGCCTCCATTCTGCTGCTGCTTAACGGGCTCCGGCTTCCGGGAGGGCTTAAAGCGACGGCCACCGCGCCATACGACAGTTACGCCGGTTTCATGGCCGTATATTAAGATAGTCGCTCCTTGGGGAGATTGAATGGGGTATGTTTGCACGTCGTGTATCCGTCGAGAGAGATTATATCTATTGTTTGCAACAGGTCAGTGATTGTGTTCGCGTCACCGAAGGTATCCGTGTCGGAAGTGATGCATGCCCTTACGTGAGAAGGGTATTTTGTGTGGTCCGTCGTATACGGGGAGGTGTTGACGAGGTCATGGTGAAAGCTATACGCTTGGGCACGCAGACCCAGCAACAAGGGCTGACGTATCAGGGTTTTCAGGGAATTCAACGATCAAGTTCGTATGGGTGGAATGGGAAATGCAATACGCGGCCGGACGCAGATGGTATTTGCTTGGGTGTGCAGTATATGCAGCTCGAATCTTGTTCCAAGCAGCCGCCGTCGAAACAAAGCACAGCTTTTTGGACGCGTTACTGTGATGAGCTTCCTGTAGTGGCATCACGTGATGGCCGGCGGACTTACCCTGTAGCGACATCCATTCACACGCTGGAGGTTTTTCTCGTGGCTATTGTTTTGTTATGTTGGTTTTTTTCGTCGTCTTTGTTTTGAGGGCTTGATTCTCCTTTAATTCTAGCTTTATGGTACGTTACGGGCAAAGTCGTGGTGACTAACTCAACCTATTGTTCAGTATACGCTTACCTACAGGAATGACATCGTCGTCCAACACATATTGCTCATGTCAAACGCAGCACAAGCAATAAGAATTCGAAGACAAAATAAATTCCAATACTAGGACTAAAATGACACCCAAAACACCGCCCCCTTCGCAAGTAAACTCGCCCGTCACGCCGTAAAAGCCCAAAGTGTAGTAAAGCCACCACGTGGTGTGTAAGTGACACGCCGCGACGCATCACCAAGAGGAAAAGAAAAACGCCAACCACCAAGACCAACCAATATCCCTTCATCTAAGTTATCGAATCGGCGTCGTTTCCCTCGTTAATATCTTCCGGCTCAGACTCCTTCTTCAACAGCCTCCTGTTGTTCAGGATGCGCCACTCCTTGTACGGGCGGTCGTCCACCAGAACCGGCTCGTGGCGCCAGTAGTTGTGGTACTGAAACAGCGGCGACCAATGGAGGTTCTCGCACAGCAGGACCCTGTTGTCCGGCATGTCCCTGCCCAAGCGCATCTTATCCAGGTGCACGTAGCCCGTCACGCCGACGCCGCACTCGCGGTCGATGGCCGCGCTCGCCGCGCGCCACAGGCCCAGGCTACAGTTGGCCGGCTGGCCGTCGCCGTACAGGCATATGTAGATGGTCGCCCTGCCGGCCGTGCTGGAGAAGAGGCGCTTTCGCGGCATGATCCAGCGGTTGCAGAACCACTCGAGGTGCCGCGTGGCGCGGCGCTCCTCGAAGGGCTCGACGAGGTCGCCGGTGCAGACGGCGTCCTTGAACTCGTAGGGCGGGTTTGTGACGAAGTTCCCGGGCTCGGGGAGGCGTTTCCAGCCCCAAGGGGCGGGGGGCAGGGTGTCGAAGAGCGTGCGGAAGGCGTCGAAGCCGAGGTCGGGCTTGCCGTCGTCGTCCTCGGCAGAGTCCGCGACGGTCGTCTCGCTGGTCGTGTTCGCGGCACCCGTAGGCGAAGCGCGGCGGGTGGCCGATGGGCCGAGGAGGATGCTGGTGCTGGTGCTGTTGGTCGTTGGAAAGATGGTAGCGTTGGTCGGCACCACCACTGATGATGTTTCGCTATTTATAGAGGTGCAGGAGGTGCTTGCACTACCAGTCCCGATCGCTGGGGTTGCAGAGAATGTGTACTCGACAAAGCCACTGGTGTAAGTATCCGCGGACGGGGCCGCTGGCGGCCCGTACTGTGCAGATGTGCAGCTGGTGCTGGTTGTGGTGGTGCTGTTGGTCGACGACTGCACAGAACCAGGCACATATTTGGTGCATAGAGTAGCCGTTGTGTCTTGGCCGTCGCACTGGCCGAGGACGGCCATGCTGAGTACGAGGGCGGTGGAACTCGGTTTCATGGTGAATAGTGTACAATGTATTGTCCCGTTGGGGGTTGATGTGATGCACGCAGGGGAAGATGGAAAGGTCAAATAGAATAAGAACAAATATAGTCAAGCATCAAAGTCTTTAACAGAGTTTGGTGGCTGTGGCGCCAGAGAATGTAGCCTTCACACGGCTTCACCACCACTCTATGGTGTAGGACATTAAGTCATGATAGGGCATGGAAACGGTCATTAGGGTGCTTTTAGGTTTGCCAGTTCCAAGTCATCACGGTGGCGAGCCAGGCAGAATCACGAGGCTAACAACCTTGTGCTGCGTTATATTCGTCTTTTATTTCTGTCGCGGAGTTGCCAGATACATCCCACAGGTCGCCCATTGCCCTATACCGGAAAACAAAAAAGCAAATCAAAGTCGGACCATTGCGAATAACAAAAATATGGTGTACCAAAGTATCAGATCACCGAAGCGTCGACATGTGCACGCTTCTGACTCTTCTATATCCCAACGTGCCAAACCTCGATGGCACTGTACCGGCGCTCAGTATGGTACGAGCCTGCCTCCACTTCATCATGGTGAAGGCCAAAAAGAATAGTTAAAAATAAGCAAAAACAGTAAGGAGTGACGAAACGCCGCCTGTTCATCGACCATTGGATCCACCAATGGGCATAAGCAGCAAAACCTTTAACGCCGTGAATGCCAGTGACAAGATGAAAAAGAAGAGAATTCAAGGGATTAAATCGGGGGCATTTGCTCGTAGTGACGTTACAAGGGTGAGCTTATGCGTTGGTGACCTATTGAGTGATGATTGATTAGAAACGAAATTCTGCCCATCCGAGATTGAATACTGCGTACCCTGAGGATCTTGCGAGAGTAATCCTGGTTGTCGGCTATGCTGCCATCACTCAGGCGACGGTGAGCCATGACGGGGTCAAGGCGCGAGTCGGTGATGGAAATACCACCCGAGGTGCTGGGAGGCTTAGATCCGCTGATGAAGGCATTGAGATTAGCGTTGCGGCGATGGTCCTCCTCGATTTCGGCATTGCGCTTTCGGCGAATGAAGAAGAGAATGGCCCCGACGATGCCCGCAGCGACCACTACGCCGACGACGACACCAGCAGCGATGGCCGCGGTATTGGGACCACCACCGCTAGATTTCTCGGGCTTTCCGGTCTCGGCATTTGGTGACTGTGTTGCACTGTGGGACGAAGAAGACGCCGCAGCAGTGCTGCTCGCAGTGGCTGATGAGGAAGAGGACGAGGAGGAAGGATCAACGTAGTTGTCAGGAGCTAGATTAATGCCCAAGTTGTAGACCGAATAGGCGTTCTTGAGACCGCCGCACATTTCGGAGGGGAAACCATTGCACGGGTAATTGCAGTCTCCAGAGCCAATTGATGAGTCCTTGGGTGGGTATACAAAGCCGCAGTAGCAATCCTGAGGGGCGATGGCGGCAACTGGCTGATTCTTGGCTTTGCAAGCATTGCCACACTTGCCGCTGGAGAGAAATGTAGTGTCAACTTTCTCCTTGGTCATATTGCCCACACTCGAAAAACAGCCTTGTAGCGTAAACGATCCACTACGGGGCATTTCCGGTTCAGCGGGCATCGGAGCGCGAACGTGGTGCAACTCGGCGTGTGTGTTGGCAAAAGCGCCTACAGCGGCCATGGCGACGGCGAATGTCGACTTCATCTTGGGCAAGTGTTGATGATATGTGTGCCAACGAAAGCAGTTGGTAGGTCGAGAGTGCGGGTTTCGGAACAAGGTGTCGCGGTAGGTTCGGCCTGATGATAAATCGCGATAGGTCACGGCCAGGCCAGGGAGCGATTCGATTCGAGCTTCTGCCGTGTCGAGTGCAGATGGAGACGACGGTAGAGAGCAAAGTCAAACTTGGGCGGCTATTTGGACTGAGATATTCGCGACCTTTGTAGAAATGGCGTCCTACTTCCACTGTCGTCGCCTTCGGGAACAGCCGTTGAATGGTGTCGGAAAAATTAAGGGGGTGATGGCGTGGTGGTGTCGAAAAGGGACAGAACTGGCCAACTGAAGAGGGATAATAAGAAACGAAAAGGAAGTTGGATAGAAGTAGAGAGAAATGATCCAAGTTAACAAAGAGGGATGGATCAAAGGCAACAAGTGAGCGACAAAGACAACGGGGAAGACGAGCGCGGGAACGGAGAATGAGTGACTTGAGGGTTGTTCGGTTGTTTGTTGAAAGGGGAGGAGGTGAGCGATGGGCCATGGGCGAATGGGGGGGTGGGCGGAGGTGGATGAGGCAGGCAGGGGAATTTTTCGAGGGGGGTGGAGACTCAGAGAGGATGGCTCGCAGCAGGACAGCAACAGAAGTACCAGCGTACAGCGCAAGACTGGGGAGCAGCACGCTAAAAGCCTGCTGAGATTGAACAGTGTGCATTGCACTGTATTAGATTTAGTGTCCGTCCAGGTACCCGAGGTACCTGTCCGTACTAGATAAGATGCCCTACTAAATAAGATACCCGTCCCAGGTTTCCTAATACATAAACGCTACTGCAGCGAATTGCTGGTAGAGACACAGATAGCAACACCACCACTGCACCGCAGACTAGCAAAACCGGATACAGCGCTTGAGCAACAGGTCCAGAACACCGAACGACTCCAGATGGGTTCCGGCGCCTCCAGTATTTGATTGCGCTGCAAGATCCCTGACCTGCGCCGTGCCTTGGATCTAGGTACATACATGTACGGGGCGGCTTCGTGGTGGCTCCGCTGTGTCTGTCGCACTGCCTGGAATGCTACGCGCTCATTGGCTACAATCCGTCATACAACTGACTGTGCCTGGCGTTACCGAGCATTTTAGCTGTTGACTGTACAAACCAAGCTTTTTTTCCCAGTTTTTTTTTTCTTGGTTCCCCTCGCCTTTACCTCAATCAATTCGGCTTTCCAAAAGGGTGCTATTTAGGTAGCTGGCGGCAGAGAGTGGGGATGGGCCGCGTACACTACCCAAGTTTATTCGATGCATCCGAGTTTGCACAGTGTGTTGCAACCGCAGCCCTGGGCGGTGTCATCAGCACGCCATGATAACAAGAAACTTCTATCTTTAATAATAAGGTACCAACCCAATAACTGCCACTTTCAGCAGTCATCAACGCACCAGCGTCTTTCGAGCTCCTGCGCCGATTATCAGTAACCAGCTTCTTCGACACTGGCCAGTGATTCTACGTACAGTGCCAACGAACAATCACCTATATCTGTAAAAAAATAGTTTGACTAGCCTCGCGACGGCGCCCAATGCGATTCAGCAAGCACCGGCCCGTTTGTCACTATATTTGGCCCAAAGATAATAATGGTTAATCAACACGGCCTGATACGCTTGATAGGTATTAATAACTAGTAACTGCGCCGAAGAACCGGTATGTTCTGTACTGGCGATTGCCATCAGGTTGCATCTGGCGCGCGGCGGTGCTTGTGATAACCAAACGTGCCCATTTCCACCGGACCCACCGCAATTAAAGACAGCCAACAAAGCCCGCTCCGGTTTTTATGCTAATAATACCACGCTCGTCCATACCTGAACATCCTCCCGAGAAAAACACACACCATCTGCCTGTGCTGTCCCCTTGGGTCGGTCTGTACTCGTACTGAAATGTCCCGCACAGCCTCCTCTTTGCCCTTCCCTGCCAAAAGATCATACGGTGGCGCCGGGTTCCCGCGCTGGGCAGCAAGCATTTGCTCGCAAGCCTGGCACATGTGCTTTCATGGCGGGGATCGACACGTCCAACGAGTCTTGCACTGTGTCACACGGTGACACCCAGCGCGTACCAGGCGGTACCTGACCTGCATGCCTTCCTACACCCACCATTCTCCCGATTCTTCCTCGAGTACGGGTTATTATTACTGGTATTATGTACCGCCCACGGATACTGCGAACATGATTTAATGAATTCGTAATCAATGCGCTGGTGTAAACTGCCCAACGACTCTTTCTGCACCCTCCCGATACACAACCTCGTGGTATTGGGCGGTATCGATCCGATTAACGGTATACCCATCGGCATCATTTTCAAAACAAATCAAAAAAGGAAATAAACCCCTCAGATGCATGCTTCCTGTTATCATTCTCCTGCGCCTTCTGAAACGCACTAGAATTCAGGCACAAGAGCTTGTTCACGCGCCAGGATCGGCTTGCCCCGATATTGTGCATAATGCGTGGGCTACTATGAACTTGTGCGACCGTGTTCTATGCAACCCCAGTTGCATCTATGAAATCTGGGTAAAGACGTACAGTGCACTCACTGTGTTGTGCCGTCCTACTGTCTCAATAACCTGTGCCTCTTCATAAAATGTCTTTCCACTGGCACGAAACTGCCTTCATTGTCAATGTCGCAGACCTGAGACAGTTGCTTTTCGCCTCACCAACCCCCGTGCGTGTCGAGGGTAACCATCTCACGCCATTATCCGCAACGCCGACTCGTGGCGACCGTGAATTCAGTCTACTGAGCAATTGGGCAAAAACCGTCTGTAACAGTACGACCCCGGATTTCATCCCCGATGCCCTTTTGCTTTGACTTGATGACATGCATCATAAAACCGCATCTGTACAGGGTTTTAACGCGACGAGGCCGAATTAGCCTTACAAGGCCGGTCCGTACCTTGATAATTATTACAACTCATATCGCTTCTGACAAACAAACAACTCTTCCCCGGTGAACCATGTAGGAAGTATATTTGGGTGGTGGATCATGTTAATAAAGTTGGAGGCTTCTTCTGTCTGCAATAGTCTTCCTTGGCAGAGTGAATACGAGCAGTGCACTGCCTCCCAATATCAGCAATGGCCAAGGCAAATGGTCACTGCCCAGAGCTATATTTACCAGCCTGTGGCCATCGCAAATTCCATGCAAGACCCTGCTCAGCATGTGCTTTGTCAGACGCTTCCTGGCGCATGCGCTGAAGAGTTCTATTTCTTCGGGACCAGAGACTCCTCATCCTCATCCTCATCTCGATAACTATGCCTTGGCAGTGCTTGCGATGGCCGGTGTTGGACGCTCGCGCTCAACGCTCCTCACTCACGGCACTTTCTCAGAGACCAACATATCCTCAGCTACCCCCTACCCTGCCGTCGTTTCGTAGTATCGTGGTGAGCGATGCTGTCGACGCCCACTTTTGAATTTATCGCACTGATGACCTGATCTCACTTGCGAACTTCCTTCGGCTTATGATGCATCGTACATATGAGAACGTTGTACTTGGCGACCTAGAATAATTGACATAGGAAGGCGGACTTTCTGAGAACCGCTGTTGGAACGACCACTATTTACTGGTATAAAGTGCTCCGTGTTACCAGCATCTGCCTGTAGTCTGCCTTCCCGTGCCGATTCGTCGATGCATTGAGACGGGAGAGATTAGATCGAACGATGCAAGTAGCGGTATATGTAGCCTTTACATATTCCTAGCTCGTTGTGAACAGGTCCTCCTGATGTGCAACATCTGCAATGGGATTGCCTTCATAGGCAAAGAGGCGGAGGCGGAGGCGGGGGTTCTGATTGGATCATATCGCCGTGATCTTGACCTCTGGTCAGTTGGGAGCTGTCACCGTGGTCTGAGATGTCAAGCCAGTACTGGAGTACTGGTAAATAGCTGGTATTACCCAGCTACTCTCGCGTTAGAAATCAAGAGCCACCGAAGCTTTCGGGCGATCATGAATTACAACAAGCTATTGCAAATGAACAACTGCGACGGGAAGCCATTGCGCTGGCTTGCTGGAACACTCTCGCTACAAGTTCAGTTTCAGCGCATGATCTCGCTGTGGGCATAATTGACTCAGCGAGGGCCACATTGTTGGGGCATGCCAGTATGCCGATATCGCCTGTGGCATTGTCGGAATAATTACCACACGGCTCACGATGCAATGGTTCGAATTTCGAGCAGGGAGTTTGCGGGTTTTATGCTTATGCTGGCAATCTGATCAGGCGAAGAACGATCTGGCGGCCTCAGGATACAGGCAAACAGGTAACCAAGCAGTGACGAGCACACCACCTTGTTTTGGCCGTGCCTGGGCTTGGTACCCGGATATGCAGGTCGCAGCGTGAGGGGAAAGCGGCAGCTGCTGGAGGCTGAATGGCTTGCCCACTTGAAGTCTGAGGTGCGGAGGTACCTCGTCAGCCGCGCAAGCTTAGGTGGTGGCAAAGTATCCCCGGCCACCGACGACGATGAACTCAGTGCATGGCGGACGGCTGAGGACATGTTGGTCTCGGAAGCTGCTCTATTAACCGATTGTAGTTTTCAGACTGGTTTGACAAAAACCACGCCAAACTGACCGCCAAATCCCCCAAAGTACGGAGTACCTACCTGTAACCATGTACATCGCTTGGTTGCCTCGTCACTGTAGGTAGTTAGCACCAGGCAGCTCTTGTGGCGCACGCAAGCTCCGGCCCGGCCACATTACTTTGAGGAGCACGAGACGCAACCAGCCTACCATCGATAACGACACCGGCCCACTCATCCCCCAGCTGCGTCATGCTCCATCCATCCTACAACCATCAACAAGGCAGCTCTCTTCCCCCAAACCACATCTTTTCATCGTCTTACTTGGTCGTTGCATCAAGATATCCTCATCTGTACTATAAACAACCTCGTCAAATTAACGCTCCTCGTCTCTGCCGACGACTAGCTCGCCCATCATGAAGAGCGCCTTGATCGCCGCGGCCGCCCTTGCCGGCTCCGCCCAGGCTGGAATTCACAAGATGAAGCTCCAAAAGATTCCTCTGTCTGAGCAGCTGGTGCGTTCATCTCCCTTCGCGATGCATCTTCTTGATAACGAGATGCCTCTGTGGTTGAAATTCTAATGCCTCGTCATAGGCCGGTGCCACGTTCGAGGCTCAGGTTCACCAGCTTGGGCAGAAGTACCTTGGTGCCCGCCCTGCCAGCCGTGCCGATATTATCTTCAACAGCCAGGTTGCCGAGTCCAAGGACGGCCACCCCGTTCCCATCACCAACTTTGCCAATGCCCAGTGTAGGTGGCCGGAAAATTGACACTCGAATTTGAACCCTTCTAACAACCCCCAGACTTCTCCGAGATCACCATCGGTACTCCGCCCCAGACCTTCAAGGTTGTCCTGGACACTGGCTCCTCCAACCTTTGGGTTCCTTCCCAGTCTTGCAGCAGCATTGCTTGCTTCCTTCACTCTACATACGACTCGTCATCTTCTTCTACATACCAGAAGAACGGCTCCAATTTCGAGATCCATTATGGCTCCGGCAGCCTGACCGGCTATATCTCCAACGACGTCGTTTCCATCGGTGACATTACCATCAAGAACACCGACTTTGCTGAGGCTACCAGCGAGCCTGGTCTCGCCTTTGCCTTTGGTCGCTTCGATGGTATCCTAGGTCTTGGCTATGACAGCATCTCCGTCAACAAGATTATCCCTCCTTTTTACCAGATGATCAAGCAGAAGGCCGTTGATGAGCCTGTTTTTGCCTTTTACCTCGGCTCTGAGGACGAGGGCAGCGAGGTCGTGTTTGGTGGCGTTGACAAGGCTCACTATGAGGGGAAGATTGAATATATTCCTCTCCGCCGCAAGGCTTACTGGGAGGTTGACTTTGATGGCATTGGTTTCGGCGACGAGTATGCTGAGCTCGATAACACTGGTGTCATCCTCGACACGGGCACGTCGCTCAATACCCTCCCCACCGACCTTGCTGAGCTTCTCAACAAGGAAATTGGTGCTAAGAAAGGCTTTGGCGGCCAGTACACCATTGACTGCTCGGCCCGCGACAAGCTCCCCGACATTACCTTCACCCTCGCTGGCTCCAACTACACGCTGCCCCCCAGCGACTACATTCTGGAGCTCGGTGGTAACTGCGTCTCTACCTTTACTCCCTTGGACATGCCCGAGCCTGTCGGCCCTCTTGCCATTCTCGGCGATGCTTTCCTCCGCCGCTACTACAGCGTCTACGACCTTGGCAAGAACGCTGTCGGTCTCGCCAAGGCCAAGTAAATGTTTCAGCACGCCTAGAATCACGAGTGTGTAGTGGAATTGCAGACCATTTGGTTCGATAATGAGTGCTGAGAAGGAGGAGGAGGAGACTATAGCGTCTGAATAGTCAGTTTGTTACAGTCTTTTATGTACACGATACGAAGTACCTGCAATACAGTCCGATCAACACTATGACACGTAGTGAATGAGTGAATGAGCAGTAAAGGCACTGTGCATTATTTTGGAGGATTTTGAGTAGCGAGTAGTACGGGAGAGGCCATGGTCTCCGGGACAGGCGATGTGCAGCAACCACATACATGGTGGAGCTGGGACCTGTGACGCTGCTGAGAGGCAGTTGACTTAGCTGCGACGCAGTGCTGTTATTTCTAGAAGCTAACGCCCGCAAGATCCCTAGCTTTCAGCTCTTGCAAAAAAGGCAGAGAAAACTGAATAAAGTTGCGAAAAATAGGACTCAAAGTAGACGGAAATACACACGCACAAATAATCACTCAGAAGAGTCGTATCACCTTGTGGTGCAACACTGCGGGCGCAAGGGGACGGCAGCAAGTCACGTGCCTCGATTTTTTTAGCCTTTCAGGCAGCGTCAAGCAACAGACGGGTTTGGTTGGCTGGCTGGCTTGAGTACCTCCAAGTGTCCCATTTACTAACCGTCCTTGCACTTGCAAGCAGCCTCTGGCCCATCGAGACACACAGGCTTTGCTGCTCCTCGCAACCTGCATTTTTCCCATTGCCTTTCCCAATCTCTCGGATTAAATCAACCTGTTTCCTGGCCCCATCGAATGCACCAGCCATCATTCAATTTTTCTGGCTGCTTTGCGAATTGAATCTCGCCCGTCAACGCGCGCGCCTTTGATGAAAAAGGTTTGGCGTCGCACCCCCCAATCCACTTTCTTCCCTCACTCTCTTCCAAAAATCCGCGAAACCGCGTATCGCGACCACGCCGCCGCCGCCATCGAGAGCAGCAACCACCCCCCCTGCGGCCACATCGCCCATCGCGAGAGACGTGACCGCTGCAGATAGAAAATCATGGCGCAGCCCTCGCCCGTGCCGCCCGCCAACGGCATCTCGTCAGCCTCGCCGGATCCCCCTAGCGACAACTCACAGCTGTCCGTCCCCGGCAAGCGGAAACGCGACGATGACGGAGAGCCGGCGCCCGCCCAACACCAGGAGACGACGACTGTATCTGACGATTACGCGGGGAAAAACCCAGAGGACCTGCTCAAGTACTATCACCAGGTTCTGATTCAGTACGTTTCATCCATTTTCTAAACGCGAGGCTTCCGTCCTGGGACGGCTCTCCCTTGACGATCGCATCGCCTCCCATCTGCTGTTCTTCGTATCGCAGCTAACCACGCTTGCCTAACAGACTCGATGATAAAAAGACCGTCTTGACTCGTGTGCTGCCCGAAAACCAAACGGACCAAGAACCCCAAACCAAGCGCCAAAAATCCGAGGAGCCGCCGACGCGCTCTACCATCAGCGACAAGTTTGCGGCCAAGTCCTACACAACCATTGATGATGTCGCCGCCGATGTTACCGTCGCCATCGATGCGGCTCTCCAAGATGTCGACGTGGCGGAAAACCCCAAGGAAGCCGTGCGTCTGAGGGCGTTCAGGCGCAAGGCTCTCAAGTACGTCGCACAGGAGAAGGCGTACCCTCAGATCAAGGCGGAACCTCAGGCAGACCCGCAAACGACTTTCCAAGACGGCTCATCGATCCTGTCCATTGTTGGCTTCGCACCGCAAGAAAGAAGATTATTTTCTAGTCTGCCCGCTTCCAAGGATGTCGACATGTCCGACGTGGCTTTGCCCCCTGGTGTGTCCATTGTCACAGTTACCAGATCAAGCCAGCAGGTACCGACACGGACACTTGGAGAGCTGTTCGGATCGCACCGTGCTTTGCTGCCTTTGAACCCCCCGAAGCAGCCAAAGACACAAGCCAAGGGAACCGTGATCGACTTTTACCACCCGGAACCGACAAATGCGCGTACCAATTGCTACTTCAACACGAAGCTGTCCTCTGGATATTACCTAGACTATAGCAACGCTATTCCCTCGTCCCAAGCTGTCCCCAAACAGCGCGAACGAGCCGAGAGTTTGGCTGGGAAGAAGCCATCGATGAGCGAACTTGAAATGTCAGAGGTTGAATCGCTGTTCCGCGGCGCATTTTCTACATTCGCACCCAGCAAAGATGATTCGGCCGCCGTTGTACCCTCCAGTGTCGCTGGGCGCATCTGGTGGCAGCGCTCAGGCCAGCAAATCTTTGAGCGTATGCTAGATGCTGAATACTACGGAGACAAACAAAATAAGGAACCGACTACCAAGTCTACGGTAGACGAGATTGACGAGGCTGCCATCCAGGACGCCATCGATCACTGGGACGAGACAGCTGTTGACCCCTCGTTAGAAAAGATCATGGGTACTCAAAGCAAGGTGGACAAGGATACCGACGATCTACTCGGCGAAGTCTCCGATCTGATCGAGACACTAGCGTCCTACCAGCGCATCCGCAATCTCACTCTGCCTAGCTCGCAGAACAGACAGTCCAGTGACCCCGTAACTGGCGATATGCTCGCGAACTCAGGCCCGGAACCCTCTGAGGATGAGGTGGCCACGTATGAGATGCTCAAGTCTCAACTAGCCCTTATTGTCAAGACATTGCCGCCTTTTGCTGTTGCCAAGCTGAATGGAGATCAATTGGATGAGCTTCTCATCAGCACCAAAATACAAGTTCAGACAGACGACTACTACGGCACCATGGAGGAGGACGAAGCTGGTGTACAAGCACGCCTGCGGGCTCAGCAGCAGCAGCAGCAGCAGCAGCAACAGCAGCGCAACAGCAGCAGCAGCAGCAGCAAGCAGCAACAACAGCAGCATCAACAGCAGCAAGCGGCCCAGCATGCTCGCCAACCACCGCAGCGTACCCCTAGTGTCGGGGGGCATTATCCAAACCAGTATGCAGCCACCGCGCAATACGGTACGCCCGGCCGTACACCGCAGCCGCAGCAATTTTATCGCCCCGGCTCTCAGCCTAGTTTCCAGGCACAACGTAACGCGACACCGCAACAGCCGCGCCCCCCTCAACCTAACCAGTACACGCGAGCAAACGGATTTCCTGGCAACCAGTACGCCACGCAGCTGGCTAAAGCCCAGACACCATATGGACACCAAAACATGCCCCAATACGCAAACCAGCAACGGCAGCAGTTTGCCCAGACGCCGCAGCCACAGGCCGGCCCTCCGAACACTGCAACCTATCACCAATACCAACCACATCAGCAGGGTGTCGCGCCTCCCGCAAATTATGCGGGGTATACTAATGGTACACCACAACAGCACGCCCAGCACCCGCAGCCGCAGCAACAAAGGCAGATGTATAGCCAGTCTCCTAACATGCAGACTCAACAGCGGTTCGCGACGCCGACCCCTCAGCCAGGCACGCCCGGACAAGGAGCACGGTATGCGCCTGGCCCAAACCAACCCGCCGGGTACAACCAGTCGCCCGGCCTCACGGGGTATCACACGGTGATTTCCGAGGCGCAGCAGCAGCGCATCATCGACCAGGCCAAGGCGCGTGTCGCCGCCGGTGGTCAGCAAGGGAGTTACCCTTCCGCCACCTTGGTCGCTGCTCGCGCGAACATGACCAACCAACAGAAGCCGCAGACACCGACGCCGACAGGGCAGAGGTCCGGGACACCGACGCTGCTTCCTCACAAGGTGACACCCGTACCTGTACCTCCTATTCCTGGCGCGATGCCTCAGCAGCCACAGTTATGAACTTGATGCGGTTGACTGGAGAGTATTTTTTGTAACAAAAATGGATATCCTTATTTTCCTCAGTGGCAAAGAAGACGACAGGTGACGTCTCTTGTATGGAACGAATTTCTTTTTTGATCCTTGTTCATTTTTGCATTTCTATGGAGAGAAAGGAACTTGGTTGCTTTTTGTCTTCTTTTCGTGTTGTTTCATTAGGGCTATATTACAATTGTGGTTGATACAGAGAAGAGAGAATGGCAAAGGGGCGACCGAAACAAGGAGGGGAATTTTTTCCAAAAAAATTCAGGCGTATTGATAACCTCGGGGGGAGAGGTGCAGCAACGGGAAAGCAAAAAAGATATTGTTAATCAGTCTTATTTATTATTTATTCTAGGTTGATTGCAATGGCTTTTTTTGGTCCGCCTTTAGCTTTCCATCTTGCGAGTTGATGGGTGCTGAAGAAGAGGGATATGTCTGAAAGGTAGGCTTTGGTTGAAGGCTGTCTGGTTACATAGAGTGAGAACATGCACCGTGTTTAATTTCGAGTCTAATCTACTTTGAATCAGTTAGTGACTTTATATTTCCAGAGGAAAGCCTGTCGTAAATTGAGTAGGGTATCATAAATCTAAAACCAAGCTCTGTCAAAACGCCAGATCATATCCCATTTGAGTCTACACTGCTGTACAACATGTTCCTCACGCCGGAGCTGCCTCCGCTGCGCCCTCCTCCCTCTCCTGCCTCCACTCGAGGACGATGCGTCGGAGCTCGAAGACGACCTCGACGGCGATGAGGACGATGATGATCCACTCGAGGCGGGTGCCGTGGCGCTCGCTCGCGACCTCGCGCAGCACCGCCGCGATCTCCTGCGCGTAGTCCATCTTCTGGTTGAGCGCGCGGATGCGCACGCCGACGTCGAGGGCGCGGCCGACCTGCTCGTAGTACCCGTCGAGGCCGAGCTCCGACCGGCTGTCCCAGAAGAGGTCCGGCAGGGCGTCGGTGAGCTCCGAGTAGTGGTTGAGGCGGGCGCGGAGGCCGAGCAGCTCGCCGGTGCGGCCGAGGACAAAGCGGCGGCTGAGCGGCGGGCCGCCGCCGCGGGCGAGGAGGTCGGGCACGTGCCGCGTGGACTCGAAGTAGGAGGCGAGGGAGGCCTCGAGGACGGCGAGCTTGGTGCTGCGCGCGAGGCCGGAGGAGAAGGCGACCTTGGCGAGCGTGGTGTCGAGGCGGTCGCCGTGGCGCGTGCCGAGAACGACGACGTCGCCACGGACGGAGCTGGCGTCGCGCTGGGGGTCGTAGATGAAGTCGAGGCCCTCGGCCTCGCGCAGCGCGAGTGGGTGCGGGTCCTCGGCGGCGGGGAGCAGCTGGCGTGCGACGGCGTCGGGGGGTAGCGCCCACGTCACGAGCGTGCCGGACGGGAAGACGAAGACGTCGCCGCCGTCGCCATTGGCGGCGGTCCGTCGCGCGTGCACCACCTCCCCGGCGTCGAAGCCGGTGCCGTCAGGGTCGGTCGCGAACCCTTGCGAGGAGAGTATCTCGACGACCGTAGGCATGTGGAAGCCCTCGGCGAGGCAGACAGCGCTGACGACAGTGGACGGGTCGCGCTCGACGGCGGCGGCAGCGGCAGAGCTGGGAGGAGGCTTGCTGCCGGGCGTGTCGGCGGCGGCGCCGCGCTTTGGTTGCTGCGCGATGATGGCGACGCGACGGAGCGAGTTCTTGGTAGTTGCGGCGCGGGTGGGCTTTCGTTTCGTGGGCGTCGTTGTCGTCGTCGTCGAGGGGTCGGCACCGGTGGTGGTGGCGGTGACCGGAGAAGACGGGGAGGATAATGCGGGCTTGGACTCGTCGCCGGCCGGGGAGAGGTAGGGATTGGAAGTGAAAAAGCTTCGTTTTCGAGGTAGGCAGACGGGCGCCGTCTGGTGGAAGCACCTCGCCGGCGGCCGCCAGGGCAGCAGCGGCAGCGGTACTAAGCTGCTATGTATATGGCGGGCGGCATGTTGGAGGGAGATACGTCGAGGGTAGGATCTCATGGTGTTGGCTGGATGCCAGGAGATGGAGGCGGGGGAAGCTGTAGAGGAGCTGCTAAATTAGAGCTGGCGGTCGTTTTGTGGATCTTGGGGTAGGCAACGGAAAGCAAGTAGAAACGGAAATTCGTTGCAACCAATTATTCTTCTATGAAAAGGATTCAATTGAACTATTCCCTGATCTATGAATTATCTGGAATTTTATCACTGTATTATAATGCTTAACCACCCTTGATAATCTTGGGTTTCTAGAATAAGGACAAGAGGCTACACGTACCTCCCTGGTCCTTGAAGATACCCACTGTCGGATGGCGCGGATATCGTCTTCACGCATTGCGACCCTCATCCTTTCCAACACCATGATATCCGGAGAAAACCCCTTTCGCGTGGTCTCGGTCCTACACGCAGACAAATTTGGTTCAGTGAACTTGCGGCTTAGAATCGCTGAAGAATGCTGCAGCTCAGCCACAGTTGGCGGGGTAACGTACCAGCCACATGGCATTACAGCCACGTGGCACAGTCCGTCCCATGTTGAGCAATTTGAGCAAAGCAACACAGACAGCGTTCATGCAGTGTTGGTGTGTTGGTAGGGTTGGCAGTGTTGCAAAGACAAGTAGTTACTGAGTAAGGTGGTCGTTTCATCATTAGAAATTGCCAGCGGTGGGCTATGCCTTACCTGTTATTGGCACGCTTTTATTAGCTGGCCTATCTCTAGTTTTATCTGTACAAAAGATCAAACTATATTAAAGTAATTATTATGTATTGGATTTTGCCTCTAAATATAGTTCTATTTTCTCTGTTTAATAAGCTGCGAGATTTGCCTTATTAACTCTTTCCATCTTCATTTGAGGCTGGCTGGCTGATTGAGCTCGTAGTGGATCCACCCCAACGCCAAGGGCCAATCAGAAAACAGAGACGCAGACACGCAGATTGCACTCAACGTTCAGCGCTAGTTGGCAAGGCGTCTACTCGCCTCGCACCGCCTCGTCTCCCAATCTCCTTTTCAAACCTTCAAATCTTCCTCGTCCTGTTTCCAAACCCTTTTTCTTTTGGAATTCCATTCTTGTCTGCTTTCATTTTAACTCATAAACCCATTCTCCCGCGATTTTTCTTTCCCTATACATCTTCTCCCCCCCTTTTGCATCAATACTCTCGAGTCTCTCGCACGCATCCCTTCCATCCCCCACCATGGATATCGACGCCAAATACGACCACTATGACTTCCCCTATGAGGCTAAGGAACCTCAAATTGGGCACGCCGGTCACCTCGATGCCGCACAGATTGCTCAGGTTCACCAGCTGCGCATGATGCTTGAGGCTGAGGGCCTGACGGAACGTCTGGACACGCTGACTCTGGTGCGTACACCCACCCGTTTATGACGTATGGATATGGCGTTGCAGAATCACTGATGATGTTTTTTTTTTTTTTTTTTTTTTTTTGCTCGCAAGTTCGATGTCAACCTTTCCAAGCAGATGTGAGTCTTTTCTGCTCAGCTCTTCCACGTACCCTGGACCTTTGCTCTTTTGCTTCCACTAACAAAAATCTCAGGTTCGTCGACACCGAAAAGTGGCGAAAGGAGACCGACCTCGACAACACTATCGCCACCTGGGACTACCCCGAGAAGGCCGATATTCAACAATACTACCAGCAGTTCTACCACAAGACCGACAATGTAGGTCTTTGCCTTGCGCCCACCTGACTGTCGTGTTCAGGCGGTGGCGAGACCAATAATAACTAACATATGCCCAGGATGGCCGCCCCATCTATATTGAAACGCTTGGCGGCATCGACCTGACCGCCATGTACAAGATCACCACCGGCGAGCGCATGCTTCACAACCTGGCCGTCGAATACGAGCGCCTCGCCGATCCTCGGCTGCCCGCCTGCTCCCGCAAAGTCAACAACCTCACCGAGACTTGCTGCACCATCATGGACCTCAAGGGTGTCACCCTGACCAAGGTCCCCTCGGTCTACTCGTATGTCAAGCAGGCCTCGGTCATTTCACAAAACTACTACCCCGAGCGCCTGGGCAAGTTGTTCCTCATCAACGCCCCCTGGGGCTTCTCGACCGTCTGGAGTGTCGTCAAGGGCTGGCTCGACCCCGTCACCGTCAAGAAGATCCACATTCTCGGTGGTGGCTACAAGAGCGAGCTGCTCAAGCACGTCCCCGCCGAGTCCCTGCCCAAGGAGTTTGGCGGCACCTGCGCGTGCCCCGGCGGCTGCGAGAACAGCGACGCTGGCCCCTGGAAGGAGCCCGAGTGGGCTCGTCCCGCCAAGTGGGAGACGGCTGTCACCAACGAGCCCTCGACCGTAACCAAGCCCGCCGAAGACGAGAAGGCCGGCGTCGCCGCCCCTGTTGAGGAGGACAAGATTGCCGCTGCCACCGCTACTGCTTAAAGTGGGGGGTGACAGCGTAGTATCTTGCTTTCTATTGATCAATCTGGCATTAAGACGGAGTTGTGTTGTGTGTTTGTCGGCTTAGCGAGCAGTGGTAATGGAGTTGTCTAGCGTTGGTGAGGGGGTACTACTGGTTGAGTGCGTCTGTGTACCGACATTCTTGAAGTTTATAGACTGGGCAATCCCGGGTCGGTACACCAAAAGAAACAAAAAAGAAGTTGGGGTTGTCTTTTTTGTCCCAGTCTCCAGACTTGTCTGATGTTTAAATAAGGATACTTTCGATGGGACACAAGGAGGGAAATGGAGTGAACAAAATATTTCAACAATCAACCAGCGAACCCGATAGAATGGGATAGGATTCTACTGTTTTGGGCATCTAGAGAAAAATTGTCTTTTGCAGAATACAAAGTGGTCGCCTCTAAATTTGAAACTTGTATTCCTGGAGAGTGAATCTCTCGTACATTGTAAAAAGAAGATGGAGCGTTGAGATATCGTAAAAAAAGTGCAACGCCACAGGTAGACTGTCTCCCGCAGCCCGTCGCCCCAACCGATGCGCCATGCATTCGCAGAGAAAAGAGCAAGGGAAAAAAAACTAGAACAGAGATTTCCGTCATCACATCGTTATCGAGGGTCCCTGGGGACGAGCGCCTGCGTCACCGTTCGTCGCGCACGTACTCGCCCGCGACGCGTGCGCGTTCCATCTTGGCCACCACGCTGGGCATATCCCTCTGCAGCCTTCCCATCGCGGCGACAGCGCCCCTGAAGCGCTCCTCCACGCCCTCCTGCCTCTCCAGCGGCGACACGAGCACCCGGCCGTCGTCGTCGTCGTCGTTTTCTGAGCAGCGTCGCGCTGCTGCTGCCGCCGCGTCCAGCCCTCGCTGCAGCTGCTCGTCGTCGCGGGCGGCCGCCTCGTCGAGCTTTGCGGCCACGCGCGCGGCCACGTCGGCGGGCACGGCGCGCTTCATGGCCGCGACCTCCTCGAGGAGGCGCTCCTCGGCGGAGACGAGGTCGGCGACGCGCTGGCGCTTGTCGGCGTCGAAGGGCTCGTAGGCGACGTCGGCGGGGGGCGGGAGGGAGGACTTGCGCCCGCCGCCGCGGCTGCGCGCGGGGGGGAAGAAGTCGGCGGCGTTGACGGGGAGGCCATTGATGGAGAGGTTGGGCGCGGCGAGGGTGAACGTGCGGTCAATGTACTGCGGGGTCCTGGGTTAGAAGGAAGCAGGAGGATGGAGGAGGAGGAGGGAGCGCGTACGTCGTCGACGATGGCTTCGATCTCGTCGCGGAGCTTGTCCTCGCCGCTGGAGTCACGGTTTTGCGGGGGGAAGGCGGCGTGCAGGTGCTCGGCGGCGGCGGCGCGGACGTTGGCGATGAGGAAGGCGAGGTCCTTGTCCGAGGCCAGCTCGATACGGCGCTGGCTGTCGTCGGTGTCGTCCATTGACGGGGAAAAAGGGGGCGTGGATTGGCGAAGATGAGATCCGGAGCTTCACACGCTCATGTCGCAGGCAGTAGTTGGGTGGAAGGAAGTTTGAGGGCAAGAATGAAGGTCAGGAACGCGAAATTTGGTGGAGCGCCGTAGCTGCGTAGTTGGTTGGGGTCGTGATGACGCGTGGTGGGGGGTTGGTGGTGGTGGCGGTGGTAGTGTAAGTGAGCGATGGCAAGCCGTTCAGAGATGGGATAAAAGAAGAAGAAGTCCCGAAAAGAGAAATAAACAAGACTGAAATTTCTTTTTTACTTACATATATATGATATATAATAGCAAGGAAAAAGAAGGACTCACGGTCCCTGACATCGATGAAGTACCTACGATCACATCTATCTGGAGCATTAGAAGACTACTGTCCAGTCATGGTAGATATGTACATTAGTAGTTCATATGGCAGAGTTCCTAGGTAGTATAACGCGGCAAGGAAGCTTCCTACATAGGCAGATATCGTGCTTCATCAGTCTCCTGCTAAACGCCCGAAACGGTAGCCTCGGCAGACATCACCGCCGCGGCTTTAGTATGCGATGCTCTGTTATACTTGGCATACATACTTCTAAAACAAAACAACTTACTTACGTCAGTATCTATTCTTCCCCAATTCTATGGACATTTTTAACATGCGCGTTGCACTCGTGTGCTGGCTGGCAGGTAGGTGTGCCAACGCTGGCTCCTGCAGATGACCAGCGCGCGTTTGACCTTCACCTTTCCATCCGCACAACTCTTCCTCAGCACCTCGAAGAATTGCCCCCGTAAACACCAAGCTCCCCCATTTTCTTTTTTGGTTCTTTTTTATGCATTAAAAACAGGCTTGATACTGCAATGGATCTTGAGGAGGATGAGTCGCAGCTTCCTTCTTTATCGAAACCTCTTCTCAAAGTCCTCCCCAGCATTGAAGATGATGAGACTTACACCTTTCACGACTCAGAGGAGAGCAATTCGGAAGACCAAGAGCCTTCTAGCGGACACTCCATCTCAGTCCGTATCCCGCAAAATGTTCTCATTCGCCCGCGCTCCTGTTATGTGCCATTTGAACCACCTTGCCCGGCCATGTCAGAGCGCGAGGCTCTGGGACTATTGCTCCCGAGTCGATCAGACGAGGACGACTTTCTCGAACTGCAGCTCGATGACTTTGTCGTTTATTGCGGAGAAGACGCTTCTCAGGCAGAAATGCGATCGCTCAACCAGCTTGACGCTGAGCGAGGCTCTCCGCTATTCTTCAACGGCGTTCTATCAAACAGCACGCAGAGCGCCTTTGTCCATCACGTTTCGATACACGCACTGCCTATTGGAAATTATGGACAGCAGTCAGAGCACACGACTAAGGACAATATCTGGCTCCAGTCTAAACGAAACACCGCGAAAGACATATTTTATAAGCTAGGGTCACCAGCGGTGGAATACAGGAGGTTCTTTGATCCCTTTCTGTGGGTGGTGGACCTTGCTAAACATGTTGTCGATTATCTCACGGCTATGAATAGCAGAAAACAACGGGTGACCATCCACCACTTCCGACACGACTTTGCAAGGTGGCTCCTCGATGCATGTGCGCCATCTCGTCGCATTGAAGAGATCCGGACCTGGATGTCGAAATACCCTCGTCTTGATTACCGATCTGCCGTGAGCACGAATATCGCTTTCCTATACAAAGAGTTCATTGGTGCTTTGGGAAACAAAGGCGTCGGTTTTCATCCATTGTGGAATGAGGTGCTGCTTTGCCAACAGTACATCCCATTCTATTCACACTTTGATGGTTTCCACACTGTTGTCACGCGATATATTTACGAGTGCTTTAACCACCTGCCGTTTGGGAAGTTGTTAGAAGCCGTCGAGTTTGCCCCTCTTACGACACGTCTCAGATTGGAACTAATGGCGAAGCGGTCGTTATCAAATTTCCAACCTCCCCCTAATCGGCCTAACGTGGCCGATCTAAGAAATATTGGCCCGGGAGATACAATATCTACTGCGCGCGACACTGTTGAATCTGGCAGTGTTTGGGAGAAGGAAGCCACCAAGGGCGACCAAGATAACCATCGGTATAACGATCTATGGTTTGCCCTCGTACAGAGCGTTTCTGTCGACTCTGAAGGCCATCGGGTGTTCGAGGTAATCTGGTACTATCGTCCTGAGGATACGTTATGTGGTCTTATGAAGTATCCTTGGTCAAACGAACTGTTCCTCTCGGATCACTGCTCATGTGACGAACAGTTCAAGATCCGCGACGACGAAGTATGCGGAGTGCATGAAGTAGAATTCGGCGGAACACCAGAAACATTGAAGGAGTTCTTCTGCCGGCAGATGTACTTGGCAGAAGACAGAGCCTGGCTGTCGCTCACGCAGGCGCAATTGAGATGTTCCCATCATGCCGGAGACGCACCTGTCCTTGATGGTGCAGAATACTGTGTAGGAGACACTGTTCTTGTACATCTGGTCAGAAGTTCTGGTGTATGCGAGCCATGTGAGATTATCGCAACCGAAGAAGAGTTTGGATACTGCGTCTTTCGGAAGTTACCCAGACGCCGCATGATCGATTCCACTGCAAGCAACGCACCGCCCAACGAAGTGGTGTACACAGAAGAGACTGTCAGAGCAAGGCGTCTACATATCGTTGGTCGATGTAAAATTCGATGGTTTCCCGTAAATGAACCAATACCTACGCCGTATGACCGCGCTGGAGTCGGCGCGTTCTTCTTTTTCAGTCACCGGAAGGAACCTGGCTACATCATCTCTCCCCTGAAAGAAGCACCCCCGTCCCTGAAGCAAAGCTACGATCCGCGAGAGGATTGTGTGCCAAAGCTTAAGGGTCTTGATCTGTTCTGCGGAGGAGGTAACTTTGGACGGGGCCTCGAAGAAGGAGGTGCCGTCACAATGAAGTGGGCTAACGACATGGACTCAAAGGCACTGCACACATACATGGCAAATTCCAGCCACGGTGGGCAGGTAGCTCCTTTTCTAGGCTCTATCGACGATTTTCAGCGGCTAGCTATCCAAGGACGATTTGAAAACAACGTCCCGCAGATCGGAGAGGTCGACTTTATCTCAGGTGGCAGTCCTTGCCCTGGATTCTCCATATTGACAAATGACAAGACGACGGATCAGCAAAGAAAGAACCAGTCTCTTGTGGCGGCTTTTGCATCTTGCGTCGACCTGTATAAGCCTAAGTACGGGGTGCTAGAGAATGTCGTTGGCATCATCCAGAAGCATCGTAATCGAGACCAGGATGTCTTCAGTCAGCTAATGTGCGCATTAGTCGGCATGGGCTACCAGGCTCGACTCTTCCTTTTAGATGCTCTCGCTTGCGGCTCCGCCCAAGTCCGGTCACGCGTCTTCATCATATTTGCCGCGCCCGGTTGGCAGCTACCCGAAACGCCGCTACAGACGCACTCGTATCCAGCGAATGCGAAAAACCTCGGGCTGGGTCGACTGCCGACCGGCGAGCCGATGGCAAAAAGAAAAATGGCCAAAAGCACGCCATTTACATACAGAACCGCTGCGCGAGCACTGGTCGGGTTGCCCAAGATCTACGACGCAAAGCCTGACATCTGTGTCCCATTCCCGGACCACCGTGTGGTCTCATATACCAATACAAGCGCCATGAGGAAGCGAATACATCTAATCCCCAAATTCCCGCGGGGGATGAATTTCTCGCAGGCGTGGTACGGGAGATACAATACAAAGCATCGTAGCGCGGGCCGCGGCGTTCTAACACAGTCAGAACGCAGCGCGTTTTTACCTTGTCATGGGAATGCAATGGTAACTTCGATAAAAACGAACGCGTATGGAAGACAGCCTCCGAACCAGCCAATGTCGACCATCGTGACAAGGCCCAGTCCCCGGGACGCCAAGCAGGGTCGCATGATTCACTGGAACGAGGACCGGTGCCTGAGCATCGTGGAAGCCAAGAGGGCGCAGGGTTTTCTCGACGAGGAGATCCTGCTGGGCCCGACGGCTACTCAGTGGAAGATCATTGGCAACAGCGTGGCGAGGGAGGTCTCGCTGGCCCTGGGTGTCGTGATTGCAGACGCAGTGATGCGCAGTTACGGCGGCAACTTCCGGGCGCTCGAGGAGGCAGAGGAGGAGGCCATGGTGGAGCGCTCGCCGTACTGGGAGGCGGCGCCGAGCCGGGGGTCCGGGGGGGTCGGATACCCCAGAGACGAGCGTGCCGACGAGCCCGGGAGCGACGGCGCCACCGCCACGAGGAAATAGTAGAAAACGACGACGAGTCGAATGAGAGAGCAACCGAGGCATGCATGTATCTTCCGGGCGACCATCGCCAGGGGCAGCCTGAGGCTGGTTGGTTGGATGGAGGATCGGGAGCTGCTTGGGGCTCGTCGGGCACCAACGACAGGCTTGTGAAACACAAGCGCCACAATGTGATGACATGGTTAAGAGTTTAAATTGTGTGCATGTGTTTTGTTCTGTGTCCTGCGTCTTTTTCTGTTATTGCAAGGATCTGATTCGGGGTAGGACGGTAGGACCGGTGTGTTGGATGTGATTGCAGTATGGCACATGGGCATTGCATTAGGGGGCGGGTCAGCAGCTTAGCTGGCGGGTACGCAAATTGCTCGCGTGGCAAGGGACAGGGACAAAAATACCAGGATCTCAGGATGATGAAATGGCCAGAGATTGTAAAAGTCAAGCAAAACTTTGAGAGAAATTATAGGACTTGGACCATTAAAGTCAAATCACACAAACTTTAGCAGTCAAAGGGAGGACTGCAGAACGACCACGGCTCCCTGCATTTTCATTTGTTCGGGCAACTATGTATGTATGTACATTTCGTGCCTACTGCAAGAGTCGAGTTACTTCCAGGCAGGGGGGGCGGAATGACAGGCGGACTGGGATTTTTTTTAGGGCGACGCTGGCGGGATCCAGACGCTCCAGCGTTCCAGAAGCCCAGCCAGCGATACGGAAGCTAGCCCGAAGCAGCACGGACGGTGGAAAGAGACAACTGGAGAAAGAAATGGTCAGAAAGAGGCGTTTCTCTAGCGGCTGACGGCAGGGCTCGTTTTCTTTTGTCATCGATTCCTTGTGGCTTAAAGATTTCATGTAACTAACTTTATTCGTTCGGTTCGCCGAGGATGAGTTGCTGTACTGGTAGGTGTACAAGCTGTTTAGCTTCGTATGAGAGCGACCTTGTCTACCCCAATAGATGAGCAGCCAAGGAAGTCCCAGCAATGATCGCTAATACACGTCGTTCCATTCGATCGGTTAAAATCGGGCGTGGCCCCCCTCGGTTGCGGTATTAATTGGTCCGACACGCGAAGCGTTCCTTTTTTTTTGTTTGCCTTTTTTTCCCTCGTCTTGGTCGGTGTGTCGCAAGGGGGGGGGGGGAGAATGAATAGAAGGTTCTTTTCTCAGCATCACAAAAAGGCCCCTTTGCGCCATGACTAACGAGTTGGTTGGTTGGTTGGTTGTTGATGTGGGTGCGGTTTGCATGAGCCGGTCTGGGTTCTAGCGTGGCGGGAGAACGGGGGTTTTCCTGTTAGTGAGGCAGTTGAAGCATTCGTGAGACGACGGTGGAGTGGTTCTTGACTGGTACTTTTTGTTTATTGTCATCTCGCGTTTGTCATTTCGTTCTCTCTGTCTTTCTGTTTGCTTTGTATTACTAGTTATTCGATGGTGTCGGTTAGAGACTCCCTTAGAAATTAGAATGCGGCATCATGTCTCAGAGACAATGACAGTTCCAAAATCCCATTGGCGAGTTGGACTGGTATTTTTTTCAGTGGATCCCTGCCTTCCCGGTGCCAAAATACTGGTACTTGAGAGGGACTCGCTCAGGCGAAAGGGCGTCAGCCAGTCCATACGCGGGCGTGGAGCGTTTCCTGGTATGTATTCAGCTCTGAGCTATAAAAATTGATATTGTCTTTTGCGAGGTCCACCCAAGTATAATACAAACAGATTTCTTTTATGTTATTATAAGGAAAAGATCATTAAGCCCTGTCAGAAAAAGGCCCCCTCTCAAGCGCAGGTACCAGGATCCACTGCTCCCAGTGGGCATCAGGTGGCTCCGGCACCCTTTAGCGGCTCTATTATAGGGCACTTGGGGACTTTTGACGCCAATCATCAGCTTCTGCAGCCCCCTGCCGGTAAAGTACCTGCCTGGTAGTCGTGCAGTAGCCGAGTCTCCAATCGGCTTTCGGCGTCTCGTCGTCGTTTTTGTCAGGTCGCTTTCGTTTGCATCTTGCTCAATTTGGCTTCACATCTTCTTCTTCCCTCTTCTTCCGCTGCATCCCTCCCGCGGGCCACGTTCGCCTCAATCCATCTCGCCCGCACCCATCCCATCGCCGCCTGCTCATTCATTTGCTCGACAGTCGCTTTTTAATACCATCCAACCACCATCACTCGTATACAAATCCCAAGGACCAACGCAGCCAGCTAGCCTGTACTCTCGTTTGCCCATCTTGCGAACAAACAACCAACGTCGCACACCCCGATCTCGAATCTCGGACCGCGTCCTTCTCATTATATTCTAGAACTCATCGCGGTCCGTGTCACCATTGAACAGCTGATCACTTTTCCTGTCTCGGCTTGTTCTCTACCTCGTCGACTTTTTTCTTTTTTTATAATCTATCCTAGCTCGGAACCACTTGCCAACCCTGGTCGCCTACAGTCCCCCTGCTGTCGGCCTTGTTACTGGTAGCCTCTCGTTACTTCCCCTGCTTCTTGGGCCTGTCTTGGATACGTAACCCTTGGCACGCGCGGTCCTGTTGGGCTGGTCGACAAGCCATCGTTTCTGGTCACTGCTGGTATTATTACTGGTAACAGATACTCGCACAGCTCCAAGAGCTGAGCTTTGCCTGCCCTGTTTCGCATCACACCCCAGTCAGCCTGCATGACGAAGCTCTGCTGCAAAAAGACCATCAGAGGAACTGGCTATTGCTAATAGCCAAGCAGCGGGGAAGAGCAAGACGAGGCTAGTTTAAGGTATTTCTCTGACTAGCTGCCTCTCTGCATCTGTCCGACCTCCCCGGTTGATCCTTTCTCTTTGCGCCAATATCCTTCACGCTTCTTTTCCGATCCTTCCTTGCACCTGCTTCAACGGTTGCCCTCAACGCCGCCACCCCTCGTGGCCGTCAACAAAGACAAAAGGTTACCTCGACATACCCTTGTTCTTATTCTAGGGTGCCAACAGCCGGACCGCCGAACGATCGTTTTACTTCGTACGCTGTGCCTTCGCCACCCCCGATTCGCGTCCCTTTGTTCCGCGCGCCCGTCGCCGTCGCCCCTCGCCACCCCATCAACGACCTACCTTTAATTTCTGTGCCTGGACAGCTCAGACCCTCCTTTGCTTACATTCACCCCCCAATCTGTTGGCTGGTTCTGCAGTTGGACATTCGTTTTACATTCTACACGGTGCCCAAGCCATTGTCATCAACACTCGATTTCTCACTACCTACCATACAGCGCGCGACAGCCCGCAGTCACCACACCACCAACCACTCACTCTCCTACTCCGGATACATCACCGATCACGGCGTCTACCTCTGGCTCGTCTCCCGTCGTCGCGCCCACTGGTTGACAAACACTTGCAACGGCCTTTTTGTTCGAAACGACCGCCGGCCACCCCGCCCTTTACCCTCGTTTCTCTTCCTTGGCCGCCCCCCGCGACACCTCCCTTGCCGCCACAGCAGCCGTCTTGCGACCGCGGCATCCCTCTGCCTGACTACCAACGACCCATCGTCATCTGCGCTGCTGTGTAACTAACCTGCGCAGCCTTGTTCTGCCGGCATTCGCACTCCCGAGACGTCTGTCCGTCGCATCCACCGGCCCATAGACATGACCTATATCGTAAGTTCACTTGCATCAACGCCTCCCTATTGTCCCTGCGCCCACGAGCAAACCTATCTGCACCCTCCCCTCGTCGCTGCGGCCTGCGCCGCCGAGCAACACAAGTGCCCGATGCGCCCATCGACACAAGCTTTTGCTGTTGTCATGGACCCCCATCAAACATCATGAGCGCCCCCTCTCTGCCTGCCCGCCACACTCGCACACTCCTGCGCGACGCGCGCTATTTCAGCCCCAACCTCAAGTACCGTGGCTGCAGCTTCATGCAGGCTGTCTCTGCTAGCTGGCCTCGGAGCTGGTTGCTCGCTGACTGCCTTCAGCCCTTTTCGCGGCCCGCCTTGCATGAGGGCCAGACTTCGCCGCCTTTTCTCTGCCCACAGCCCTTGCTAAGCACGAGGTAATTCGCTGGCCTCAACGTCCTATCGTTTGGTCTGCGTCATTCCCTTGGGACACCCATCACACCCTCTTCCAACGCGGGTGCCCACCATATATACTTGTTTTTCTTTGCAAAATCCGTCTTACACTGCACACCGCTTCCTTGACAACGTCTTGGTTGATCCGCTTCCCTCTACTCCCGGCGCCCAACAACACACTCCTTGCCGCGGTCCATCTCGCCCTGCCTCATATCCACTCGGGCCTTCTGCCACACCCTTTGTCCCAGTTCCCAACCCGATTCGTCAGCGCACTTGCCCGCGCCCCTTGCTTCCTCTCTATCCCGCCTCCGTGTAATCCGGGGCTTCATATATTACCTGGCCTGTCTCCTCTGTTAATCTGGACCCCCACGTCGTTTGCTCGTTGCTGCTCATGGCTATCATGTTCAAATTCACATCCCGCGTCATCTCATTTACATTCTCATCTCCCTGCAACAATCACTTTGCTCCGTAGGCTAATGTCCAACGTACAGCTTTGCCTCGCCCACTACTGTGACCACCATGGGCCAACTCCGCTCATGGTCACGGAAGGGCTTCAAGCAGCCTGCTCTACCTGCTTTGAAGAACCTGCTAAGAGCAACAGCCCGCCTCGCTCAAACCCCGCTGGCAACTCGCAAGATGCCAAAGGCCCTCGCAGCGGATTGTTAGTCGCTTTTGACCACGATGGAAGGTCTCGCCGCTCCGCCATGCGCTCGCCCTCTGCTAGTTCGCCAATGTCGAGCCCGGTACTGGAGACACCGCCGGAAAGCCCCCGTTCAGTGCATCAAACCACCGGGCGTGAATCCAACTTCAGGCGCACTTACGATGAGACCGTTACCAAGAAGCAGGGCCCTTGCGATAACTGCGCCATGACGCTGCCTCGGCGGCAACATTCCCCCACGGCCCCAAGTGACAATACGCCAACGCTGAGGACGCGGGCACCTGCTGAGCGAGTCTACGGCTCGCCGGTTCGCGCTGGTTCTCCCCGTTCCCAGTGTTCAAGCGACACGGATGGAGATCGGGATCTACCGCGCCGTGCTCGTGCCCGTACCTCTGCCCAACCCGGCAGCTCCCGCACCACCTCATGCTCCAGCACCTCGACAACCTCGGACCGAGCCTCCTCTCATGTGCACTACATTGACTACACGTCGACACATGAACCGGTCCTTGGCCACTCATTTTCTCTAATCCGCGCATCTTGCTTGAGAGCACTCTCATTCGAGACTTTGCCGCGGGCACCCGCCACCTCGGTTCCTCTCTCACCACAATCCAACAACGCGCCTGCTTTTGTCACCACCCAAAGTGCGGGCTCTGCTGCCACCGGCGGGCCCATTTTCTTCGGTGATGCCGTCGCTGGGTATACCACAGCTTACATCTTCCGCCTTCCGGACGTGCACGCTCGCGGGCACAAGCGCGTCTACGCGTTTTTGGCTCACAGCACACACAAGGAGCGACTAGCCATGAAGTCATATACAGTCATCTCCAACGCTTTCCGCGACCTGACTGGATGGATTCAGCAACTGGTCGAGGCTGAGGCTGAGCGTGTGGCCGATCCTTTGACCACCGGCAGCGCCAATGGTAGTGCAGAGGTATCCCCGGCGCCGCCAAGCCAGTCGGCCTTTGACTCTGCGGCGGCCATTGACCGCAGCGCGAGTAGCTTTCTCAGCGGCGGCAGCGGGTTCACCCGACGGATGGGTGCCAGTGGTAGCGCATCCTCACTCAAGGCCCGTGGCTTGGCTGAGCTGGCTGGTCAGCCTGACATTTTCATTGAGCTGCATAAGCGCTTCGTGCAGCTCTTATTTGAGATTGGTGTGGCCCTCAACTCTTGATTCTCGCCTTCATTCTTTCTTTTTCTTAATATGCATGGCGAAGGCGTCAAATTTTCTTTGCTGAAGCAGTCTGGAACTGCGAACAGCTAACCACGATAATATTTCGGCGGACAGCATATCCTGTCCGTACCATTGTTTCGGCCTGGAAGCCAGGCCCTGTTTTACCCTACCTTTTACCTCGTGTCACGACCCCCAATGTTGGATTGACCCAGGTCCAGGCATACTGTTATGATGTGGAGGCTTGTTTTTATTTTCGAGGCATGATAGAAAGGATAGCACACGCTAAGGATATGATATACCAAAATGGGTTTTTTGTTTTGTAGGACTTTTCAACAAAAGTACTGGATATTGTCCCGGGGTTGGACAAGATAGAATATACATGTGACATCTGTTTCATCGCATCCTAATCTGCTGAGAACGTGAAAGGAACTTTGTAAACGGTCCTCGTACCAGGAATTGCCTGTTTGGGAAGGTACCGGGATGGCCATGTGCCACCGCCGATCTCGTTGTACTCTGGGGGGCCCTGGCTTTGTTGATCCTCTGTGTCGTTCTTCTTTCCGGAGCTCACTATTCTTTGCATATCTTTTACTATCTCTTTTTTTTCAATGCTACCTGTACCATCCAAAACTTAGGCCCTATCTTAGTAGCGAATAAATGAATAGAAGAGAAGTTCAATCGCACCTGGTTCAATGTGGCGATGCTGGAAGCATCCCCGCACAATGCACACCGGGAATGCCCACTGCGGGAAGATTGACGCCTGCCATAAAATCTTCTATATTCTGATTTTACACTAGGTTCAATATGGATACAACACTCCCCGCTGCCCCCCCAATGACCACACCCTTCCCGGAAGTTACGCCCCTTATTTGTAAAAGTCAAACTTGTTTTCCTCGCTCGTGCCCTTGACCTGGCTTGAGTAGGCGTCCTCGAGGTCGCTTTGGATGATGTTGTAGCGATTCTTGCGGACGGCGCGGAGGCCGGCCTCCTGCATGATGGCGGCGATGATGGCGCCGGAGAGGGGGTCGTTGCGGACGATGAGGCTGTCGAGGTCGACCTCGGGCGCGAGGCTCATCTTGCCGGCAATGGTGGAGAAGATGAGGCGGCGCTCGCGGCGGTCGCGCAGGGAGGGGAACTCGATCTTGCGGTCGAGGCGGCCAGGACGGAGCAGGGCCGGGTCGAGGGTGTCGGCGCGGTTGGTGGCCATGATGACCTTGACGTTGGAGGTCTGGTCGAAACCGTCCATCTGGTTAAGGAGCTCGAGAAGAATGCGCTGAACTTCACGGTCGGCACCGGTCTGGGCGTCGAAGCGCTTGGTGGCGATGGCGTCGATCTCGTCGATGAAGATGATGGAGGGCGAGTTCTCGCGAGCCATGCGGAAGACGTCGCGCACCATGCGGGGACCTTCACCGAGGTACTTTTGCACAAACTCGGAGCCGACGACGCGGATGAAGCTGGCCGTCGTCGAGTTGGCGACGGCCTTGACGAGCATCGTCTTGCCGGTGCCGGGCGGGCCGTAAAGAAGCACGCCGCGCGGCGGGTCGATGCCGATCTGCTTGTAGAGGTCAAAGTGCGTCAAGGGCAGCTCGACGGCCTCGCGAATCTCCTGCTTCTGCATGTCCAGTCCGCCGACGTCGGCGTAAGTCACGTCGGGCTTCTCGTCGGCGCCTAGCATGGCGATGGACGAGTCGGCCTCGGGCGGCAGAATATCAACCAGCGCATTGGAATGTCTGTGGAGGGCAACCGACGACGACGGCTTGAGCTGTTCGCGGTCGAGGGTGGAGAGGATACGGACGACATAGTTATTGCCGGTACTGGACTGTACGATGCCGGTACTGATTTGTTTAGTACACGCGATCTGGGAAGGGAGGTAGGATAGTCGTAGGCTTACTTTTGGTCAATGGCCTCCATAAACTGGCCGATAACCAGCGGCACACTCTGGATCCTCTTAATTTCTTCCTGGGCGCGGACGAGCTCGCGCTTCAAGCTCCTGCATACGGTCAGAGGTAATTCTCACGAAACGGTTCGGCTGCACAGACCTTTGCTCATCCTTGATGTATTCCTCCTGTAGCTGAATGTATCTGCGCTCCTGTCAGCAGGTTACCACCTGAACAAGGCGGCAAGCAGGCGACGTACTCTAATTGTCGCTGAAGCTTCTTGAGTGTGGCGTAATCGTCTCCTCCCTCGGTCGACAGGCCCTCAAAGTGGTCAATGGTCGGGATTATCGACGGCGCCGCTCTCTTGTGAGCTGGCGCGTGGCTGGCAGGGCTCTCGACTGCGACGTCGCCCATCGTGACGGGTAGCTCGTGGCGGTTTGCGGGAGGGTGTTTCGGCGGTTGGCGCGGATCGTGAGGCGGGGATAGAACTAGAGAAGCTCGCGGCACGGCGTTGGTGCAACACGGGGTTGATTTGAAATGGATTGATGATGGCAAAGTCAGCTGATGTGTTCTCTCAACGGTAAGCTATTGGGACTGGCTAGGCGGCCAGAGCTACGCAGCGCGCGGCAACCTGGGCTGACTAAGGCGATCACGTGCAGCACCTGTTGATAAGTTAAGTGCAGGGGTGCAGCAGCCAAGACGAATTTACTGTCCATATCATGCAACGAATCTCCAATCCATCTCTCCACATCTTGCCAGAAAATGTTGTGGTTTGATTTCGTAAATATCATTTCGTTATATTATACTTTCAGCATCGCATCTTCTTCAACGGCGTAGAATAGTCCACTGCGAACTCTCGGCGCTGATCGACTCAGACCTCGCAAGTACCGAACAACTGCCAAACGGCCATCCCATCAATCTGCAACTGTTTATGGAAGGTCCTGGACCCAGAAACCGGTCTACAGTAGCATCAACGTATATGCTTCATCTCGCGGATTTCATTCGCCAGCCACCAATAACAGGTTAAACAAGATCGGAAAACTGACTGCCCCAGTTTTCTTTCCAAGAGAGGAAACTAAGCAGTGCTGCTACTAAGGTGAGCCTCAGGTGAGCCCCCCGCCAAATTGTATCCCGAGCCATCACCCGAGCTTACCGTATCAAACCTGAGCGCCTCACCCGAGCTGCTATGCTTTCTCCTAAGCCAGTCTTAGAACTAGATAAAGGCACACCCTTCCGTGAGCCCATACTCGAAAGCAGTTAAGATCATTAAGTTTCTTCACAGGCAGTACTAACTTGCACATGCTTATAGTGATCATACACACGCCCACGCCACTTCGCATTATAAGGAGACTAGAACTATCGTAATTTCTTTCTCGTCTAATCAAATCTCATACAGGGAGAGCTTTACGTTTAGGCAGAATAGCTTACACATTTCTCTTTCCTGCGTTATCCGTTATTAGTAACTACTACACTGAGACAAGAAACCTATAAAGTCATTACTATCGCTAGGCTACTTAATGCCACAAGCCCTTCTCGTGCTCTTATATAATATTCTAATTACTTTCGTTCAAAGCTAGCTTTTAGTCGTGAAGACTCACGAGCTATAGCGCAGTTAAAGGCAAAGAGAAACATACTGTGAAAGGCCGCTAGTAAGTTGATTCAACTATCTAGTTCCTAT